CAGCTCTTTGGCGTCGTCAAGGTGGGTGAGACCTGTCAATCGAAGACGTAATCTTGAAAAACAAATTTACTGAGCCGGGTTTCTATTTGTATTTTTATATGAACGTTATCAAAAACAGTTGACCCAACATGGGGTAAAACTAATATAGTGATGGTAAGATCCGAGCAACCCTGTGACCAATACAATGGAGCATTTATCAACAGTTTGTTTATTATACTTACATATAAACCGTGAATATGTTTAAGTTTTGAAACATAGTAGTCCTCCCTGTTGTCCTTGACGGAGTCGTCATTAGCAGGACCTCCAACAATGGCGCCTGAAGCAAAGACAAATGCGTATTTAAGTTTCGGTAAAATATATTTCTTACTAATAATGTCCCGATGAAAAATACAGTTGGGTGGTGAATTGTTGAAAAATACGAGTGTGCTTTCCCTTCGAATTATCCCGATAAAGGTAACACTTTCCAATTATCCTCATAAAAGCAATTAAGGTGCATTAGGTGTTTTCACTTAATCGTGTTTCTACTGTGAAGTGCGTGAGTGAGTTGGGTTTAACGCCGTTTTCAACATTATTCCACTTATATCATGGCGTTTCAGCTTGATGTGGGAGGAAAACACGAAGTGATGTGGGTCTCAGACGAACCAAAAATCATAGGTTTCTAGCGTGTCCAAGGGACGCAACTCTGCACAGCGCATTGCAATGCTTCAGACGACTGGGCCACCCGTGCCCCTCCACAGCGGAATTGGAACACATGTCCAGATATGACTAGCAACAAACGTGGATCTGTGGTGAGCTGATGTCGTATTTGCTGTACCCGAAGATGTAGTTCATCTGCTAAGCTGTCCACTTCCTGTAGTCTGCAGTCTTAATGCCAGCATCAGCAGCCACCAGACATGGCTGAAACAAATTAAATGTAAAGTCACGCGTGTCGAACCCTCCAATATAGAATATGTTTAAGTGAAATTTACATGTCCGCCTGTTTGTAAGACCGGAAGAGATCCTACATTTACACAATCGGTATTGAAGAATGAAATTTTGTATGGTTTCCATTCACACACTGCATCTAAACGTCCTCTGCATCTAAGTGTCCTTTACGAGTGGTGAGGGGGTAATTTTTGACTGTTTTATTGGTACTTGTTCTTGAAGGACTCAAAACAAACCAGGAATGCCAAGTCGCCAGAGCCTCGTCCAGTTCCTGCCTAGGTCCAACATCTCTATGGTTAAGTAACATCAGCAGTATTTTGATTCCTTATTCCAATTGTCGCTGGCCCCATGGGACATTACGAAATAGCCTCGTAGAAGCGATGTCTTGTTTTTAATGGTTGACGATGTAATGAAAGACAAAAACACATTTACTACATTCGTGGACATTTTAAACCAAAAATGTCAGCCTCAAGCTCAGTTCTAGTAATACATTTCTGTACTATTCATCACTTTACCGTTTTCATTTCACAGAAAATGGGACCCGGGACGATCTTGGGTAGAATAGGTCTTCAGTAACCCATGCTTGTTGTGAAAGGCACTATGCTTGACGTAAAAGGCGACAAACGGGATCGGGTGGTCAGGCTCGCGGACTGGGTTGACGCATGTAAACGTATGCCAATTGCGTGGATCGACGCTCATGATATCAATCACTGCATTGTCTGGTCCAGACTCGAATATTAACGGACCTCCGTCATATATGGAATATTGCTGAGTGCGGCGTTAAACAACAAACAAACACACAAACAACAGAAAATGGTATAGCTCCTTGACGCATTGCAATGAGCATAGCGCCCAATACTAAAGTGCGCATAACATCTACACGGCAGTGAGCAGCCAACGGTGCATATTATTACTCTAATACAATCATGTTACTATTTCCTATGAAATATCAATATTACTTCAGCGTGACATGAAGTCACCGACGGTATGCTCTTGGGGACACATATTTTGGAACAAGAGGCTCGGCATTTGTTCCATTATATTTTCTGACAGCTATCTCAAAGCATTTCCTTAGGCAAGAGGGATAACTGATTGTAAAAGTCTACTTTCAACCCTTGAGGTTGAAATTTCTGGGCTCGATCGTAGCGCCACCATTGGCCATTACTAGTTATCTGTAATCAAACTCTGTGTTGTCATACAACGGGTCTTAAGTGCATCAAATCACGTGAGGACATTGATTAAAAACATGAAAGGATGAAAAATATCTGTTGATGCAGTGGTATAGGTATGTGCACGGCAGTTTATGAACCGGATGTCACTGGTGAGTGTGCAATGGATCTTATTCCCACACAATGCTGATACTTGTTCTTGGAACGTGGTTATCATAACATGAAGACATTCAGTATTCATGATTGGTCGGTAGTTTATTCAGTATGAGTGTAGGTCAACCGTACCACAATTAACGATTTTTGTGTCTATTCGCTATTCCATATTTGCAAGACTGTACACTAATATATATGATATAAATGCAAGATAATACCAACCTCAAAACTGTAAATAGCTTGGTCAGAACGTACATGTCCTGTCCAAGAGTCTAGGTTTGAGGCCAATACAGGCCTTGGATTGAAATCCTCCATTCGAGTGGTTGCCTACAGTACCATCCACAGCCGATCCTACAGTCAAGACGGTCGCCACAAGGAACACGAGCGTAATGACCGAGAAGAGTGTAACAACAAGCCTTTTAACATACACTCCAAAACAGCGAAACGCATAATCAGATTCATGGTATGGGAAATAAAGCACATTCACTGTGTATCTGAACACACGATGGAGGACAACATATTGCAAACTGGACAACAGTGGACACCAAACGGAAAATCACCAAGGTCAAGGTAATGAGAACTCAATATCTCGAGTGTTCACCATCAGCGTCACGTACTCCCGGACACCTTCTGCCCATGGACCAAAGTGTGTGGCTCTTGATGAAGCTGTCATACACGACGATTGCTAATCCTATTGGAATTCTATGTGTTCAAATCTGGCTATTTAGAGGGTCACGGGTCAAGATGGACTGTCTGTGGGTGTAGGATTGCATTACAATAGCTCTTGGCCGTTAAAGCATCTTGCACTTTTACCAAGGTTGTTCTACCAACGTGGGAGATGAAGCCCCACATCATTACACTACCACCGCCAAATATGTCGACTTCCTGTATGCAGGTGGCTGCAAAACGTCCTTGGCGACATCGGTACACACTGCCTTCCCATCAGCTCGATACAGCCAAAATCGTGACTGATCCATACATTTCTCCATCGCTAGTTAGCCCAGCGCTTGACACCACTACAGCAGCAGTTGACGATGCTGTTGTGTCAAAATAACACATCTCACAGGCACGATGAACCCAGAACTGTCTCGTCAGATATCCTTCACAGTCCTTTGCCACAATTGAGGCGATATGAAGCGGCAAGAAGCGGTCATGGACAGCTGTTGGTTGAAACATGGGGTCTGCCTGGTTGGTGGTACCATCCTGCTGGTACCGATGTCACGATATGGCTGAAATATCGCCGATGTGACGTTAAATTGTAACTCACTCACTGGTACCGATGCCTACATCTAGAGATGGTGCTCTGGGACACCTTGCATACCCTGGCTACAACCTATTCTTCTGCTTCCAATCGTCCCACGACATTGTTCTCTTGTGCTCAGGTTAGTCGCTTGATGCCACATTTGTTGCCACAGCTGTTGCTTCAGATGTTTTATTGGCAACCGAGAAACCCACTGCAAAATGTGCATCGACCCGTGCTTTCCACGTGGTGTTGCGTTCTGTATTGTTACGGTCGGTTATGTATCCTGTCAGTGTTGTGTTTTGATAAGTCAAGCAATGACTTAATCAATAATAATCAAAATGCTTCTAACGTTGCTGATGTTCTTGATATTTATATATTCCAATTGCATCGGACATCATTCTTTCTCACTGATGCGTCAAATTTGGAAATTTCCTTCATGTCTATCATAAAACGTTTTCGAAGCTTTACCGAGGCCTTGAATGCTGAATCCTTGATCAAACAACGTTTGAGCAATAGACTTTGATATCATCGTAGAAACAGCATACTCGATTGTTCCTCACATGTTGTGAAATGTAGACACCAAATGCTGGAGCGGCAGGAATATTGCTCGACATAAAGGGAAAGTTGACTGTTGGAAAGTTGAATTCGTCCCTCTTGTCATGTAGTCTTGAAAAGTTTTTTTTGTCAGTAAATCTTTGTGCATAGATCTAAATAAGAAATCTCTTTTATTTCTATTTCAGTGGGTACATCAGTGAACGGGAATTGGCAATTTGACCGTTATTTAACGACATCAGATCATCGATATACCTGTCGAAGTTAATTTGGCAAAATTCCCTTCTTTTTTTTTGCCAATCCAAACAGAACTTCTGATTCATATGCATAATGAAACAAATGAGTAAGAAGGGTGACAAATTGACCCCCTGGAGATAGAAATCAATATCACCACGTTTAATAAGGACATTAATTTTTTCATGAAACGAGCCGTATGAAGAAGTGATGAACAAAGTTGAAAAATCAAATGTTTTGACAGAATTCAACTTGGTACTTTCTGATCTGAGATTGCAGTTTTTGAGAATCCCCATTTTATTGTTTCCCTTTTGGCTTACCTCTCCCATACCCATTCAAGTACGGTTGAAGCTCACACCTTAATGCCTTATCTACAATAATACACAGATGTTACCCAGGTGGCCCACTCCTGGAACATGTGTGGGATAGAACGCATGTGCCAAGTATGAAATATCTGTCTAACAATAGAAGCTGTGGGGGGAGTCTAGTGGTTAAAGCGTTCACTGGTCAAGATCCGGGTACGATTCCCCACATGGGTAAAATGTGTGAAGACCATTTCTAGAGTCCCCCGCCGTGATATTGGTGGAATATTGTTGAAAGCAGCTTAAAACTATACCCATTCACTCCCGGTAATAAAACATGCCATAAAATCGCTCCTCACACTCTTTACACACATGTATTTGCCAGTTGGGGTTTTGCAATATTTAAAGACAATAAAAGAAAAATGGTATCAAAAATTGAATTTTATTGACAATTGAGTAACTTGGGTAAAATTCTCTATCCCTATTCCCGTGATTAAGACCTGCAAAAAAGGAAAAATTAGATTATTGTCCAGCGTAATATGAAGGAACAAGGGAGATTATGCTATATATAGATCATGCAGCTTCGCGAGTGCCAATCAATATTTGCACCACCAGTCCTAGTAGCATGAACTTAGCGACCAATCTGCGTCACGTACATGTACCAATATTTGCACCATCTCTCCTACTAGCTCCAGCTTAGCAATCAATCTGAATGACGCATCAATATTTGCACCATGAGTCCTAGTAACTGAAGCTTAGCAACCAATCTGAATGACGCATCAATATTTGCACAATCAGTCCTAGTAGCTCCAGCTTAGCAATCAATCTGAATGACGCATCAATATTTGCACAATCAGTCCTTGTAGCTCAAGCTAAGCAACCAATCTGAACGACGCATCAATATTTGCACCATGAGTCCTTGTAGCTCAAGCTCAGCAATCAATCGGAATGACGCATCAGTATTTGCACCATCAGTCCCAGTAGCAACCTCAACATACGTTTTAGCATAATCAACTTCATTAATAATATGACACTCGATTAATATCAATTACCTCCCTTGACCGGATACCACTTTCGTAATTTAGAGTAACTTACACTGATTTGTCACAGCATGGTTTTTTTCAATCAGTAGAATTGCAATACAATAGTATTCATTTACCCGTGGCATTTTGGTGTACCAACATCGGGCAGTTCCTTTTTGGCGACAAGATGAGTAAGACCTAGGACAGAAGGTTTCTCTTAGTTCTCGAGTGCACCAGCATCAATCATCAGTTTACAATTATTAGCTATGCATTAAATGAACCTCCAGTATTTACCAAGAAAGCGTTTCAGTAGCTGGGATATTTAACAACAAATTGCATCCACTATGCGTGAAAATAAAGTAACCACACGTACCAGCAAGAGCAGACTGGAAGCCGGAGTTATAGTCGCAGGCCACCTCGTTGTGGGTGTAGTCCTCCCTGTTGTCCTTGTAGGAGTCGTCTTTCTCGGGACCTCCAACAATGGCGCCGACAAGGAGCTGGGGACTCGGGCCGGAGGAGTGGAGGTTAGCCTCGGTACAGGGAGCTGGACGGTCGGGGCAGGAGCTGTGGTGTGAACAAACATGTATAGGCAGAGATTATTATACGAGCATGTGTGTCATACTGATTTTAAGAAAAGATGGTCAGAATTCTTGCAATTCCAGAGCGAGAGTGAGGGTAATACATGAATTCTTACACTAGTGTCTTAAAATCAGTATGTCACACATGCGAGTGTAATACTTCTTTCTTACCCATCATTTGGTAATCCTTTTGAGCTCCCTTTTGAAAAGTGCACTGATCGCGACCGACGTCTCAGAAAACCACAATTGTCGAATGACGTCAACATTCAGCCATGACGTCATTCGACTATTGTGGTTTCATTACTAACTGACGTCACAATAACATTCGAATTACGTCAACAATACCGTTCGGGTGACATTAACAAAACACTGGTGCGCGTTAAGGGATATTTGCACGAGTGCACATACATTTTTTTATGAGCTTGGTTATATTCTAACCCAGTGGGTAATAAAACATTTAACAGAACGAAGACATAGCTGCTAAGTTTTGGTCAGGAAATGGTTCCAGAGAATAGTTCATAATACTATGACTGCGCTGTATTTCCTTACACCGGAATTATATGTTCGGAGTATATGAGTACAGGAGACCAATAATGTGTTTCAAAATTGTTGGGAGTGGTGAAACCAACATCTGTCTTCAGATTTCCAATTCCAATACATTGACCTCAATGTCACATGTTAAACCCCTTATCTTTTGAGGTAGGTTAGTATGTTGTTTAACGCTGGACACAGCAATATTCCAGCTATATGACGCTGGTCTGTAAATAATCGAGTCTGAACTAGACAACCCGGTGTTTGATATCATGAGCATCGATCCACGCAATTGGGATCGATGACATGCATCAACCAAGTCAGCGAGCCTTACCACCCGATCCCGTTAGTCGCCTCGTACGACAAGCATAGTCCCCTTTGACGGCAAGCATGGGTTGCTGAAGAGCTATTCTACCCCGGTTCTTCACGGGGCCCTTTGAGGTAATAAATGGATGTGTTGTGATTCGAGATGCTAATAAAGGATGATGAATGAAAATATAGTCAAGTTAACACACGCTGATCTGTGATGTGGACTCCTGGGGTACTTTTTGCCGAAGCCAATCTGGTAGCTGATGCCGTAGTTGTTGTCCCCGAGGATGTAGTTCATCTGTTGAGCTGCCCACTTCCTGTAGGTTGCAGTGTCAATACCAGCATCAGCAGCAATCAGGGCGACAAATGCTGCATCAGCTGAGAGTGAAATTACAGGCATAAAGGCAATGAAAAATATATGAATGAATCACTAAAAACGAAATGTTTAGAATTGTGAACTATTTTTCTTTTATTGTATAGATTTTAAATGCTTTCGTGTTCTTCCTGAAATTTTATCCCCTGGTCGATTCTTGCGACCAGATATCTCTAACAGTTGCCTACATATATGGCATTGCCCCACTGGTTTTGCAATGGAATGTAAGGAATTTCTGAATGTATGCATAAACATTGATATGAACCTGCATATCTGTTGGAGCCCCACATGTCTCTCCACGCCAGTCCACATGGAGTGTACGTGATGGAGCCACCAGGGAGCCAGCCCTTAAAGAAGCCCTCCACTTCCGCCTTGTAGGCAGTGTCACGGGTAGCCTCGTATAACAGCACCTGAAACACGAATGAAATAAATAATGATTAAGATAATTATAAGATAATTATTCCCAAATAATTAACTTTTAAATAACAAACCCTATTTATGCTTACTTCTTTTTCATCGACGGTATTCACATATTTATTTCCAACTTTGATATATCCAAACGTCTTTAATAGGTCAGTGATAAGATTGATATTGTCGCAACGCTTTGTTCTTCCCACATTGAGGAGTCGAAATGTTGTAGTCTCGTTCATCATGCTTCCCACAGCTGCCAATGCGTTCACAACTACCTTTTGTGCACCAGTGATCATTTCCCTGCTTTGGACAATGTTATTAAGATACTGCTTATTGATTTAACTACTGAACATGGGCATTTGTCAGTACTTTGAGGATGTTACTGGAAAGATGGCTTCTCTAGACTTTGCCAGCATATATTTCAGAGTCGAGAGTATAGTAAGTCCCATCTTCATCGACAATGGAACTACGGGTCATACCCACCCTTTATGAGAAGATTGGCTTCTTTAAACAACATGATTTATGTATTAATATATGTCGATACAGATTCAATTGAGCGAAAAAGGCAAAAAAGTGATGATCATGATGTGAATGGATCACTGAAAATCAAGGAGGACCCCAGGTGTTCGCGTAAAGAGTAAACATGTAATGCTCCACCGTAAGCTTCCGTCACTCATGCACTTTACATGTCTGTTTGTTTGTGTGTTTTTGTGTTTGTTGCCTCAGTTACCCTTGTTGACAGGCCCAAGTTCCAAATAATGTTATGAATTAGGTGAGGTGAAATTGGGTTTAACGTCGCGTCCAAGATTATTGCACTTATATAGCGACGTGCATGCACGTGTATGTGTGTGTGTGGCTGCTTGTACTAGTCCGGACTGATGCCGATTTATAGTGCTAGCACACTGAGATATCATGCCGCAGTTTAACATGGATACCCCACTCAGACACAGTATACTGACTCCGAGCCGACCAGTCCTTAATTTAGCCCTTTAATGCCGAGCGCCAGACAGGATAACAACAAGTACCATCTTTTAACGTCTTTTGGTATGACGCGGCCGGGGATCGAACCCCGGACCTTCCGCTCTTCGGGCGGACGCTCTACCACTAGACCACGGAGGCGGTCTGTTATGAATTAAGAACACTCTGAAAGCGATGTGGCCATCAACCATACGCATTGATATCCATGAAACTGATATAAATCACTTAAATGCCTTACAAGGAGATATGAAATTGTCATCTATGTTCTCGTTTGTTCTACTTGTTGTTTATATAGAGTCTGTTGTATAACAGTGCTATTATTTTATACACCACGCACCACTTTACCTGCTTTTGTTAGCTACATACATGTATTTTGGTCAGGCATGTTTATACTCAATCCTAGAGATTTTATTTCTAACGTTTATATCGTAAAGGTATCGGGTGAAGATCCGGGTTAGAATAGGTCTTCAGCAACCCATGCATGTTGTAAGAGGCGACTAACGGGAACGGGTGGGCAGGCTCGCAAACAAACAAAAACATAGAGAAGGAATGTTAGTTCATAGTTTCAAAAATATCTTCGAATGTGTGTCATGAATGCGAGAATTCACGTTATTTCACCTGGCAAGCGATCTTCTTGTCGTCCCATCCAAGAGCCCACGCCCAGGCATTCTCGTGGTATCCCTTGGCATCGGCCAGGTAGGACTTGTCCCCTGTAGCTCTGTACAGCCACATAGCGCCCTCACACATCTCGTCTTTGTAACCACTTGATCTGGAGAACCAATTACATCATCATGCTCACGTCAATGGTTTACGGGTAAATACTCAACGTCAACGCGAGAGAACAACCAGTCTCGCTTAGCCATGGAATCAGATTCCATTGGACGTAAGACAGAAAGTGAGGAAACTTATATGAATGGATCATTAAAAAGAGTGATGACACCATGTGTTCCAGAAAAGCGTAAGCATGTCCTGACCCACCTGCCATACTCCTACAGGAAACTAAGAATTATGAGAGAAATATACTGCTGTTCCTTCTCAACTCAGAACATTTCCCATAAATGTTCAGGTTGATCAATTGCACAATTACCCTTTTCCAGCTGTGATGCCCCGTTGAAGGTGTGTGGCAGTGTTATGTGTTTCAAATATTTCCTTTTCGTTGAAGCATAACAGTGTATGTGTTTATTGCTTCTTAACCTTCCATTTTGCCTACAACTGCGAGGTTTCATCTTCTGGTGACTCTTGTTTAAATGGTTAAGTTTGATTAATTCATCTAGATTTTTTTATATGATATATACCCCAGAAAAAGTTAAACACTCCACAGACCAGCGGACCTCTTTAACTATATTCTATTCATCTTCATTTTCTGTAATGTACATTTGAAAATTGCTGTAGCCTTGGACTGTCTACCTAAATATGAAACGTCAATGCCAGAGAATAACCAGTCTCGATTTTCCTACGAAACAGATTCCGTAGGGCGTAAAAGGCTACATACGAGTAGAACTGTCCAGCATCTTGGATACTGGAGGAGTATGTCCCGGGATATTTCTTGCCAAACTCGTAAATCTCCTTGGATGTTGACAGAAGGGTGGCGGCGTATTTGGCATCTGTAATCAAAGGTTCATCAGATGACAGGCGGCACATTCAAGTCTAACCTTTAACATGTACATTAATGCGTCAGATATTAACAGAGTGAAGACTAAGCATGTTATTTGATCTGCCATTGAAGCAAAATGAGTTTCATGAGTGGTGGTGTATTTCAACTTCAACACTTCGTGTTCACCTCTTTCCTTGAACGCCAGATACCCGGCAGCTAGAGAGGCAGCAATCTCCCCAGCAACATCGGACCCAGGTTTGCTTGGTGTGAGTTTATAGGCGGGTCTGGCCATCTTCATGTCCTCAGCGCGGCCCCAGAAGTGGTGGTCATCATTTCCTTCTCCAACCTTGGTGAAATCAGAAACTAGGTTTGAATACAGGGAAGGATACAGAGATTAATGATTTCATATGTTTGGTAAGGGTATTCTTAAGGTATATGCTAAACGTCAGTCCCTATTATCTATCCAAACAGATTCCATTGGGCTTAAAAAGGAAAATAGTTATGAATAATATGAATGTATCACTGAAAATCGGTGATGACATCAGGTGTTTCCGAAAAAGGGTAAGCATGTTCTGTTCTGGAGGCAGCTTCAACCAGTTACACAATTTGCTAGAAAAATAAGTGTTTTTTTCTTGCCCAACGACGACCTGGTGTACAGAAATCACAGTACTCAACATAACATGATCTCCTCCATGTTGATGGCGATATTTGTATCGTTCCGTGATACACAAAACTGATGCCCATAATATGCCAAGTGTACTTGTAAATAGAATGACATAGCTGATTATTCCTGTCAGAAGAGGAACAGTATGTGGGTTTCCCTCTGTCCTAAATGGAGCCTGAACATCCGTCTGGGGTGTATCTGCAGATTCATGTCATATTTCTAAGAGATAAACTGCTCTTAAAGAGACGTTACGCTGAGTAATGACTCACCTGAGCATACAGAGTCTGACTGGATGGGATCCAGCACTTGAGGTAATAGTCCAGTGGCCATTTGATCATGTCAAAGAACATATCTGTCTGTTTCATCGTAGCATAGGCATCCTTCCACTGCAGGTAGCCCCAGAGCAACAGAGTCGAAGTACTGGACATGGGCAAACTGAACTTGACGTGGTCACCAGCTGCAAGGAAGCACCACCATAATGTTTATATCCTCTGTTGCCTTCCATTACCTACCTTCCAACCCTATAAGTAGGCCAGCCACCCGTGGGCATAAACCCGGACATATTGAAGGATATCGAGACAAAACAGAAGTCCATAAATCAATATATGTCACGTGTGTTTTGTAACATGGTGCCACTTCTACTCAATAAATGTATTTTTGTATGTATTTTTGTTTTGTAAAAATCGTTTCCATGTTTTTTAAAGACATAAACCTGTTCGATCACATGTAACTGTTAATTAATGTGAGTTTCCTCTGCTTCTCTCATGAGCTTTTCGTTTGGGCTGTTTGTGTAGGATTTCACTGATGCAAAATACCCTTTTGTTGTGTCATGAGTGGTAAACAGTACTGTTGTGTGACGGATTGACAAAGTATTTAACGTTTGTAGTTATTTGTGCATATTGCAACCACCGCACAGCACAAAGTGAGACTGAATGGACAAAGACTGAATTTAATTATGTTGTTTGTGGTGCAGTTTGCCAGCACTTCTACTCACAAAAGGAAAAAGAATAATGAATATGAAATGATCAGCATGTTCCTCAAGTTCATGACAAATGAATACAAGTTTGGTTAAAGTTAAGGTTTTAATAACCATGCTGACATGAACACAAATACATTCTGCATAATACATATCTTCGCATGGACTTTTCCCCCACTTTGAATATGTAAATAATTCATATTACAGTTTTTATTTACAATTTGACAAACTATAGTACAATGAAGATTAAATACATCGTCACTTGCCAAGTTGCTCAATTGTTAGCAACGGGAACATGTCACAGACAAGTATGGGTTCTAACCGATGGCCATCGAATTCATGAACAAGTTGAGTGAATTCTTACAAAAACAAAACAAAAGTGGGAAAACTTCAAAGTCACACCAATTTCGTCCCGTGACATTAATTTGGCCCTTCATGTGATAATTATAGTTTAATTTTGGTGATTAATTTATCATGTTAATTAGGTCATCATTCACCAGCGCCCTTTACGTTGTAAGAACTGTTTGCGACCAGTAACTATTGCGCGTAGCTTAAAATACTATAGACAAATGCATTTCCCTGATTGTGAATACATCTCACATAATTCTTGACTACAATCATCACTACAATATTAAGAGATTTAGCAGCGTACATTTTATCTTTACGATGGAAATTACAATGAATTTGATAAATTCAGAATACTACATGTTGCACTAAACTTCAGTGATTTATGATTGTGTACCTCCCATGACCATGATGATAAGGATTTTCTCAATATTGTGTCTCAAATGACAAAGATATGATATTTTGTTATTTTAAGTTGGCATTTGTCTCTGTGAATGGCACGCCTCTTTCTTCATATTTCTATAATTTCTTGCAGATTTCTATTTTGCCAAAGATTGATGATGTTAGGAGAAGTTTGGTTTGTTGCCAGAAAATATCGTGATCAAGCTGAACATATTGTTATTTAAGTAAACTCACTACGGGGAGACAACTCTGTCTAAATAACAGATTCTGGATTTTTTATAGAGCCTGTTCTTATTATCTTATCACTGAAAATAGTCAAAACAACCAACACGGTTAATTTGCATGGATTTCTGTTCATTCTGGTAGTATTCATGTGCCATGATAATAATGTTAGCATCATCAAAACGCTTCCACTCACCGTCATACCATCCTCCAGTGAGGTCCTCCCCATTATCTCCCTTGTCTCCCAGGGCGGAGTCTCCTCTCCAGGGGATGGGGTTGTTAGCCGGAAGTTTGCCTGATCTCTGGGCGTCATAGAAGAGTATGGACTTGGCCATAGCTTCTCCGTAGGCGTATCTGGCCGTTCCGCCACCTAATCAATAACATGGAAAAGGTCATTATCACTAAAAACAGAATTATTTGACACAATAGAAACCGTATATCCTCATCTTATCTCATCTTAGCTTTCTCTTTAAAAAAAACCAACATATGACGTCACTCTAATGTTTCAACTGTAGATTATTTGTAACGAATCAACAGTTTACTGACCTACTTAAGTCTAAACACGTGCATTACGAATGACTACAACAAGCAAATGGCGCAAAATCCACTTGCAGTCCAAATGCAGCACGATATTAGTGAGTGAGTGAGTGAGTTGGGTTAAACGCCGCTTTTAACAGTATTCCAGTTATATCACGGCGTGTCAGCTAAATGTGGGAGGAAAGCCCGAAGTGATGCAGGTCTTTACGTTTTATTACTTTGATGCTGTATTTTGATCAGTTAAATATTTGTTATAATTAATGATAGTCCAGTTATTTGTGGGTTATCCTTAACGTATCTGTATGAAGCAAATTGTCGATTGTGCAAGAGCTAACACAAACTCAAATAATCTTTTGTTGGACTCATTTTACATTTTTTTCTGGGCGGTCAGGTAGCCTAGTGGTTAAAGCGTTCGCTCGTCACGCCGAAGACCCGGGTTCGATTCTCGACATGGGTGCATTGTGTGAAGTACATTTCTAATGTTCCTGCCGTGATATTGCAGGAATATTGCTAAAAGCGGCGTAAAATCACACTCACTCACACTCATTTCTTCTATAGCTATATTTTCAAATACCGTTGGCGAATTCCATTTGATAATGTATTTAATGTTATATATTCCTAAGCACTCAACATGAGTGAATCTAACAGCCTTACTGTAACGACATATCCTGAACAAAAACAATGGAGATCATGAATATTTTGGGGAACATATTCTGCAGTAAAGAGAGCACACAATGTCATATAAAGTCCCAAAACAATTTTGTTCAGGGTTGCGTCCCTTGGGAACGCCAGAAACCTATTATTGTGGGTTCGAATCCCGGTTCGCCCCGATTATGTTTCTAGGTTTGTCAGACCATACACGTGCTCGTGGGTTTCACCGAAGTGGTAAACGTCTAAGACCTGCACCACTTCGGGCTTTCCTCCCACATTAGGCTTTCACGCCGTGATATAACTGAAATACTGTTTAAAGCGGCGTTAAACACAACCCACTCACTCACTCAGTATAGATTCACTGACCTGTATGTGGGATTGGTGGAATTGTTGCTATTTGGTGAGGCTTAGTGGGCAGGTTGCCCTGGGTAACAGACCCTGATGACGGCACAACGCCACCACTCATTCCTTCAATATCAAGTGTGGTTTGGGGGGTGATGTCCCCCGTTGTGTGGGCCACGAAGTCAATACAAAGTTGGTCCCCGACATGCTCGTCGGCATTCCAACCCTTGTTGGTCAACACGAACTCCTTGCCCCCATCTGCCTTCTTGGCATCAGCCGTCCATACCTGCCGAGTTAGAAAGAAAATCGTGTTAAATTGACGGTGTGGTAATCTTACAGTTAAAGCGTGCGTGGTCACATCGAAGACCCAGATCCGATTCGTATATGTAGATATATCGTGGAAAACCTGTTCCTGTATAGTATCCAAAGCATTCAAACGAGGCATAACGAACCGTTATGCAATTGTGCGTTATGGAAATGTGTTAAATATCTTTTAAAATATCTTCCATTGGTATTTACTCTAACGCCATTATATTAATTTGAAAAGAACTGAGAAGACGGAATCGATCTATATGCATATACATATATTTTATTGGTAGATAGATAGATAGATAGATAGATAGATGTATATTCTCATATATACTCGTATATATATTTTGAGAGAGAGAGAGAGGCGGTTATATATACTCGTATATCGTACGATTTGTTTAAAACTGTAATAGCTTTTGCAACAATGAATAACTTACGTCAATGCTGTCGACGGCTTGGTCAAAACGTAGATGTGCCGTCCAAGAGTGCAGCTCCTTGGTAATCCCTATACAGGCCTTGGCCTGGAAGCCCCCGTTCCAGTGGTTGTTGAGTTTGACGTCCACTGCCGACCCGACAGCCACGATAGTCGCCACGAGAAACACAATCATCGTGACTGGAAGGGAAACCACTCCACAACATCAACATGTATGGGTGACAATTTGTGCCTATTGCTTTGCTTCCGATCGAAAATCGAAACGCTGAACGTGGGCGAATATTTCAACTGATCTCAACATGTGCACGTCGTGGGAATAGTAATACCATGCACCCACTAAGAATGAGATTGTAATGTGGTTGTTCACCTTCTAGCGCTTCGCAGGCAGCTTGGGTTGTATACTCCCCAGGGACATGAGAATTAATCGTCCACTGCACACTGATCAATTGACGAGGGTAATAATGGTTCGCGATTTGAGAATACACGAGAAATATAGCGCTACACTGTGTACACTGTAAAATAACCCCGTATTTTGATTTGCGGTAAAAGCCCTGGCAGTAAGATGCCTATAGAGTACTGTACATGAAAACGTTGACACCGTACGTACGGTAAGCCCGTATCTGCGACCGGAACGTTTCATGTACTTTTACTGGCAACCATCTGCCCGGATTTTCACCGTAGATACGAGCGATACCATTCTTTCTACAGTACAAATCCAGTAAAAGCGGTGTATAAATAAATATCCCATAATCCTGCGATACATCTGGCAATGACTCACTTTCTCAAAATTGTGAGCGCATTTATTCATAAAAGTTAAAAATAAATCATTCAGAAAAGAAAAACATTATGGATATTTTTGCACCTACCTATATATACTTACAAACCCATACCATGGGACATGATTTAGGAAAAAAGGCAAAGATGTCCTTACCTCCTTATGTTCAGATGAGAAGTGAAACGTGGTCACTGCAAGTCATAGATATATGTTTTCAGCGTATCCCACACCCTGACCTTATGCCTTATAAGCTTATCTACTGGCCCGACCCTTGACTCTTATATGTGCACGTGGTTAGACAAATGAGAGCAAACGTGGTATTGTACCGATATCTCAGATATCCGGGTGTCAAGCTCATTTTTCGCCTATCTGTTGACTTATTATATCCAACATGGATCATATTTTTACACATCATGACAGGGCAAAACATGGACATGAACATCTGCTCACGAAAACAGGTAACGCATGGAGCACAGCCCTGATTAGTGAGCTTGTGAACTGTAAATGAGATTCCCAACCTGATTGCGTATTGCTGAAGGTACACAAACAAGATCAGAATAAGAAGTATATAGTAATAGGGTCACCTATGTATCGCATAAATGATCACCATATGCTAATAAGGAACATTTCACTAATCTCGACATAATGGAATATGAATTGAATAGTAGTGTTATAATGTTAGTAGACTTTAAGGCAATGACCAGAGCGAATCCTGGTTTTGTCGACATTGAGGAAGTTAACCCCAGTGTAGACCTTCCTGATGAACTGCTGGAAGATGGACAGGAGAGACAGATTCTTTCTGAAAAATAATAATCTTTACATTTTAAAAGGCAGATTACATCAGGATAAATACTGTGGTAAAGCCATTCGTAAAGACGTTAGTGTTGTGGATTATGCTATAACACATAATTTCCTATAGACCTTTGATCGTTTAGTCGCAGATATACACTCTGTCCTGACACTTTGCTTTGAAATCACTTGTGAAATAATACCAACCGGCACAAAAGAAGATGACACCCAAGATAATGTGATGAGTAACAAATTAGACAAGAGCCAAAATTCAAACATGTGATACTGAGAGGCTCTGTGATGCAATCACACACTTGCGCATAGATAATGATATAGAAAATCAGCTGATTGATATTATCAGTACTATAAATGATATGTTTAGCTGATCAGCTGCTAATATTGCTCTTTGGGAATATACACAGAGATCTATATACACAGTGATCTATATACACAGAAAGTAAACCATGGTTTGGACGTGAATGCAAGCTAGCCCGTGGGAAATAGTCCAAAGCAAAGACATTATTTAACAAGCTATATGAGTATTTCAAAGACCTATAGATGCTGAATTAAATTAAGGTTATTATAAATATCTGGACAGACCATTTACGGCAGATGAAATTGCTATTGCTGTTAATTAATTAAAAACATAATAAAGCCAGTTGATGCGACAATAGAATCGATGAGCATATCAAAAGTTCAATTGTTTTGCGCCAGGTTACCAGTTGAATATGGTCGCTGGATAGAAATTACCATTCGTTGAAAGAACACGCCCATTCTGTACATGCAATGACATTGCGGTTGAGTAGCTTTGTATCTTAATTTGTGAAAGGTTTGTTACCTTTCGATCACAATCTGATTCTTAGATTCTTATTATACAAGGAATCCTTCAATGTTTAAACAGGTGAAATTGTTTGAATGTAAAGATAAACTTTCCATGAAGAAATTGTCAATTTTCTGAAAAATGTCTATAAATGCTTTTAAGTGACTATTGTACTAGTGCATGTGTATGTACTAAATATGTGGATGTATTGATCTCTGTTACGACGTAAATTGTAATAAAAAGGTAAATTGTAATACTTGCAGTAAATTGTAATAATTTTGACGTAAATTGTAATAACAACGTAAATTGTAATAATATTTGACGTAAATTGTAATACGCAAATTGTAATAAAAATTGACGTAAATTGTAATAATCTCTACTTGCGGTAAAATGTAATAAATTCTTACGTAAATTGTAATAACCTTACTACCGTAGTGTCCAAGACGCCAATTGACTAGAAATGATCTTTGTCAGTTGAGCTTGCGTTTCACATGTACAATTCGTACAGATACAAAGAGTATACGAATTATCATAAATTTCTTGCAATCAATTGCTGAAATATATCTGCTTGTATCCAAATAGAAAGGAATTGAAAATGTGTCACTAAAGTAAATTTTCTCTTTGACCTTGAAACGTACTTGAAGATCATTAAACTCGACTATCGTTATGCTTTCAGGGGATTATTGTCCGTCTCAAATTAGTGATAAAAAAGGAAAAACGTACGTTGGACATACTTTTATCTACGAAGAAGATACGTTTATCTAATGTATTTGCTACATTCTAACACGTATATATACAGGTTTGTGTTTCTATTTTATATTTTATAAATCTTACTTTGTTCATTTGTTACATTTTGTATAACCTTTAATTGCTCATATCAGCATTTTTGTGGGACCTCTCACATAGTAGTGTCACTCATCTTTCACTTGGAACACTTTACATACACACATACATACATACATACATACATACATACATACATACATACATACATACATACATACATACATACATACATACATACCTATGTGTGTATCTGTTTGTATGTATGTGTGTGTGTTTGTGTGTATGTGTGTATGTACATGTATATGTGTGTGTGTGTGTATACTGATTAGGGCATTGTATCGGCGATAAATATAATTTGGTTTCTTAGTTAGTCACTATTCTTTTCATTGAAATGTTAAGAAGGTATGCTATAATTTCAATATTTTATTCCTGTGCTTGATGTTAGCTGGAATTATTTTAATCCTCTTAAAACCCCAGAGAGGATTATCTTCTGAGGTAATTTTTGTCCGTATATAAGTCACAAATTAGTGATAACTTATGAAAAACGTAATTATCTGTTTCGAAAATTATGTACCGCATTATACGTGAGGTACCAAATTTGGTATCACGGTTGCTTGGCGCAATCCACCGACGATTGCCGAGTTTAATGATCTTAGAATACTCTTCGTACAAGGTCAAAGAGAACATTTACGTTAGTGACAAAACCCTTATCATTATAGATTATCCATCCTTTCAATTTTGATAAAAACAGATTTATTTCAGCAATAATTGACTGCAACAAATTTATTATACATTCTGATGCCTTGAAACTGAACAAATCATGCCCGAAGATACCGGATATTATTTGTGTATACTTTGAATTATGATTTCGTACCGTTATCATGATGGATTCTGTTTTTGTTGTTGGGGCAAGGAGTTATTATCCAAGCAAAAGTTGTCAGTAAGTTGTTGTTAGTTCTTCATGACATATGAAAGGAATCCAGACAGTTACATTTATTCATTTATTTCATTAAATATACTTCTTCCTATGAAAGGAAATATTTTATGTTATATTAATGATCCATATGTTAATCATACATTGCTACAAATATTGCATAAGTTAACATGGTTTGCATTTATTTATTATTATTTCTTTATCTGTGAAAAGTTCACAGAGATCGAGAATACACAATATCTAATAGTATATGCAATGTAGGTAAAGAATATCCACGCCCTTCTTTTGATATTAATAAAAACATTGCATATAATGTTATGTATTAAGTATTCTCCTTTCCCATGCATGGGGAATCTATGCTGCATTTGCTGACGAGTGGTTTTTTGTCCTTTGACATCTGTCACTCATTTGTTGTATTTGAATTCTTCGTCAAAATATAATGTATAAATACGATTGAACTGTCTCGTTTGTTTCAAGGAAACGGTCATGTGCTCCTTATCAAATTAAGTAAACCTCCAATGCAAATCGACATAATTTCAGGGTCCGGTTGCACAGAGCTCTCTTCGGTAACTCGTAACTCAATGTTATTGCAATGGACTCCTAGCTAAGCTACTATTGGATGATAAATCAATTAACATATTTGTCGAATAGAATTTGTGTACAGTTGCTAGAGTATCATTCTAACAATACAGACATGACACAAGCGGCACGTAAAATAATTGATAAAGGTAGTCCTTGCGGGTTCACATACCCACATGTACATCGTCCAGGACATTGTCATTATTTGCTTTACATCCTCCGAGCAACGTTAAAAAATTGAAACTTGAATAATAATAAATTGATGTTATGTATATAAACATGTTTAAATCAGCTTGCACACAGACTACTGCAGAATGACATCATGTGTCATCCATTTGCTAGTGTAGTTTAGTTTAAACATTTTTTATTCACAGAACAAAATGAGAATTGTATTGGGGACAAGTTCTTGCAACTTAGTAAACCCCTCTAACATAAAATATGTACAAATATACAGTTGCAAAATAAATAAATTTGCTTCAGTCAGTAAAAGTCAGACTTTCCACATTTACACATCAATGTATTTGTGTAAGTTTGTTACGTTATAATTATTCCATTGTGTATATTACTACCTACTTTACCAATTGAAATATGAGTCCATTAGGTTAAATATGAACAATTATGATAAAAATCGTCAATAGGATATGTTACAATTAAGTAAAAAAAAACACAGAGTATTTCTCAAATAAATAAGAAAACTAAGTTCATTCTAGTAATTAATCCTCTTCTGGACAACCATAGAAATGAAATTCCAATGCGTTTATATATACATATAATTATACAACAATGTACGATAACGACCTCAATCCTTCCCCCACACCCATACTTTAATGACGATTGTATGATAAACCCTGTACCAACCCTGACAAGGATAGGTTCTAGTCATTTAACGCCTTTGACACTAAACTTATAAGGTTATTACAATTTACGTAAAAAGTTATTACATTTTACCGCAAGTAGAGATTATTACAATTTACGTCAATTTTTATTACAATTTGCGTATTACAATTTACGTCAAATTTTATAACAATTTACATTGTTATTACAATTTACGTCAAAATTATGACAATTTGCTGCAAGTATTACAATTTACCTTTTTATTACAATTTTACGTCGTAACAATCTCTGTTAACCCTGAACATGCCATGAGAGCCTTGAGTGAAGTACAGTTCAGATCAGTTCAGTTCCTAGTTCGTGGATGTATAGTCATGTTTAATCACGAGGCCGTGAGATGGCCAGCGTGTTGTTACTATGTATATGTCAATGTCACTGATCATGTAACCACAGTGTCTAAAAACAAGGAGAAGTTATAATAAGAAATATTCCATTTCCACACGTCTCCATGGCATTCCAGACGGATTAAACATTAGAAGTATCTATCTAAAGTCAATACATTACTAAGCATTTTCGGTGACAATATAGTGTTCTTTTTCGATAAAATCCCAAATTAAAACACATGAATTGGCTAGGAAGATTAACTTAAACTTCAGATACATTAAACATCTGACATCGTTCAATAATCTTTATATTGCAAATTCACTTCCACTGATTTACTCACAATAAATGATACCAATCTTATCTGTTCGATATCATAAACATTAGGTATAGGATAAAACACTCAACCGAGGTTTTGATCGAGATTGTAAAACCTGAGGACGCCAGGATCGGGTAAGTAAAACCGAGGGCGAAGTGCGAGGTTTTACTTCCTCGAACCAGGCTACTTCTTTGATGCGGTCGAAGTATTTAATGTTATCTAGTCTTAAAGGGTAGGAACCTGATCATTCCACCCTCAGTAAGACAAATCTAACTACATTGCCACAGCTATTGAAGGACATGATATCTGTGGATCAGTTACTATATGAAGTGAGAGATATGCGGAATGAAAAACTAAAAGCCTTATGCAATATCAGTAATCTCGGAATGATTATCATTATAATTTGATTATGATAAGCATCACAGTTATAGTATTAGGTTATAAAAGGTTCAGACAATGGTTAACCCTTAGAGGGAGAAGTAAAAGAGTTGCAGGGGTGAGGCCCAGTTACGAAATGGCGTCGATGAATTTGTTTGGCACAAACTCGGTAATCTACTTACCACCATCTGTAGCGTGGGTAATGTGGAGTTTGGCGTTATACAACTAATAAACAAACAAGACATAAGAGCACAAAAGGGTGCAGCCCTATATAAAAGCAAAAGTTCCCAAGAATGTTTATACACCTATGAAATGTAGATGCTATCTAGATGCTAGGCCGTCATATTTGCTTCGTTTGTACATATACAGTGCCAACAATTAATAACAACATGTAGAAACGTTCCATATTTTATTTCATTCAAAACAATCAGTTTGCTTAACCATGACACTTTGGTGCAGGAACGGCTGGCAGCTCCTTGATTTGGACAAGATGAGTTAGACCTGAAGTAGAAAGCTTCAATTAGATAAATATGTAATTAACCGTAGTGACTGATACTAATACCCATAACCTATCACAATTATTGTCATATATTACTAGCATAAAACATGAAAAATGAACATATTGAACGTCCAGGCTTACTAATTGTATGCAATGTTTAGCAACCTTTTCGCATTCAAAACATGTAATTCTGGTTGCACATCACACCTCAGACGATATACGTACCAGCGAGAGCAGACTGGAAGCCGGAGTTGTAGTCGCAGGCCACCTCGTTGTGAACGTAGTCCTCCCTGTTGTCCTTGTAGGAGTCGTCTTTACCAGGACCTCCAACAATGGCGCCCACAAGGACGTGGGGGCTGGGACTGGAGGAATGTAGGTTGGCCTCAGTGCAGGGAGCAGGAATGTCACCGCAGGAGCTGGAATGAAGAACACAGTTAATGGAAGACATATGTACTAGATACATGCATACATACATTGTATGTCACATAGTTAGTGCAAAACGATTTAGAACACTATCACCTGTTAGATGATAATATGGGAAGTGACTATTCATGACTGAAGGTTTTGGCTGAATGAAAACCCAAAAAATGCATGTGTATAGCAAACTAATTTTAAGAAACAAATTCTCTAGAGCGACAGCGTGGAGTCTTACATGACTTTTCGTACGAACACGAATATGATAATGTAATCATATTTATTTTTAAAGAAGCTGTAATGAAGAAGTAATATTTTCTTCAGATCCGTGTACACTCATAAACATTGACCTTTGGTCATCTAGCATGACATATTTCCATATTACAACAATGGTGTATTAAGTCAAGGACGGTGTCAGAATATCCATAACGTTAAGTTACAGTAAGTGTGTACTGAATGTAGTGAGTATCTTAAAAACGAATATACAATAATTTTGTTGGCGGGCATATGGACAGTAATTGCTCAAAAATATATTTTCGTACATAACGATTTAAACGTGAAAGACAACTTTACGCAGATCTGTGATGTGGATTCCTTGGGTATTTTGTGCCGAAGCCAATCTGGTAGCTGATGCCGTAGTTGTTGTCCCCGAGGATGTAGTTCATCTGCTCAACTGCCCACTTCCTGTAGATTGCAGTGTCAATACCAGCATCAGCAGCCACCAGAGCGACGAATGCAGAGTTAGCTGCAGAGACAAAAGACACAAGCCCAGTCAAAGGGATACTTTGTAACATAAAATGAACATCAAGTCTATGTTGATGTTCCTTAAATTAAACTTTCTGGTCTACTACAACGTGATGAAAGTACAACTGATTAAATTTGGTTTTTCGAATGTAAGACCTTCACCTTATTTCTGCAAGAAACTTTTGGCATGGATACAACTTGGCAAAATAAGATCTTACTTAACCGAAACTTGTATGTCAATCATGCTCTTTGGGGTCTAGAGCATTTCTTCTAAATAATCATGAATGTGACCACCCACAAATACCTTCAGATTCTTGTTATTCTGGCACAATTGGGAATAAGTATACTCACTAAGTACACTCTCGTGTTGATTTCATGTTAAAATGAATAACTATTCGAGCACGCATTTACGTTTCTCTCTACATAGCGCTGGACTGCTATTGTGATGGCTATGATATTGACCTGCATATCTGTTGGAGCCCCACTGGTCTCTCCATGCCTGTCCGCATGGAGTGTAGGTGGTGGTGCCACCGGGGAACCAGCCCTTGAAGAAGCCCTCGATATCTTTCTTGTACGCAGTGTCATTGGTAGCCTCGTACAGGAGCGTCTGAATGCAGGAACACAGTCAGATTAGTATGGGTGTAATACAAACAACAGAATAAATAGTTTCATTAATAGTGTTAACTATTTCTGTTGCACCCCGATGTGACATTGCTGGAATATTGCTAAAATGATTTAATACTTTATTACTTTAATACTTTATCGACATCAATGCCAGTTGTCAATACAATTTTGGTTAAGAAATTGTTTCGAGATATGAATATTTCAGTAATATACAGCGGAGACTACATGTGTGGGTCTCGTGACACTGGCAGACAATAACAATATGGTTATTAATTTTGACATTAATACCGACCACAGAATCGTCCTATCGCATGTGTAAATAATGATTCATCACTTCATTATCATCCTTATCTTTTACGACAACCAATTCCATCAGTCGGTTACAAGGAAAAACATAGAGAAACAAGGATGATTACACTGCTTTAGTAGAAATCCTGATCATGATTCTCTCTCATTTTCGCATATCGTCGCTGTGTTATTCATTATGTTATACAATTTAGAACATTTGGAAACAAATTATCACACGTAATGTATATTTGCAAAGGTAAGTGGGTGAGCCATAGTTACAGAGGAACAAAGCTCTACCACCTGGTACCAATTTCCAGTCTTTGTCTAGCCATTGCCGTATGGCGACTGTGAAGTCGGCGTTTGTATCTTTAGGTATTCATTTACTGATAGGCATCATAAGTGTAGGTTAGTTGATTTTCAAATTGGGCTAGGAGAGACATTTATATTTTGACTGTCAGTCAACTTGAGCTTAGTACCCCTTCGAGCCAAAGACCTGTTCACCTGGCAAGCGATTCTCTTGGTGTCCCATCCCAGAGCCCACCCCCAGTGATCATCGGTGTATCCCTTGGCATCAGCAAGGTACGACTTATCCCCCGTTGCTTTGTACAGCCATATAGCACCTTCACACATCTCATCCTTGAATCCACTGGACCTGGATTCAAGACATAAATAGCTGAGTCATTTGACCTTTGGCATAAGACAAATTTAATCTTATCACAACGGTAAACTATATGGTGATCATGACAGCTACTCGGCAGATGTGAGTCTGTATAGTCCAACTCACATTCCTTCTCTGCAACACTTGCCATTCTGTAATCCAGTGTGAGTGAGTGAATGTTGATGACTGCATATCAGCAGTATTTCACCTATTCACAGCAATAAGTTTGATACATTTAACAAATATATCAAATACGCTTACTTGCTGTAAGTTATCTCTCGAATATGGCTTTGCAGAATTGGAACATTAAGAGAAAACTAGAAGCATTCATTACTTTCTATCTTATGAAGAAAATTCGAATGGACATACATACAAATACAACTGTATGTTGGGATAGATATATATCCGATCAGAACTACATGGTGGACATGACATACGTACAAGAAGAATTGCACGTTACAATGAACATACGTACGAGTAGAACTGGCCGGCATCCGAGATACTCTGGCTGTATATTCCAGGATACTTCTTTCCAAATTCATAGATCTGCTTGGATGCAGTTAGAAGTTTGTTTGCATAGGCATGATCTAGTATAGGAAACATTTTGTCAAGTCAGCATTATATCAAATATATAGTTAGACGCTGCAATGGCTGATCATAGCGCTTCGATAATTTGACACACCATGTCGCTTCAATTGTAATATATAATTTGATCTCGAATACTTTCTTGAATCGTCCCACATCTTCTTAAGATCACCTCTGTGGTCCAGTGGTAGAGCATCCACCCGGAGAGTGGAAGATCCGGGGTTCGAACCCCGGTCGCGTCATACAGAAAGACATTTAAAAATGGCACTCTGAATTAAGGGGCACAATAAGGACTGGTCGACCCCAGACTTGTACAAACAACCACACACACAAACGTCGCTAAATAAGTGCAACAGTCTTGGACGAGACGTTAAACCCGGTTTCACCTCACTTCACCTATTCTTCTTAAATGTGCTAAATGCTAAATCTGCAAAGTTTATTTTCTACCATAAGCAATGGTGCGTCATCAACATTAGCCATTGTCTTGAAGACTGACACCAACAGCAACAGCATTATCTTCTATGCAAACACCCACCTCTTTGTTTGAACGCCAGATACCCAGCAGCCATGGATGCAGCAATCTCCCCAGCAACATCGGACCCAGGTTTGCTTGGTGTGAGTTTATAGGCGGGTCTGGCCATCTTCATGTCCTCAGCGCGGCCCCAGAAGTGGTGGTCATCATTTCCTTCTCCAACCTTGGGGAAATCAGACACTAGGTTTGAATACATAGAAGGATACCGTCATTAATGATTTCATTTGTTTTGTAAGTATATTCAAGCCGTTAATGCCAGTGAATAATCAGTCCAACTGGTCGCGAAAGGCAAAATAGAGAAATTATAGGAAAGGATCACAGAAACCTAGTAATCACACCAGATGTTCACGAACATGGATTTTGTTTGTTGCCCAAAGCTGCACCCAGGCTTACGACGACGGCCTGCAAACAACCTAGATTTTTGTTTTGTAAGAATATCGCAGTTTAAAACAGGATCGATTCCTCCTTAATTAGCCATACATGAGCGCTTAGTTCAAGGGACTACCCTCCTCTGCTCCAGGCGCAGATACCAAACCTTCAGCTCGTAAGCAGAGTCTACCATGCCATACCGATCATCAACAAGAAACGTGTTTGCAAGTACACGCATACGCAGAGGCTACCACTTCATCGCCATTTCTAGACGTCCACAGAAATCAGAACATACCACCACGGAATTAGGTCTGTTATAATTACCTGGGGAAATCGGGGGAAATACCTGCCTACTACAACTTCAAAAAAGCATACCTTAGCGATTGCTGACCTTAGTCGTATTACTTTAGCTACTTGAATTAAAGATTCATAGGCACAAAAGTTCCAGTGCCTCTATCCAACTTTATAAAAATGTTATGTGCACTTCACCCAACATTAGGATGGGCAACGTTTTTTTTCGGGCAACAGTGAACACTTCTTCAGTTATCATGAACATAAAATAGTTTCAGTGTTTGACTTTAAGTTTAGGTTTGTGTTTTTGTGGCTATTTTCCATAAATGACCTTCACCGTAATCTTGACCGTGCAGGTAGCTATAGATCATCTAACGCTGCTGTCTATGGTGAATGCGGCAGAGTTCATTTGTATATTACCTATTTTGTAAGATGTGTTAAATATTGGTCAAGATTGCCTCATGTGAACTTTAATAGCTATACATATATTTGCTATCCTTTTATTAGCGAGTGTTGATAGGAAACGCCCCAACTAGGCCACACATGTAAGACATTTATTATTTTCCTACGGTTTTGTTATCGCTTGGATTTCACAGGATGTTGGTGAGCCTAAGCTATTTATTACCCAGTTTAAAGAAAGAGTGCACAACTGTTCTTTGCAAGAATGGCATGCCTCTTTAGACTCAAATGTATTACCTTGTTATCAGACTCAGAAATCATTGTTAGATTGTGAAAAAATATGTGTCTCTCCTAATGCCCTGGGAGTACAAACGTCTATTAAGCAAGTGTAGAATAGGCTGTATTCTTTGGGTGAACAGCATCGACGTAGGGGTCTATCAAAAACAACCGATGATAATGTTCTGTGTGACGCAATTGAAGATTAAATTCAAGTTGTATATGTGTGTAAATATTATGAAGATGAGTGTAAACTTGTATTACCCAAATTGTCAAATAAGCAGTATTATTCACTTAAAAGCCTATGTACTTCGCCAATGTAGTATTGCCATTTACCAAGTTCTTAACCCACCTTTTTAAGAACTGTTCCTTTTAATAAGTAATTTTGTTAATTTGAGTCTGTATATCCTCATGTGGTAACTCAAATTATGATGTTAAATGTATTTTGCATTTTAGGCCTCGTGGCCTTTAATGCAAATAAACCAGTCTGTCTGTCTGTCTGTCCTTGCAGGTAGATCACACACAATTAGGATACACTAGGATACACCAAAACGAAATCTTACCTGTGCATACAGAGTCTGACTTGCTGGAATCCAGCACTTCAAGAAGTAGTCCAAGGGCCACTTGATCATGTCAAAGAAGTTGTCTGTTTGTTTGGTGGTAGCATAGGCATCTTTCCACTGTAGGTATCCCCAGAGCAGCAGGGTGGACGAACTGGACATGGGCAAGCTGAACTTGACGTGGTCACCAGCTGGGAGCAAAGTAAGTAGTTCATAGCCCTTCTTTAAGATACGTTAGGAGAAGGGATAATAAAAGCGACACAACCATTTGTATTATCATAATTTATATTAACTTAATTAACTGTGAAGTGAGGAACAACTCTCCACAAGACATGACAAGAGGGATGAATTCAACCTTCCAAGAGTCAACTTTTCCTTTGTGTCGAGAAATATTGCAGCAGCTCCAACCTTTGGTGTCTGCATTTCACACTTTTTGGATCAATCAAGTGTCGACGAAGACTTCAAACAGTCATACCAAATTTGTTTGATCAAGGCTGCAACATTCAAGGTCTCAGTGAAGCTTTCAAAAAGCTTTATGGTAGACATGCGGAAAATATTTCCGAATTTGACAAATCAGTGATAATAATGTTCATACAACAGTTAGCGGGTGATTTGTGTCCTATTGCCATGTGGACATTGTCTACAGTGTTGTAAATGGTACTATACAGTGTCTGGGGTACGGACTACTGACCATCATACCACCCTCCAGTCAGATCCTCGCCGTTGTCTCCCTTGTCTCCCAGGGCGGAGTCACCTCGCCACTTGATGGGGTTGTTGGCCGGAAGTTTGCCTGATCTCTGAGCATCATAGAACAAGATGGACTTGCCAAGAGCCTCGCCATAGTTGTATCTTGCTTTACCGCCTCCTGCAACATGAATTTACCCTGTACATACTTCATTTGAGATGTATGTGAATTGTTACATTTTAGTCATCGCTATTTTCTGTGCAGAGTTGCGTGCCGGAGACCTCTGCTTGTGGGTTTTAATCCTCGCCTCGACCTGATTATGTTTCCAAGTTTGTCAGCACCATACCCGTGCACACTAGAAAACGATCTAAGATCTGCATTACACATACCTCTACTTTCACATCAAGTGGAAACGCACTGCTATAACTAAAATACCCTGTGAATGTTGTCAATGTAATTAAACCTGCATGAAATACTTAATTCCAGTTAGATCACTTCTTGAAACTTTTTACACGTACGGCTTCCTATTCAGAGGTATAGTCAGTGCCACTTAAATAATATGTGGACATTTATAGTTTGGCTTGATTTCTACAAAACATGTATAGTTATTTTTATATATTAGATTGCCGCAGGATCCCATGGGGAATACGGATTTTAAAGATCCCCAGTAACGTATGCTGCTCGTAAGAGGCGACCAAATGGATCTGGTGACTGCGTCTCATCGACACCCGGTGTGTATCGGCGCTCACAATATCGACCACTAGATTATATCTGGTCCAGAATCGATTATTTACAGGCCACCACCATATAGCTGGAAACTGCTGCGTGCGGCGTTAACCAATCCACAAACAAATGTTGTTGCATTTCCTCACATGTACATGTTGTTTACATACTCGGATATGGCTTGGTGCATAGAATGAACAGACGGCGCGAAGATAGAGTTCATATAAGCCTACCCATCCTGTTCCAACAGTTAGATGTTAGCTAAGTGTTTTTAATAGTATAACTGTTGGGAACCACAACATTCTGTTGATAAAAAAAACACATCCAACGAACGCACCTGTTTGCGACGTCTGCACAGGGGCCTGGGTGCCGGTACCGGTATGGGTACCCGTGTTGGTACCCGTGGTTCCGGTGGTGGTTCCGCCAGCATTGACGCCCTCTATTGTTAGGGTGGTCTTAGGGGTGATATCACCACTTGTGTGACCAACAACGTCCAGGCAGAGTTTGTCGCCAGGATGTTCATCTGCGTTCCACTGTTTGTTCGTGAGGATGTATTCCTTTCCCCCATTCGTCTTCTGGACATCGGCTGTGCCGCACTGTGAACATCGTTATAGCATACAGACCTCCTGTACAGAGTCGCAATCGACGGACGTCACAAGGTTACAAGGGCTGGGTGGGTCGGATTTGGGGGATAAAGATGCCAGTGGTCACGGGCGCTTTACTTTTTTAATATTAACTTCCATCGTACAAAATCTCACATTGTTATCATTTCGGCTACAGATCGACTGTTGACAAAGAATTATAATTCTGATGAATCTTGAGTACGGCCGGACAACCAGCAGACGTGCAAACAAATATACCATGAAATCATATCATTACATTTTCTTTTATATTTATAAGATGGCTGAGATTTATTACAGTAAACCCGAGTGATTCTTAATATTTGGATACAATAATATAATCGGGAATATAATAATATTTGATTATTTTTTATTTGGAGAAAACTCTATTCCGTATAGAAAGTGTAATGAATTCATGGCCCAACGACGCAGACACGCTTTCACACGAGCCAGAAGAGATATAATTGCCAATTTCATGTAGGTCGAAAACCTAGGACTATATCCTCACATCTAGAGAATCAACGGCCTCCGAGAACTTTAAGTGCGCCTTCCAGCTATGAAGTTCTGTGGTGATCGCGATGCAGGCCTTCGCCTGGAAGCCGCCGTCCCAGTGGTTGCCGATGGTGACGTCCACCGCCGAGGTCGCGGCCGCTAGAGCCGCCAGTACAAACACCAGCATATTGTCTTATAACAGAAGAAAAGTACTATTTAAATTATCGTTCTATGATATTGCAAGAAAAGCAACAAATAAACAACATTTCCTTAATCATAAGAAGTTTCTTCTGAAAACAGAGTCGATTGTACGATTACGACATATATCATTATCAAGTATTTATGAACCATTAGTGATGATCAAGGGTGTTCACGAAAAGGTGAGCGTATCCTGCATCTCCGATGGATTCCATCTCAAACACATGCAGTGGCTTGTCAATTATTCACCTGAACGGGAACATAGGGTACTGTCATTTTTGTCACTGATCGATCGATCCAGTTACGATCTTACGACCAGAATGGTTTGCTGAAAATTAATTCTTTCCCGGATTTTCCCAGGGTCCGAGTTCTTTGACGTATTCTTGGCAATTGTTACATTTCTGGACTATGCAACTAAAGCACTATTTTCAGAACCGACATTTACTGATGTTAGAGCTACTCTACGCTCTACGTGGTAACAATATTCACTTATTTATTCAATGTTAGGAAACCTTGATTCAGTCTCACAACAACACTTCCTGTGGCTACACAAAACATGCTGTAAAAAAAGCACACAGATTCTCCTCTGCAAGCTTGAAAAGAATATAGAACGGCGTTGAACCCAGCACACTCGTTCCCAACTTACAGTGATTTCAGTTCTTGGACATACTTTGGACTTATAGCATGGAGTGTGTATCACCATATATCAAATATTGTTTTAGACGTTTTAAGCAGTAACGTAATTTTAGGTTTTGAAACGTTATGTCAGACAGTTTTACACACAAAAATGTCAGTGACTCAAGACCAACGTTCACACATGTCTTCATTCTCACGGTGACCACACCTCAACCAGATGTCTGCAGCAGGATGGCCTTGAAGTAAACCAAGGGCCTTGGTAGAATCACATGCAGGTAAGATTATTAATGTTTGTTGATGAGGGAAACAGTTGTCTTCTCGTTTAGCGAACGGACAATCACAGATAAAACAATTCCAAGGCATCAATCAGGAAAACATTTTTCATTTTTCATAATACCCCTTTTCCACAATAATATATATGTCTATATACATAAAAACAAGGGAGTAAAATAAAATATTCATGTTAATATTTATTGAATTACATGAACGTTTGACGATAACGAAACCAATCTTCACATGTCTCAGTCTATCTTCTGTTCATTGTCTGATGACAACAGGACAGACGAGTGTAAGAGATAAATGGAACAGTGCGTTACAAACAGAGGCACAGGAATCTAATAAATTTCCGATTAAAACAATGAAATTGTGTACCCTAACTGTCAAACACCTATTCCGTATAGATAAACTACAGGAATGAAACACATTCTCTAAAATGTCGCACCTCTCTCACAACGATGGTCTCGTATTTTAATGCAAAATTCAATTCAATCAGCAATGTTGCTTAGGCGTGGTCTCAGTATGAATTAAACGGAGTCCAATTCACATTGAGACCTTGTGACCATTATGCCACAACTTGCTAGAAAATGGAAACTAGCCTCTATTTTCTTTCTTACACTTGCAGGTTTTGATTTTCTGACATGGCCAAATACGTAAGTATGTCAAAATTAAGTACCCAATGTATTTGATGTTGTTACAAATCCTAAACACACATTTGTTCAAATAAACAAAGTCTAGTTCTCATACTTCTGATTACATTTTCAGAAAGTTTCGCTGAATTCGTGTGGCACACAGATCCTCTGTGCCTAATTCGTTCTTTGAGATGTGGCATTTCATTCCTGTTGTTTTTCTGCGGAGTGTGTGTGTGTAGGTTATATATATTAATTGTCAGAGTCTTGTGTTAGAAGTGAAATGACATGTATTTGTGCCACGGAATAATTCCAATTTCAGGCATAAGTAATGAAAACCTAGTTGTTGAAAGGTGTCTCACATACACACGCTTACCTCCTGACTACTGACTATGTTTTAATGTTGCTTAATTCTTATAACATTCTTATACCATACAGATCCCGTAGGGCTACCTCGTCCTTTGAGAGATGGCGTTTCATTCCTGCAGGTTGTCTGTAGAGTGGGGTTTTTGATAGTAACCATTCATTGCTTTAATCAGAACTTCAAAGTACTGTCACAGAAGTGAAATGACATGCATTCGTGCCACTGACTCACATATCAGGCATAAGTATTTGAAAACCTTCCCTTACCTTGTCACTCCTGACTCGGTACGTCTACTGAAGACGCTGTAGTCGCCCCACCTCGCCTCACCTGTCACCGGCCTTATCTTGAAACCTACTTTCCAAACACCAATAGTAATGATACACGAAGAAGCGCGCAGCTGAAGTAGAAACTTTCAAAATATAGAATTAAAAATTGTGTTGTGTCACGTCGACCTGTGCTCAGCGCCCACGTCATAAATCAGAGGAAATTAAGCAACGTTGGTCATGGAGAATACTTGAATTGATGACCCTTGTCGGCAGCTTAACTCCTGCCAGTTTCTTGGGATTCGATCCTAAAGCACCTGTAGCACATGTGGTGTCTCCTTTAGCAAGTGACGCTAGCAATGAATGGGTACCCTGTACAATGAAATGGCAATCTTTTAGCGAGTCTGAGAATTAAAATACCATGCAAATGGTCCATTGACTTGGGTCATTATGATGAAAAGCTATCAGCAATCATATATCCGGTACTCTACTTTCCTGACTAAAATAGTGAGTGCTATATCACGGCTTGTGGGAGAAAACCCGTAGTGACCTTTCTTAGACGTTTACCTCTTTGGTAAACCCTTTTCATGAGAAATCTCTGCTAAAGGGAGTGAGTATGGTTTTACGCCGCTAACAGTAACATTCCAGCAATATCAAGGCGGGGGACACCAGAAATGGGTTTCACACATTGTACCTATATGGGAAATCGAACCCGGGCCTTCGGCATGATGAGTGAACGCTTTAACCACTAGGCTTTAACCCCTACGTTCCAGCAAAGGTGAAGGGATTAGTACACACACACACACACACATGTTTGATGGTGGCTGAATATGAAACAACAAAAAATGGTTATTGGATAGTGATATTTTCATACGGGTTTCATAGCTGTATTTTCGACCTTACGTTTGCAGTATTTCGACGACTCTGTTCAACCTAGCAACGTTGAGATAACGTTTGTAATTTTTTAGGTTAATATCAATTTTCAAGTATTTACCTTCTTTTGCTGGGCAGTTTATATCCAAATCTAATCTTTACCAGTGATGATACCAAATGTTCGCGAAAATGTTAGCGTATGTTCACAAACGCTCACATGAAAGTCTATTGTAAACCTAAACACACGGGAACATATGGTTCAAGTCAAATGAGGGAATTTCATCAGATATAGTTTTTATCAGTGATTCTTCGAATGCATAAATGTCCTCCAAAAGTCTACTATACTGAGGCCTTGAATGTTGGAAACGTATCAAACAACTTTTGAGCAAGAGTCGTATACCTCTCTTCGAAATAGTCTTTCGAAAGAGCGTGGGCGGTTGTACCTCAAAATTTGCGAAATGTCGGCACCGATGGTTGGAGCTGATGGAATATTTCTCGACATAAAAACAAGAATATTAGACAGTTTGATGCTGTCATTATAACCCAAGATTATAGGCTTTTGGCAGGCCTTTTAACACTACTTTGCAACGCGAATTGCAACGCCTTAGACGATCGTTACCCCTGTTGAACAGTGATATATTTTGCTTTTAACTAAGCTTTTCAATTATGGTTTCATTATCAATGGCCTGTCATTCCAGACATTGCATGATAGACACCTAGGGGAAAGTACTAAATATGAACAGGAACGTTTCTTATATTCTGCACTCTTTGTATTCTTTGATTATTATTCAAGGCATGGCTGTATAATACTTATAGATCTGTGGGAAAGTAACTAAACATTTACTGAAAAAACATCAACATACATTTAATGGAAGAACATAAACATACCTATACTGCAGGAACGTAGCCACACATTTACTGCAGGAGCGTAGCCTTACATTAACTGGAGGAACGTCGCCTTACACGTACTGAAGCCACGTAGCCTTACATTTTCCAAAGGAATGTCGCCTCACATTTACTCCAGGAACGTAACCTTACATTTACTGAAGGAACGTAGCCTTACATTTACTGAAGTAACGTAGTCTGACATTTACTGAAGTAACGTAGCCTTACATTTACTGAAGGAACGTAGCCTTACATTTACTGAAGTAACGTAGCCTTACATTTACTGAAGTAACGAAGCCTTACATTTACTGAAGTAACGTAGCCTTACATTTACTGAAGTAACGAAGCCTTACATTTACTGAAGGAACGTAGCCTTACATTTACTGAAGTAACGAAGCCTTACATTTACTGAAGGAACGTAGCCTTACATTTACTGAAGTAACGAAGCCTTACATTTACTGAAGTAACGAAGCCTTACATTTACTGAAGTAACGAAGCATTACATTTACTGAAGTAACAAAGCCTTACATTTACTGAAGTAACGAAGCCTTACATTTCCTGAAGGAATGTAGCCTTACATTTACTGAAGTAACGAAGCCTTACATTTACTGAAGTAACGTAGCCTTACATTTACTGAAGTAACGAGGCCTTACATTTACTGAAGTAATGAAGCCTTACATTTACTGAAGTAACGAAGCCTTACATTTACTGAAGTAACGAAGCCTTACATTTACTGAAGGAACGTAGCCTTACATTAACTGAAGTAACGAAGCTTTACATTAACTGAAGTAACGAAGCCTTACATTTACTGAAGTAACGAAGCCTTACATTTACTGAAGGAACGTAGCCTTACATTAACTGAAGTAACGAAGCCTTACATTAACTGAAGTAACGAAGCCTTACATTAACTGAAGTAACGAAGCATTACATTAACTGAAGTAACGAAGCCTTACATTTACTGAAGTAACGAAGCCTTACATTTACTGAAGTAACGAAGCCTTACATTTACTGAAGTAACGAAGCCTTACATTTACTGAAGTAATGAAGCCTTACATTTTCTGCAAGAATATAGTTTTTCATTTACTGAATGAACATGACCATACATTTACTGAAAGGTAGCCATACATTAACTGAAAATGAATATAAGAAGCATATTTTTCAATATTGATAAGAAATATCTGCTAAAAGGAATGTCACTTGGAATGTCAAGAACGTTTCAAGCATTTACGCTTTCATATAATGTCGAAGAAAGATATCATTTGGTCAACTTGCAGTAACTTGCAGTAAGATTGGCTTCAGTGACACTGGTTGAACTCAAAACTTATTTCCTGGTCATATGATGCCAACCTAACACTAACTATAAAATGTCAGCCTTCCAAAATGGTGGCACCACGAAGACCTATCACATAGAAATCCGGAAAATATCACAGAAGTAGGGTACTGCTTGTTGATAAAAACCATTGCGGACAAATGACTGTAATATGATTAGACGACTGATCGCGCTCCTCTGGCGTTAATATATCAATGATAAAGTTATTGGTACCCGATGAGTCGACCATGGATCTAGTTCCGTTGTCTCACGACTATTGTGAGCTATCAAAAGATACAAAGTTGCGTTTCTCTGAGGGTGCTGAGTGTGGCGTTAAACAACAAACAAACAAGACATAAAAGCACAACTGAACGTAGCCAGACTCAAATGCAAAAAATTCAAGAACGCTAATGCATCTGTAAAATGTTCGAGCAGAACATTAGCCTTTCGGCACAAATGAAAATACTATCTGAGGCCGTTAGATAAAATTCGTTTGTACAGTGCAAATATACAGTACCAATCCTTAATCATTAACAATACAAAGAAACATTCAATATTTTATTTCATTCAAAACAGTCCGTGACACTTAACCGTGACACTTTGGTGCAGGTATGGCTGGCAGTTCCTTGGCTTGCACAAGGTGAGTTAGACCTGAAGTAGAAGGCATCAATTATATATATACGTAATTAACCGTAATGACTGATTCTAATAATCATTACCTGTTACAATTATTGTCATATATTGCTCAAATATAACATGAAAACTGGACATATTGAACGTTCTGGGTTGACATTTATATGAACTGTCTCGGAATCTTTTCGATTTCAAAGCATGTTATTCTGGTTGCACATCACACCTCAGACGATATACGAACCAGCGAGAGCAGACTGGAAGCCGGAGTTGTAGTCGCAGGCCACCTCGTTGTGGACGTAGTCCTCCCTGTTGTCCTTGTAAGAGTCGTCATTACCAGGACCTCCAACAATGGCGCCCACAAGGATGTGAGGGCTGGGGCCAGCGGTGTGGAGGTTAGTCTCGGAGCAGGGAGCTGGAATGTCAGGGCAGGAGCTGGAATGAAGAACAGTTTGTGTGTTTGTTTGTTTGTTCTTTAACGCCGCAATACTCCAGCTTTATGACAGCAGTCTGTAAATAATCGAGTCTTGACCAGACAATCCAATGATTGACACGATGAGCATCGATCCATGCAATTAGGATACGATGATGTGCGTTAACTATGTCATCGAGTCTGACCACCCGATCCCGTTAGTCGCCTCTTACGACAAGCATATTCGCCTTTTACGGCAAGCATGGGTTGCTGAAGACCTAGACCCCGGATCTTCACGTTTGTGTGAGACATATAAGAAACAAAAGACTCGTGGGAGTTGTTTATCGTACAATAAAACACGGCAGGAATATAAACAGCCCCGATTGGTTTGTTCTCCTTACCGTGTTTTATTGTAAGTCAAAACAACGACCACGAGTCGTTTATAGCTTATATCCGATGTCAACATTATGTGCAGCCTCTTTAAGTGTGTTGATAAAACATACAAGCTTTATAAATACTTATCAGTCTCTTAATAATGGTAACTCCCTGAATAGAATCCGACAAGTCCAGTTTGGTGGGTTACCAGGCTCGTTAAGTTTGGTATTTCCCGCATACTCTCACAATCCTCACGTCGATTATCTGTACCATTTCTCCTAATATTGATTGTCATATCTCTCCCACTTTTGGGTGCGATCGTTCGACCACTGCGTTTATCGGCGTAGCCCAACATACCCAACACTTCCCTCTCAAAAATAACGTCGTCCATTATATGACGTTATCAAGTGGCGAGTGCATAACCGAAGACTTACGCGGATCTGTGATGTGGATTCCTGGGGTATTTTGTGCCGAAGCCAATCTGGTAGCTGATGCCGTATTTATTGTCCCCGAGGATGTAGTTCATCTGCTCAACTGCCCACTTCCTGTAGGTTGCAGTGTCAATACCAGCATCAGCAGCCACCAGAGCGACGAATGCAGAGTTAGCTGCAGAGACAAAAGACCCAAGACCAGTCAAAGGGATACTTTGCACCATACAATGAACATCAAGTCAATGTTGGCCTTTATATTTCTAGACATGTTGGTCTAGTACAACGTGACAAAACCGCAACTTATTAAATTTGGTTTTACGAAATGATAACCTATAAGGTCTTCACCTTATTACTACATGCATCTGCTAGCAACTCCTCTATTTTCCTGATTGCAAAAACTCTTTGACATGAATACAACTTTTCACTCAGCCATTATCAGTCTCAATTATCTGTGGAAACAGATTCCATTCGGCGTAAAAGGTAAAACTGCTGGGAAAATTAAGCAAATGGCACTCTTATCATAGGGTTACTTCACCGAAATGTATTTCTTGTTTAGTGCATTTCTTTATATTGATCAGTAATGGGACTTTGGCAAGATCATCTACAAATAAGCTCAGGTTCTTGTTATTCTTGCACACTAGCGAATACGTACACTCACTAGGTACATTCTTATGGTGATTTCATGTTGTAATTATTAACTATTAAAACACACATTTAAGTTTAACTCACCAGAGCCGTGGACTCCTATCGTGGGTATGAAGAATTGCTTTCTATTATTTTCGAACCTCTATTTGCTTCAAAATGAAATACGCCTATATATGTTTATTAGATTGACCTGCATATCTGTTGGAGCCCCACTGGTCTCTCCACGCCTGTCCACATGGAGTGTAGGTGATGGAGCCACCAGGGAGCCAGCCCTTGAAGAAGCCCTCCACCTCCGCCTTGTATGCAGTGTCTTTGGTAGCTTCGTACAGGAGCAGCTGTACAAGCAGATAAGCATAGGTTTAATCCAAACAGTATGTACAAAAGTGTCATTCCTCTTTCTTTTGTCCCAAACGTCCGTTACAAGGAGATATTTTACACTGATCATTATTATATTTCATTTACATTTATTCACATAATTAATTCAGTTTAAAATGTAATATTGAAAATTTGGAAACACATTATCACCCACAATTCATATTTGATAAAGGTAGGTGTGTGAGCCACAAAGCTCTACCACCTGGCACCCATTTCCAGTCTTTGTCTAGCCTTTGTCATATGTCGAACTGTGAATTCACCGTTTGTATTTTGGGTATTCATTTATTGACATGCATCGTAAGTGTAGGTTAGTTGACAACCAACTTGTTTGGACTGCCAGTTAAGTACCCCTTTAATCTAACTTGAGCAAACCAAAGACTTGTTTCACCTGGCAAGCGATCTTCTTGTCGTCCCATCCCAGAGCCCACGCCCAAGCATTCTCGTGGTATCCCTTGGCATCGGCAAGGTAAGACTTGTCCCCTGTTGCTTTGTACAGCCACATAGCTCCTTCACACATCTCATCCTTGGATCCGCTGGACCTGGATTGAAGACAAAACAAAGTCATTGATAACGTTTCTCACCTTTGGAATTACCCAATCTTAATCTTATCCAAACGGTATCCTCCATGACGATCATGACGGGCTTTCGGAAGGCTACCAGTGAGTAGGTATTGTCCAAGTCACATTCATTCTCGGCATCATTGGTTGTCAAGCACCCGCCATTCTGTAATCCAGGTTGACTGAGTGAGGGAATGTTGAAGACTGCATACCAGCAGTATTTCAGCTCTTCGGGGCAATAACTATTATATACTTAGCATTAAGCCAAAATCAATCCTGTCTTTCGAATATGGCTTTACAGAATTGGCACCTTCAGAGCAAACTAGAAGCATCCGTAAGCTTCCACCTAGCGAACTTAAATTGATATTTCCTCCAAAGAAAAATTAATCCTACGCATCTAAAATCAAAAAACAATTTAAAGAATTAACAGCTTGATGTGATCGTGTATGATGTGTGACTCTTGGTGTTGGCGTATTAACTTATATACTTCAAAATGCATCATTCGGATGTGATTAATACTTTGCCTGTAAACTTGAGTGCGAGTGAGTGAGTTGGGTTTTACGCCGCTTTTAACAGTATTCCAGTTATATCGCGGCGTGTCAGCTTAATGTGGGAGGAAAGCCCGAAGTGATGCAGGTCTCAGACGTTTTCCACTTCGCTGAAACCCACGAGCACGGGTATGGTGCTGTCAAACCTAGAAACATAATCAGGGTGTAAACTTGAAGACGTTACCAGACACCACAGGAATAAATACGTTGGACGTACGTAAGAGTTGAATCGCACGTTTCTATGGCCATACGTACGAACAGAACTGCTAGGATGAATATACATCCTAGTAGGTCTGCACGATAGAATGGACATGCATACACATATAACTCTATGTTAGAATAGACGTGTGTAGGAATAGAGCTGCACGCTGGAAATGACATACGTACGAGTAGAACTGGCCGGCATCGGAGATACTCTGGCTGTATTTTCCGGGGTACTTCTTTCCGAATGCATAGATCTGCTTGGATGCAGTCAGGAGTTTGGTCGCATAGGCAGAATCTAAACATTTTGTCATGTCCGCATTATGTCTAATTTATAGAAAATGGTCAGACGGTACAACGACTTATCATAACACAGCTGTCAATATTCCAACGCAGCTCTTCCAGAATTTGAAAAACCATATCGCTGCAATTATAATGAATAATTTGATCTCCATTACTATCTTGTGTCGGCAAACATCTCCTTCTGAAATGTGCGTAATGCTTAATCTGCAAAGCTTTTTATTAACCAAAAGCATTGGTGTGTCATTAACATTTGTTGATACCAACAACAACAGTATTTAGCATTTCTTCATAGAAACACCCACCTCTCTGTTTAAACGCCAGATACCCAGCAGCCATGGATGCAGCAATCTCCCCAGCAACATCGGACCCAGGTTTGCTTGGTGTGAGTTTGTAGGCGGGTCTGGCCATCGTCATGTCCTCAGCGCGGCCCCAGAAGTGGTGGTCATCATTTCCTTCTCCAACCTTGGTGAAATCAAAAACTGGGTATGAATGCATGGAAGGATACAGGGATTAAGTGTAGGTTTGTGTTTGTACTTGTGTCGCCATGATTTTGAATACACTTTTATTAAACCCCACAGTAGTGAGTGAGTTAATGCTTTACGTCACATCGGCAATAATTCAGCCAACAGTATACACTTGTATTAGGATACACTAGGATACACGATAACGAAATCTTACCTGTGCATACAGAGTCTGACTTGCTGGAATCCAGCACTTCAAGAAGTAGTCCAAGGGCCACTTGATCATGTCAAAGAACATGTCTGTTTGTTTAGTAGTAGCATAGGCATCTTTCCACTGCAGGTATCCCCAGAGTAACACGGTCGAAGTACTTGACATGGGCAAGCTAAACTTGACGTGGTCACCAGCTGAAGAGAAAAGTATGTAGTTCATAGCCCTTTATTAAGATACCTTAGGCGAGTCGATACCCCAGGGATAATAAAAGCGACACAACCATTTATATAATCATTCATTACATTAATTTATTTAAGTGAAGTGAAGAAAGCTTTTGACGAAAAACTCTTCTCAAGACTGTATGACAAGAGGGAGGACTTCAACTTTCCAATTGTCAACGTTCACTTTGATGTCTACATTTCACAACTTGTTAGATACAGCCGTACATGCTCTTTCTACCAAGAAAATACGACTCCTGCTCGGAAGTTGCTTGTTCAAGGTTGCAACATTCAAAGCCACAATTACGCCTTCAAAAAGCTTTATGGTAGACATGTGGTGAACCTTCCAAATTCGACAAATCATAGAAAAAGATAATGGCTGGTGCAATTCCCTATTTTGACTTGTACCATATGTTCCCGTGGGTTTTTTTCAGGTGAACAATTGACTTGCCTTGTGCTTGTGGCAGGTGCCACCGGTGGTGCAGGATACGCTACACCTGGTGTCATCACTATTGGACAGTGATTCAAGCACAAGCTGTTTCAACAATCGATTCTCCTTTCAGCAGAGATTTCTTATGAATATGTTGCTGTTATTTACACAGGGTATCCAGGAGCGGGTATACAGTACAATGTTTTGTCTAGGGTGCTACTTGTCTGTTAGTACTAACCATGTGGACAGTGTCTACAGTGTTGTAAATAGTACAATACAGTGTCTGGGGTACCAACTACTGACCATCATACCACCCTCCAGTCAGATCCTCGCCGTTGTCTCCCTTGTCTCCCAGGGCGGAGTCACCTCGCCACTTGATGGGGTTGTTGGCCGGAAGTTTGCCTGATCTCTGAGCATCATAGAACAGGATGGACTTGCCAAGAGCCTCGCCATAGTTGTATCTTTCTGTACCGCCTCCTGCAACACGGAATTTACCCTGTACATAACTTGTGACTTTACATAGTAGACATATGTGATTTTTTATATCTTTAGTCATCAGAATTCTCTGCGCAGAGTTGCGCTCCTTAGGCGCACCAGATACCTATGCTTGTAAGTTTGAATCCTAACCACGACCTTTCGCGGAGTTAAAACAAACTTACGTGCTGAGTCATCGCAACACTGGCTAACTACCCTGTATACGTGCTGTCATTTTATTGAATCCTGCATGATAGGATGTTTCTCTTTATTTCAGTTGCAGCTCATTTTAAAACTGTCTACACAGGTTCCTATTTAGAGTTATAGTCAGTTCAGATCTAGTATGTTGACATGGAATGTTAGATTGCCGAAGTTAAGTATACCGCAAGATCCGTGTGGAATCCGTGTGAGAATAGATCCCCAGCAAACTATGCTGGTGGTAAGAGGCGACCAAACTGATCTGGTGTTCAGGCCTGCTGACTGCGTGTCATCGAAACGCGGTGTTGATCGGCGCTCGCAATATAGACCAAAGGATTATATTTGGTCCAGAATCGATTACCTAACAGTCATATTGCTGGAAACTGGAGTGCTGCGTTAAACAACAAACAAACAAACGTTGCCGCAATTCGTCAACATTTACATGTTCATGTTGGTGAGAACCTTGAATACGGCATGGATTTGTGCCTATCATGAACAGACAACACGACGATTGTTCATATCAGGCTAGCCATCCCATTCCAATAGATAGATATTACCTATCAAAGTGTTTTGTTGCTGCTATGAAAAAAAGAAAGAAACATCCACCCAACGCACCTGTTTTGGGCACCTGTACAGGGGCCTGGGTGCCGGTGTGGGTACCGGTGTGGGTACCTGTGTTGGTACCCGTGTTGCTTCCGCCGGTGACGCCCTCTATTGTTAGGGTGGTCTTAGGGTTGATATCACCACTTGTGTGACCAACAAAGTCCAGGCAGAGTTTGTCGCCAACATGCTCATCTGCGTTCCACTGTTTGTTCGTGAGGATGTATTCCTTTCCACCATTCGTCTTCTGGACATTGGCTGTGCCGCACTGTGAACAACGTTATAGCATACAGACCTCGTATACAGAGTCGCAATCGACGGACGTTACTAGGTAAGGGGGCGCTAATAAAGATGCCAATGATAAGAGGCGTCTTACTTCTTTAACATTAATTACAATCATACATAATCTTGCATTGTTATCATTTCGGATACAGCTGTTGACAAAGAATTATAATTCTGGTGAATCTTGAGTTCGGCGGGACAACCAGTGGATGTTTGCGTGGAATAGCCTCATTGCTAAGGCGCCCTAGACAACTGGACCTGCTGTACACCCTTATCTTACAAGAGGTTAAATTAAATATATCATAAATTAATATCATTACGTTTATATCATCTGTTTTTTGTCATAAGATAGATGAGAAATATTCTAATAAGATTTACCACAGCAGACTACAGCAAACTACAGCAGGACTCTATGGTTCTTAATATACAATGATATAATCGGGAATAAAATAGTATATGACTGTAGTTCTTTAGGGGGGTCTATTTGGGTTCTGTCGCGGGTTTTTTTGTTTGATTAACTTGCATCGCTCGCACGTCGCCACAATGCAAATACTCTTTCGCACGAGCCAGAAGAGATATGATTGTCATGTACACGTAGGTTTCATATGCATAAACCATTCGACCGATGAATACGAAAGGCAACCTCACATCTAGAGAATCAACGGCCTCCGAGAACTTTAAGTGCGCCTTCCAGCTATGAAGTTCGGTGGTGATCGCGATGCAGGCCTTCGCCTGGAAGCCGCCGTCCCAGTGGTTGCTGATGGTGACGTCCACCGCCGAGGCCGCAGCCGCTAGAGCTGCCAGTACAAACACCAGCATATTGTCTGATAAGACAAGAAAAAACTATTATTTGATGATATTACAAGAAACGGGACAAATCATTCAAAACTTTTTTAATCTAATTTTATTGACATTAATAGGTCAAATGGATTTGGCAAAAGTTGTCCAATTTAAAACGCCTTTTCCATCAACATCTATACAGATAACTGACAATAGCGTTAATATTAAACATTGAAACGAATAACGTGCATACAAAATTCGATACTTTATGGAAATAGTAAAATTAGTAATAAAATTACATAAACCATTGCCGTGATGAATGATGTACGTTTTCTCATGGCTTTCCACAGAGGCATTGTTGAGTTTTCTGACAAATTGACTTTAAATAAATCTGCATTCAGGGAACTACAGCAATGGGTATGAAGTATATTTGCTCTTCTATCCCCAGAGGAGAGGTAATAAGAGGGTAATTTTTATCTGGTTTCACACTAAAACCTGAAAATGTAGAAGATTTACATTCCAAAGAAAGGTTATTCCATAATTTGAGTGTGTCTGATATCAAAGGGAGCCGGTAATTGTCAGTTCGAGCGTGAGAAATACCAATATTTGTTCTATTTCTTAGATTATATTGACTAATAGTGGCTCCTCTTGGTGGTAAAAGGCCATTCAAGTAAGCGGGGTATCAGTAGTTAAGAAATTTTTATAGAGATATAGTTTTTAGTTTTACGTCTGCTTGACAGTGTCTTCCATTCTGTTTCATAATATAAATTAGTTCGAGCTGCGTATTTAGGAAGACAAGTGACTATACTAGCTGATTCCAGCTGAATCTTTTTAAGTTTGTCAGAGCTGACAAAGGTACAGTTTTCTCAGACATCAGACGGTATTCGAGACTAGGTCTTTTAAACACAATGAAGAGTTTACAATATGTTGATATGTCGAGTGTATATGTTAGATTCCGTTAAGAAAAAAATCAATGATGATGCAGAATTGCTTATTCTGTCACTGTGGGTAGACCATTTCATATTTTGGGATAATGAAGTGGTGTATTGTTAGAGACAAAAATTATTTTGGGCAATATTGTTTGATTAATATCTATCTTGTTTTGTCGGGATCAGATTTTAATAGTCAATGATACATCCAGTTGAAGAGGTAAGAGAGATCATGATTCAAGGTCTCTTCCAAATGGTTAAGTCTAACAGACGATGCACCAATAGACGTGTCATCAGTTAATAAAGGAGTTGGATTCTTAAGGTCATCAGTCAAATCGTTTATGTTAACAAGGAATAGACAGGGACCCAGTACAGAGCCTTGGGGTACCCACGCTGAGGTGTATTTCAATTCGGACAGGCTAGCATTAAAACATACTTTTTCAGCCTATTATCTTCTTACATTGATTTGAGTTCTTGGACATACTTTTTATTTACAACATGTAGTATGTATCACTGTATATCTAAATTGTTTTAGACTTTTTTAGCGATGACCTAATTCCAGGTTTGGATATGTTATGTTGGACATATCTACCAAAAAAGTTGACAGTGACTCAAGATCAGCGTTTACATATGTCTTCATTCTCAGGGTGACCCACACCCCAACCATATCTCTGTAGAAGCATGGCCTTGAAGAGTTGCCTCGACCTTTGTCATGTAAGAATCACATGCTGGTAAGATTATTACTGCATGGTTGTTGATAAGGTAAAAGTTTCCCTTTTCGTTTAGCAAACGGAAAATCTCAAATAAACCAACCCCAAAGTATAAATCTGGAATTTATCATTTATTTATTTATTCTAACAATATCTTCAGGAAAGCATGTTGATGTTATTTTTTAATTTTCATAATACCCCTTTAACACAATAATACTTTTGTCCATATACATAAAAACAAGGGAGTAAAATAAAATTATTCAGGTTATTTATTGAATTATATGAAAGTTTAACGATAACGAAACCAATCTTCACAAAAAGTCTCAGTCTGTCCATTGTCTGAAGACAATAGGACACATGTGGTGTAGGAGATAAAAGGAACAGTGCGTTACAAACAGAGGCACGGGAATCTGAACCTCCGATTAAAACAATGACATTGTGTACCTTAACTATCAAACACCTACCCTGTATAGAGAAACTACAGGAATGAAACACCATCTCTAAAATGTCGCACCTCACTACCATCGACGGTCTCGTATTTTAATGCAGAAATCAGTGGAATCAGCAATGTTCCTCACGCGATCTCGGGATGTCTTGCAACTTTGGATTATCTTACACCCAGTCCATTTCATACTGGGACTGTGTGACCATTGTGGCCACAAGTTGCGAACAACTTGAAACTAGTCTCTATTTTCTTTCTTACACTTACAAGTTTGTTTTATCTTGCATGTATGGAATACTGTAAGGGACATTCTCGCGATCTCGCGATCTCGCACTCTCGTGTTTTTTGGCATATTTAGCTCGTTTCCAAATGCGAGATCGCAAGAGTGCGAGATCGCGAGAATGTCCCTTACAGTATTCCATAGGCATGACCAAATACGTAAGTATGTCTAAAACGACTGCAAAAGGCCGATTTTAAACGTATAAGCAAGTTCTTTATCGAAAAGTCATTAAAATCACCTTGGGCCAAAGACTTTCTCTTGTATAAATATAAGTCTAACGCTTCCTCTTCCTGACCCTTCAAACTCAGCGTTTTCGAAACGTTTTAGCCTTACCCATTTGATGTTACAAATCCTAAACACACATTTGTTAAAAAAAACCAAAGTCTTGTTCCCATACATGTGAAGACATTTTCGAAAATGTCGCGCCATTCTTGTAGCATTCAGATCCTGTAGGGCCACCTCGTCCAGTGCAATTTATCTATTGAGTGAAGGTTTTGATAGTAAACATTCACTGCTTTAATCAGGACTTCAGCGTCCTGTGATAGATGTGAAATGCATTCGTGTCACTGAATAATTCACATATAAGGCATAAGCAATGAAAACTTTGTTGTAGACACGCCTCACACAACAAACACACGCTTACCTCCTTAGTCCTGACTCGGTACGTCTACTGAAGACGCTGTAGTCGTCCCACCTCGCCTCACCTGTCACCGGCCTTATCTTGAAGCCAAAATTTCCATACACCAATGGTAATGATACACGAAGAAGCGTGCAGGTGAAATGGAAACTTCTAAAAATATTATAAAGAGTCAAAATATAGACTTAAAATTTTGTTGTGGCACGTCGACCTGTGCATAGCTTACAGGTCAAACATCAGATGAAGTTAATCAACGATGGTCGTCGAGATAACGGTGTTAGGCAGGTTGACTCCTGAGAGCTTCTTGGGTTTCTGTACAGCCCTGTACTGAAGCAATTGTGAGGCACGTGGTGTCTCCTTTGGCACGTGACTTCAGCAGTGAATGGGTACCCGGTAAAATGAGATAGAAATGTCACTCTTTACCTTCTAACGCCTCTGAGAATGAAAATCAAGAGCAAAATGATCCATTGGCCGGGGTATAATAATGTAGCGCAATGAACATGGTGAATGGAATTAGGCGCATTATAAATAGACTTATGATAGTATTATAATATTGGTATCTTCTTATACAGAAATCTACTTTCCTGGCTATAACAACAAATGCTATATCATGGCCTATGGAGGGAAACCTCACAGTGACATTTCGCAGACATGTGCCCAACAGTTATGAAGTTCTAAAGCTCTGAAGCTATAAAGACAACTTTGGTAAACCCACGAGCACGGGTATGGTGATAAAAGCCGACTAAAGTCATTCCATAAATAATTCTTGGAAACGCAGAGTCGATTGTATGTTTCGACTAAACTGAAGAGCAACCAAATATATACAGCCATGTTTGATGGGGCTAAATATGAAACAAAAAAGAAAATGGTTATTCGATGGTGACTTTATTTATACGGGTATCATAGTTGTGTTTTAGACCTTACGTTTGTAGTGTTTCGGCGACTGTTTTCAGCTAGTAACGTTTTGCTAACGCTTGGAATTGTTTGGCCAAATCTATTTTCAAAGTATATGCATGTACTATTTTGCCTGGCAGTTTATATAAAAAGCATGTGTTTAATTATGGTGATATCAGGTGTTCTCGAAAATGTGAGCGTAATCCGGTGGCACCTGTCACAAACACATGCAATAGCAAGGCAATTGTTTATCTGCAAAAAAAAGCAAAAACATATGGTACAAGACAAAATAGGAAATTGCGTCGGATATCATTTTTGTCACCGATTCGTCAAATTTGGAAATGTACTCCACATAAAACTTTTTGATGGCTTTACTGAGGCTTTGAATGTTGCTACCTATATCAAACAACTTGGAAATCTTCGTAGAACGAGCATGCTCCATTGTACCTCAAAAGTTCTGTGGAACTGTGGAACCCGAAGTCGAGAGCTATATATTAAATAAAGGGACAATTGCTAATTGGAAAGTTGAAGTCCTTGTCATAGTCTTGATGGGAGTGTTTGTAAATCTGAATCGTGAAGCATAGATCTATATATAACAGACGAGGAGGTCTCACTGGTCTTCCTTATTTCTAGTCCAGGGCTCACTTTGCACAAAGCGATCTTAGCGCTAAGATCATCGTAACTCCAGTACTTGAATATATAGGTTTACAATAGCTGTAGTGCTAAGACTGCTTTGTGCAAGTGGGCCCAGGTGGGTAAGTCAGTGGAATTCCTTGGTAGAATGTGCACTATGTGTTAGATTTGATTGCTGCAATAGGTGAGGACTGGGAAATAACGATAACTGCAGGAACGTGGCCACACATTTACTGCAGGGACGTAGCCAACATTTACTGCAGGGACGTAGCCACACATTTAATGCAGGGATGTAGCCATACATTTAATGCAGGGACGTAGCCATACATTTACTGCAGGGACGTAGCCACACATTTAATGCAGGGACGTAGCCACACATTTAATGCAGGGACGGAGCCACACATTTAATGCAGGGACGGAGCCACACATTTACTGCAGGGACGGAGCCACACATTTACTGCAGGGACGTAGCCACACATTTACTGCAGGAACGTAGCCATACATTTACTGCTGGAATGTAGCCATACATTTACTGCTGGAACGTAGCCATACATTTACTGCAGCAACATTGCCACGCATTTACTGCTGGAACGTAGCCATACATTTACTGCAGGAACGTAGCCATACATTTACTGCAGGGACGTAGCCATACATTTACTCCAGGAACGTAGCAACGCATTTACTGCTGGAACGTAGCCACACATCTACTGCTGGAACGTAGCCATACATTTACTGCAGGGACGTAGCCACACATTTACTGCAGCGACATAGCCACACATTTACTCCAGGAACGTAGCCATACATTTACTCGGGGACGTAGCCACACATTTACTGCTAGAACGTAGCCATACATTTACTGCTGGAACGCAACCATACATTTACTGCAGGAACGTAGCCACACATTTACTGCTGGAACGTAGCCATACATTTACTGCTGGAACGTAGCCATACATTTACTGCTGGAACGTAGCCATACATTTACTACAGGAACGTAGCCACACATTTACCGCAGGAACGTAGCCATACATTTACTGCTGGAACGTAGCCATACATTTACTGCAGGGACGTAGCCATACATTTACTGCAGAAGCGTAGCCATACATGTACTGCAGGGACGAAACCATACATTTGCTGCAGCAACAAAGTCACACATTTACTGAAGGAACGTAGCCATACATTTACTACAGGAACGTAGCCATACATTACCTGCTGGAACGTAGCCACACATTTACTGCAGCGACATAGCCACACATTTACTCCAGGAACGTAGCCATACATTTACTCGGGGACGTAGCCACACATTTACTGCAGCGACATAGCCACACATTTACTCCAGGAACGTAGCCATACATTTACTCGGGGACGTAGCCATACATTTACTACAGGAACGTAGCCATACATGTACTACAGGGACGAAACCATACATTTACTGCAGCAACACAGACACACATTTACTTCCGGAACGTAGCCATACATTTTCTGCTGGAACGTAGCCACACATTTACTGCTGGAACATAGCCTTTCATTTACTCTAGGAACGTAGCCACACATTTACTCCAGGAACGTAGCCATACATTTACTCGGGGACGTAGCCACACATTTACTGCAGGCGTAGCCATACATTTACTGAATGGACGTAGCCACACGTTTACTGCAGCGTCATAGCCACACATTTACTCCAGGAACGTAGCCATACATTTACTGCAGGAACGTAGCCTTACATTTACTCGGGGACGTAGCCACACATTTACTGCTGGAACATAGCCTTTCATTTACTCTAGGAACGTAGCCACACGTTTACTGCAGCGTCATAGCCACACATTTACTCCAGGAACGTAGCCATACATTTACTGCAGGAACGTAGCCATACATTTACTCGGGGACGTAGCCACACATTTACTGCAGCGACATAGCCACACATTTACTCCAGGAACGTGGCCATACATTTACTCGGGGACGTAGCCATACATTTTCTGCTGGAACGTAGCCATACATTTACTCCAGGAACGTAGCCATACATTTACTCGGGGACGTAGCCACACATTTACTGCAGGCGTAGCCATACATTTACTGAATGAACGTAGCCACACGTTTACTGCAGCGTCATAGCCACACATTTACTTCAGGAACGTAGCCATACATTTTCTGCTGGAACGTAGCCACACATTTACTGCTGGAACATAGCCTTACATTTACTCTCGGAACGTGGCCATACATTTAATGCAGGTAGATAGCCTTACATTTACTCTCGGAACGTAGCCATACATTTACTGCAGGCGTAGCCATACATTTACTGCAGCAGCATAGCCACACATTTACTCCAGAAACGTAGCCATACATGTACTACAGGGACGAAACCATACATTTACTGCAGGAACGTAGCCACACATTTACTGCAGGAAGTAGCCACAAATTAAATGCAGGGACGTTGCCACACATTTACTGCTGGAACGTAGCCACACATTTACTGCTGGAACGTAGCCACACATTTACTGCAGGAAGTAGCCACAAATTAAATGCAGGGACGTTGCCACACATTTACTGCTGGAACGTAGCCACACATTTACTGCAGGAACGTAGCCATTCGATCAATACAAAACATTGTCTTCCGTAACACCTTTGTTTGGAATGGTATTTAAAAATAACATATTCATGCAGTTTGCGTTTGTTACAAGAAGGTGCACACTTTGATTTTGTTTTGTTGAGCTCAAAACTCCTATTTCCTGATATGGTTTAGAAAGTGAACCAAACACTAACTATAAAATGTCAACTATCACGAAGGCCTATATAATATAAATCCTTAAAATATCACAGAAGATTGGTGCCGCTTGTCAATAAAACCATTGCGGAAAAAAGACTGTATTCTGACAAGACGATTGGTCGCGCTCCTCTTGTGTTCATACTGAATATCAGTGATGAGCTTATTGTATGCCTGTTACCAGGCGAGTCGACCATGGATCCGGTTCCGTGGTTTTAGACTATTGTGAGATATCAACAAATACAAAGTTGCGTTTCTCCGAGGGTGCTGAGTGCGGCGTTAAACAACAAGCAAACAAATCTTAATATCACTGGTTTGCCAGGCACAGAACGAATAAATAACTATCACTTACACAACTAATAACAAACTAGAATGTGTTTACTCCCCCTCCTTCGTGTTGATACATTAGTTCAAGCTGTTACTAAAAAAATACTAGTACAGATTCTGATTAACGAAGCAGCACACAGTTGTATCCATGTTGACTCTTACGGCAGTTATGACTATTTAACTTTAGGCTACAGCAGATTGGATGATAGATTGGTTGTATTGTGCAAGTAGACGTATCCATAATGAATAATCAGAAGCTTTATGCTAATAAGAAGACTCTTACAATTTTCAAAATGTTTCCATGGAAAAACCAGAAATTTAAATAATTGAAAATTGATCAATATGAAAAGACAACAGTAGAGCACGTGGTCATTGCACATGTATAGTTTCAAGCATGTATGTTCACTATTTGAGAGTAATGGCTCGGTAACGAATCCAAGAGTTGTTTGAGACTAAGCTAAAATTGATTCCTTTGGAACCTAAGAAAATAAAATTTAAAAAACAAGAAAGTAGCAAAAGACACCAGTTAAGCTGAGGAGCAATGCATATTCAAGTTTCGTTGAAAAATACTGAACGGTTTTCAAGTAAGGGCCCAGAAACGAACTCTCCCATCGTTTGTGAATAGGTAAAAAAATGTTTCCATAGAAACATAAGAAAAGACAATTGTGAGCAATGGATATGCCAAGATTCGTTAAAAAATATTGAACGTTTTACAAGGTAGGGTTGGGATTAGGATGGTAACACCGACTTCCAAGCCAAAGGGAACCAAGCCAGAAACAATATGTATTGACATAACAAGGCATAAAGCACAAATGCACGGTTTTCAAGAAGGTTAATAAACTAAAGAGAACATAAACTTTTCGGAAAAAATGCAAATTCTATCTCAGGCCTTTCTATGGTTATGTGGTAGGGTAATGTATTGTTAGACAGTGATTGTGACTGTATTGCATTGTTTCTGTTGAGATTCAGTAGAAGTTCATTGCATTGTATTTGGACAATGATTATTTGAAAGGAATGTATAGTAGTACCATAAATGTAAGCAGTGGTGAATGCTCTAATTATCTGTACACATTCGGAATAGCATGGATGGATGTCAAGCGTAAAAGAAGCATGTGGAATATTTTGTGGTGTTCAAGTGACACTTGACTGGCTTGGCAGAACTGTACTGAAATTTATTACACTCAGGCTGCTATCAGCGGCATTAGAGGTACAGCATTCATACATCAACATGTACATCACTATATACAAATATACAATATCAATCCACAGATTTACCGAGCAACGGCTTCAGTAAATACAGATACAGATCAGTTACGAGACATATTGATAATAATAATAATAATAAAGTCCATTTCTTCAGCGCCATTTTCGTCTACGTAGTCGCTCATAGCGTCTCACACAGGGTCATAGACACATCTAAAGAGATAAGTCTTTAGTTTTGTCTTGAAACTGTCCAGAGTTGGAGATTGCCTAATTTCCACTGGAAGGGAATTCCAGAGCACAGATGCAGTGTGAGCAAAAGTTCTGTTGCCGAATGCTTTGAGTGAAACCATAGGGACACTAAACTGGAGTTTATGTGCTGATCTGAGATCTCGTGCTAGCTGGTGTAGGGTAAGAAGTTCACTCAGATAGGAAGGTGCTGTACTATAGTAGCACTGGTAAGCAATGCACACGACTTTGTATTCAATCCTAGATCTTATTGGAAGCCAGTGTAATGATTTTAATAATAGGGTTTAATAGCTGCAGCATTATGATTTTACAAAATTTGGATAAGTTTCTAAGTGTTGCTAATCATTTACTTAATTTTCCAAAAGCAAAATCATTTTATACATATTCGGTGTAAAGTAAAAATATTTTCTCATTAGCTGTGTTCTTTCATTTTGAAAAAGTTGACAGACAAACAGAGTGGAACTCATCAGCTAAATAAAATGTTTTACAAAATGGACATTTTCTTACTGGTAGAGGTTAGTTTCAATTTGGAGGTTGTGGTTGGAGGTTCTAAATTTTAATAAGTCTCGCTAAATACTTACTTTCATTTTTAAATATTTTTTAGAAATTCAGGGATATATTTTTAACTATGGTATACATGGCTCCTTTGGAAGATATATTTCGCGTGGCTTCCAGCATTGTAAATTATTATCAATTGATTTGATCTTAACGATATTTTTAAGATGATTTGTGATTGCCAAATAATTAAAATTTCGTTGTGTTCATTGTAATTCCTGCATTCTGATTAGCTGAATTGGTCCACGTGTTACTGCATTCATTTCCCAATGAATGTAAAAATTTAAGCCACGCCTACCGAGGCGGACTACTTTTATTATAACGGAATTTGGGGGAATCCAAATATTACAGTCGAGGGACTTCCCTTTCTGCTCACGTGTATCGTCATGCACAGGTCATTTAGCGAAACTCATGCATATTCTCTGTCCAAATTACACTTTGAGACCGAAGGCCGGGAAGGAAAAAACAGCAAACGTGCAGGCTCGCTCGCCTGTTTTTTCCCCGTTCTCATGGAACTATCTTTTTAATCTGGCGGTATCTGACCATGTTATTTGTCACGCCACTGTATGATTATCAATCACGACATTTTTGTCAGCTTTGATATATACAACTGTTTTGGTTAAACTATTGTAGACAACATATGTTTTCGTTGTCGAATTTACTTATAAGCATTGACTGTGTATTGTTTGCGGTTCATTTAGGTATGACTCGAAAAACCGATGTGCAAGCTGTTTATGAAACGAAGGCCACAATCGTCGAAGGTGTGTTTTACCAAGGTTATCCAGTGTGTGGAAGTGTTGGAAGCTAGTTAGACTGTATAAGTGGAGCGGGTGAGTGCCTGTCTCATCTCACATTTGCCATTGAATATTGTACCACCACTCTATTGCATACTACCATTGTAATTGCTGTGCACTAATTATTATTGATTTGTAAACCCAGTTACTTTTATAAAACAATTGTTAATTTATACCTTTTGTTGGTTGTTCGTTGGTTTCACATAAAAATTCATGTACAGATTTCTGGGTTAACTAATTGTTTCAATTTGGGAATGACACGGAACAATATAAGCTTATTTAATACATATACGGTGTCGATAATTAATTGAGGACATTATATAAAAATATTCCATATTTTATTTTATTTAAAACATTCACTTTGTTGAACCATGACACTTTGGCGCAGGAATGGCTGGCAGTTCCTTGATGTTTACAAGATGCGTTAGACCTGAAATAGAAGGCTTCAATTAGATAAATACGTAATTAACCGTAATGACTGATTCTAATAATCTATTACAATTATTGTCATCTATTACTAGAATATAACATAAAAAGTGGACATTCAGGCTTGATATTTATATGAACTATTTAGGAACCTTTTCGAATTCAAAGCATGTAATGCTGGCTGCACATCACACCTCAGACGATATACGTACCAGCGAGAGCAGACTGGAAGCCGGAGTTGTAGTCGCAGGCCACCTCGTTGTGGACGTAGTCCTCCCTGTTGTCCTTGTAGGAGTCGTCTTTACCAGGACCTCCAACAATCGCTCCCACAAGGATGTGAGGACTGGGGCCAGCGGTGTGTAGGTTAGCCTCGGAGCAGGGAGCTGGAATGTCAGGGCAGGAGCTGGAATGAAGCACACAGTTGATGGAAGACATATGTACTAGATACATGCATACATATGCCACATAGATAGTGCAAAACGATCTAGAACACTAACACCTACAAGATGATAATAAGGGAAGTGACTATTCATGACTGAAGGTTTTCGCTGAATGAAAACCAAAACCAAATGCATGTGTATGGCATACTAATTTTAAGAACAAATTTTCTAGAGCGACCGCTTCGAGTCTTACATGACTTTCCTTACGAACACGAATATGATAATGTAATCATATATATTTTATAAAGAAGCTGTAATGAAGAAGTAATGTTTTCTTCAGATCCGTGTACACTCATAAGCATTGTCCTTCGGTCATCTAGCATTACATATTTCCATATTACAACAATGGTGTATTACGTCAAGGACGGTGTCAGAATAACCATTACGTTGAGTTACAGTAAGTTTTTACCGTATACTTCCTGTGTGTACTGAATGTACTGAGTATCTTAAAAACGAATACACCATAATTTTGATCACAGTTATTGCTCAAAATGATATTTTCGTACATGACGATTTAAACGTGAAAGAAAACTTACGCGGATCTGTGATGCGGATTCCTGGGGTATTTTGTGCCGAAGCCAATCTGGTAGCTGATGCCGTAGTTGTTGTCCCCGAGGATGTAGTTCATCTGCCCCACCGCCCACTCCCGGTATTTTGCAGTGTCCAGACCAGCATCAGCAGCCACCAGGGCGACGAATGCTGCATCACCTAAGAGTAAAATATGGTGTTGATGTTTACGGTGTACTCTACATCACGAGTGTCCGTTATAATATGGTATATGTCTCTTCAAGTATAGGTATATACCATACAAGATTTAATATTAAACTTTTAAGAAGTTTTGATTCAGGTTTATTTGTGACCATTTGTTACTGTCGATAAACTGTTTATCAACACAAGTTAAGAGAAGAAATAGGCTGTTAAAAAACTGCAGAGACAATAGACTCACAAACACTGTCAAAAGGATATGTTTGCGTTTTTATGTTCAGACTTTCTGATCGAGTTCAACGTGGCGAAAATGCAACTGATTAAATTTGATTTTACGAATATGACTCCCCGTAAGGCCTTAACCGTATCTCTGCGTGCATCTGGTAGCAACTACTCTGTTCGTGCGAGGACTAATTGACATGGATGCACCTTTGATGAAGCTATATGACTTTATTGGTAAGTTATTATCAGCTATCAGTCTCGATTAAGTGCCAAAACAGATTCCACTGGGCGAAAAAGGCAACACACTGGTGACAATGAAGCAAAGGTTCTTGTTAACCTGGCACAAAGGTGAATACGTATTCGCACGAGCTACACTCTGGTGATTATTTTATGTTAAATGACTAACTATTGGAGCACAGGTCTTTGAAAGGCATTTAGAAGTGAAAAACATTAGGAAGAGAATTTATGGATGTCAACTTCTTTATTCTGAGGATCACAACGTTTCGGAGTATATGCTTACTCCTTCATCAGGTGAATGATGAAGGAGTAAGCATCTAAGCATGTGCTCCGAAACGTTGTGTTCCTCATAATAAAGAAGTTGACATCCATAAATTCTCTTCCTTTTTGGAACACTCATTTACATGCTCCTCTTAAAAGATATGAAGAACTGCTTTATATCATCATCGAACCTCATTTGTTTCAAAATGAAATACGCCCTGATGTGTCATGTATTTAGATTGACCTGCATATCTGTTGGAGCCCCACTGGTCTCTCCATGCCTGTCCACATGGAGTGTAGGTGATGGAGCCGCCAGGGAGCCAGCCTTGGAAGAAGCCCTCCACTTCGTTCTTGTAGTCAGTGTCTTTGGTAGCCTCGTACAGGAGCAGCTGAATGTAGGAACACACTAAGGTCAGCGTGGGAGGAATACAAACCTCTTTATAAATGTGGGACCGCCTCCGTGGTCTAGTGGCAGAGCGTCTGCCCGTCATACCAAAAGACGTTAAAAGATGGTACTTGTTGTTACCCTGTCTGGCGCTCGGCATTAAGGGGCTAAAACAAGGACTGGTCGGCTCGGAGTCAGTATACTGTGTCTGATTGGCGTATTCATGTTAAACTGCGGCATGGTATCTCAGTGAGCTAGCACTATAAATCGGCATCAGTCCGGACTAGTACAAGCAGCCACACAACACACACACGTACATGCACGTCGCTATCTATATAAGTGCAATAATCTTGGACGCGACGTTAAACCCCATTTCACCTCACCTCACCTTTATAAATGTATTCATCAATAGTTTTTTTTCCATTTTCAGTTGTCCCCCGCCGTGATATTGCTGGGATATGGCGAAAAGGGCGTATTACACTTTTACTTTAATACTTTATCGAAAATGTACTCCAAAAAAAATTATGTTATTTAAAGACGTCAACACTGGCGATACAATGTCAGTTACACTATATCTTTTAGAAATAGTAACGACTTTGTATTCGTTCGTGATTTGAATATTACAGTAATATATACCCGAAAATACATACATATTAGACACAAGGAATTGGCGAAAAGTAGTGAGTAAGTTTTAAAAATTAAAGTCACATCGACTGTATATAAGCAGAAAAGAAGGCAATAACAACATGGATAATGTTTTGTTTGTTTGTTTGTTCAATATTCCAGCTGTATGAAGGCGGCCTGTAATTAATCGAGTCTGGACCAGTCAATCCAGTGATTGACATCATGAGCATCGATATACACTGATGGGATACGATGACAACCAAGTCACCAGGCCTGACCATCCGATCCCCTTAGTCGCCTCTAACGACAAGCACAGTCGTCTGTTCCAGCATGCATGGGTTGCTGAAGACCTACTCTACCCCGGATCTTCACGTTTGTGTGAGACGTATATACTAGATACAAGTATTGAAGAAATAAACGACTCGTGGGTGTTGGTTGTCGGAAAATAAAACACGGCAGGAATAGAAACCATGAGGGGTGATGACCTATGCTAACCCGGATCTTCACTAATTATTTTGACGTTAACACCAGACACAACATCGTCCTGTCGCAAGTGTGGATGTGTTCAAAACTTCATTAGCATCCTTATACTCGATAATTAACAGAACGCCTCATATAGCTGGAATATTGCTGAGTGCGGCGTTAAACAACAAACCAACCAACCAACTGATCGTTATTGTCTCATGTCTTTATATTTCTTGGCGTACTTAATATTTTGGAACATTTGTTAACATGTTTTCACACAGTCTTGCAAATGTCCCTTGCATTTATTGCTATATGTCGACCTGAAATATCGTCTTGTGTTTTTGGGGTAGGTATTTAGTGATATGGATCTTGTGTGAAGGTAAATTGACATTCAAAGCGGGTTTGGGGAGACTTATATTAAATTTCTTTGAACTGCCACTTTAGTACCCCTCTAACTTGAGCACGACAAAGACTTGTTTCACCTGGCAAGCGATCTTCTTGTCGTCCCATCCTAGAGCCCACGCCCAAGCATTCTCGTGGTATCCCTTGGCATCGGCCAGGTAGGACTTGTCCCCTGTAGCTCTGTACAGCCACATAGCTCCTTCACACATCTCATCCTTGTAGCCACTTGATCTGGATTCAAGACAAAAACAAGTCATTTCATAAAATTTCTCACCTTCGGAATCAGCCAAATTTAATCTTTTCACAACGATGCACTATGTGGCGATGATGACAGCAACTTGGCAGCTCTGGGTACCTATTGTAGTCACATTCCTTCAACATTGGTGGTCAACCACTCGCCATTCAGTAATCCAGTGTGAGGTAATGATTGTTGCTAACTGCACGTCAGCAGCAATTCAACTATTCACGGCGATAACTTTTATACATTTAACAATTATATTAAAGATGCTTCCTCAATACGAGGCATTGCTTTGCAGAATCGGCACAAACTAGAAGTATTCGCTACCTTAACCGTATGTATGAATTAATATACGTACGATTGGAGCTGCGTGTTGGAATTGAAATGCGTAAGAGTAAAATTGCACGTTACAGTGGACATACGTACGAGTAGAACTGCACGTTACAGTGAACATACGTACGAGTAGAACTGCACGTTACAGTGAACATACGTACGAGTAGAACTGGCCGGCATCCGGGATACTCTGGCTGTATTTACCAGGGTACTTCTTTCCGAATTCATAGATCTGCTTGGATGCAGTCAGGAGTTTGGTCGCATAGGCAGAATCTAAACATTTTGTCATGTCCGCATTATGTCTAATATATAGTAAATGGTCAGATGGTACAACGACTTATCATAATTCAGCTCTTAATATTACCACATAGCGCTTCGAGAATTTTACACACCATGACACTACAATTGTAATGCATAATTTCATATCTAATGCTTTCTTGCCATGTCCCACCGTTTGATCAGGGTTACAACATTAAAGGCCTCAGGCACAGAACAAATTTTATGCATAAAGATTTTGAGGTTAAAAAAAACTCTCCACAAGCCTGTATCGCAAGGGTGATTTCAACTTTCCACTAGTCGACTTTCCTTTTATGTCTAGCAATATTTCAGCAGCTCCAGCATTTGGTGTCTACATTTCACATTTGAGGCTCAATCGAACAATCCCCTTCTTCAGAGATTTACGCATCACGCGACTCTAACAGTTGTTTGATCAAGGTTACAATATTCAAAGCCTCGGGAAGGTTTAAAGAAAGTTTTATGTTAGACATGTGGAAGACATTTCCAAATTTGACGCATCAGTGACAGAAATAATGTCCGATGCAATGTTCCCGTTGTTTTTAGCCCCTTGCATGTGTTTGTGATGGGTGCGACCTGGCATCATCCTTATTTGTTAGTGAATCTTAAACATACAATCGCAGTCGTGCAATGGACTCTCAAGGGTGTTCTTAAATCTGCAGTACTGTTTATCCAGCATTACAACAGTCTGTCATTAATGTGTGTAGATGTCCTCAACACTGATAACAAGAACAGCAGTATGCTTTCTGTTCCATGCAAACACCCACCTCTCTGTTTGAACGCCAGATACCCAGCAGCCATGGATGCAGCAATCTCCCCAGCAACATCGGACCCAGGTTTGCTTGGTGTGAGTTTGTAGGCGGGTCTGGCCATCGTCATGTCCTCAGCGCGGCCCCAGAAGTGGTGGTCATCATTTCCTTCTCCAACCTTGGTGAAACCAGAAACTGGGTATGAATACAGGGAAGGATACAGGGATTAATGATTTCATGTTTTTGTAAGTATATTTAAAACGTCTCGATAATCCGCGAAACGGATTCCACTGGACGTAAAAGACAAAATAAAGAGGAAAATTATATGAACGGATTACTGGAAGAGAGTGATGACACCAGATATGTGCTTCTTTGCTACCCAACGCTGCACCCAGCAATACTCCTCCCGTACGACAGACGCTTCGGAAACCCTGCTTCCGGCGCAGTGTAAGCAGAGTCAACCGTGTCATACTGATCATCAACGAGCTAGAAACGTATTTGCAAGAGGTTGACCTTCATACCTCCGTGGAGTGAGTGCGTGTGTATGTTTTTACCCCGCTTTGAGCAATATTCCAGCAATATCACGGCGGGGGGCTCCAGAAATGGGCTTCACACATTGTACCCATGTCGGGAATCGAACCCGGGTCTTCGGCGTGACGAGCGAACGCTTTAACCACTAGGCTACCCGACCGCCCCTTACCTCCGTGGAATTCTGTTTGAAACAAACCTGAAAAAAAATACCTATTGCTTTTACATGATGAATGATATCACTGCCAGTCTAACCACTTCTGGTTTGGACAAAATCATTCTTAATGTTGCACAATTCTAATTCATATTCGTATGCCTCTAGGACAGGAAAAAAGCCAAAATAAATTAAACCACAGAAAGTGTCATGCCTCCAGCTAGTTTCCTGAGGCACAGATTAATTACTGTACCTCCGTTGTCGGAAATCACAAGCCACGCTGTAAAACAGAAAGTGTCGACCTATCTTAATAAATGAAATGCCTGCACTTATGAGTTTACTGCATTGACCCTCATTTCAGACATTCATATGTTTGATAATTTCAAGCTGGATACCAGGTGCGTGTTGTCCACACAGTACACAAAGGAAGCGAACTATCTTACTAATGTCCACTACAGTGACCTTGTCCTCCACTGATGGTTGACCAACACCTTATGGCTTCACCCACAAATAGGATGGACACATTTTGTTCTGGCTACAGTATACACTTCTTCAGTTATCATGAGCATTGTACAGTTTCAGAGTACGACTTTAAGAGTAGATGTGATCTTATATCAATAACAAATATTTCAAGAACATCCTCAAAGACTATACAGCATATAATATAAATTGTCAATGCAAGAGAATAACTTGACCAAACCAACTATGATTTCTTTGTTCGAGGAAAAGGTAGCATATAATACTCGTTAAAAGTAGGTCACCGTGACCTATGGATGTTAAAAACTAATTATTCATCACCACATTAAGATAAACCGCCGGGGAAAATAATATACACACCAATGTGTAATGGTGGCTAAATATGAAACAAACACGAAATTGCTATTTGATGGTGATGTGTTTGATATCGGTATCATAGTTGTGTTTTGGACTTGAAGTATGCAGGGTTTGATAACGGTAACGGTTTGTAATGTTTTGGTCAAATTCAATTTTTAAGTGTATTCTTTCTTTCGCCCGGCTCTTAATTTCGGCAAAAAAGCATTTTAGTGGGCATGCTTTATAAATTACCTTCACTGTGATCTTGACCATGCAGGTAGATCACTCACAATCATTCCAAATAAACCCAACATTATACACTTGTATAAGAATACACCAGGATACACAACGAAATCTTACCTGTGCATACAGAGTCTGACTTGCTGGAATCCAGCACTTCAAGTAGTAGTCCAAGGGCCACTTGATCATGTCAAAGAACATGTCTGTTTGTTTGGTGGAAGCATAGGCATCTTTCCATTGTAGGTATCCCCAGAGTAACACGGTCGAAGTACTAGCCATGGGTAAACTGAACTTGACGTGGTCACCAGCTGGAGAGAAAAAGTAGTCACCAGTATTTGAATATATGTTGTTTTTTTAAGATGCGATAGGCGACGTGGCACCCCGTGTTAACGGAGAATAAGACTGACGACTCTCTGACGTTGATGTTGATGTTGTATATATCATTGTTTTATAACAGTTAGCGGGTGATATGTGTCCTATAACCATGTGGACAGTGTCTACAGTGTTGTAAATGGTACAATACAGTGTCTGGGGTACGGACTACTGACCATCATACCACCCTCCAGTCAGATCCTCGCCGTTGTCTCCCTTGTCTCCCAGGGCGGAGTCACCTCGCCACTTGATGGGGTTGTTGGCCGGAAGTTTGCCTGATCTCTGAGCATCGTAGAACAGGATGGACTTGCCAAGAGCCTCACCATAGTTGTATCTTTCTGTACCACCTCCTGCAACACGGAATTTACCCTGTACATAACTTATAACGTTACATAAGAGATATGTGATTCTTTACATCTTCAATCATCACAATTCGCTGTGCACAGTTGTGTCTTTTAGGCGTGCCAGAGACCTAGGCTTCAGGGTTAACTTTGAATCCTCGCCTCCATCTGATGTTTCTTGGTTTGTCAGCATCATATCCGTACCCAAAATGTTTCAGCAAAGTTGTAAACGTCTAAGACCTACATAACACCTGCCTTGACGCTATGGTATAACTGGGGCGGTCGGGTAGCCTAGTGGTTAAAGCGTTCGCTCGTCACGCCGAAGACCCTGGTTCGATCCCCGACATGGGTACAATGTGTGAAGCCCATTTGTGGTGTCCCCCGCCGTGATATTGCTGAAATATTGCTAAAAGCGGCGTAAAACCGTACTTGGTCACTATGGTATAACTGATATAATGTCCAAAGCGGCTTTAAATCAAACACACTTACTAACTAGGTCATAGCAACATACGAAGGCCTGCTTCTATATATATGTGCTGTCAATGTCATTGAAAGGATGTTTCTCTTTATCCCAGTTGAAGTTCATTTTGAAACTGTCAGCACGGTTTCCTATTTGGAGTAATAGTCAGTTCCTATCTAATAACATGCTGACATGTAAAGTAACAAAACTTATAAAGTTATTTTTAACTGTTGGATTGCTATATTGCCGCAGGATCCGGTGTGGATTACGGATTATAATAGATCCCCAGCAAACTCTGCTGGTCGTAAGAGGCGACCAAATGGATCGTTGCTCACAATATCGACCACTGGATTACCTCTGGTCAGCATCGATCATTTATTTGCAATCGTCATAAAGCTAGAACTGCTGAATTGCTAAATTTCAAACAACAAACAAAACGAGCAAACGTGGCCACTGGTCGTGGACATTGTGCGTGTACTGGAGACATCCTCTAATGCGACTATGATTAACAGACGACGCGTAGAGTAGAGTTCATATCAGGCTAGGCATCCCATTGCAACAGTTAGATATTACCTTTTTCTGAGAATATGCTTATTGGGAACAGCAGCATTCCGTAGATACCTTCAATAATAGTGAGTGAGTTTGGTTTTACGCCGCTTTTAGCAATATTCCAGCAATATCACGGCGGGGGACACCAGAAATGGGCTTCACACATTGTACCCATGTCGGGATTCGAACCCGGGTCTTCGGCGTGACGAGCGAACGCTTTCACCACTAGGCTACCCGACCGCCCCCTTCAATACTAACATTCAACGAACGCACCTGTGTGTACCACCTTCGGAGGGGCCTGGGTTGCCCCGGCCACATTCCCCTCTATTGTGAGGGTGGTCGTCGGGGTGATATCACCACTTGTGTGACCGACAATGTCCAGACAGAGTGTATCGCCAGTGTGTTCATCTGCGTTCCACTTTTTGTTCGTGAGGATGAATTCTTTTCCACCATCCGTCTTCAGGACATCGGCTGTGCCGCACTGTGAACAACGGTGTATAGACCTCTTATATACAGCCGTAACCGACGGATTTTACAAGGTAAAAGGGGCGCTTATTAAGATACCTGTGGTAAGGTGCACTGTATTTCTTCAACATTAATTGCCATCTTGCAATATATTAAACTGTTATCATTTCTGTTACAGGTCGACTGTTGACAGACAAAGAATCATAATTCTGGTGCATCTTGAGTTCGATCCGACAACCAGCGGATCCTTGCGCGGATTAGGGACATAACTGGAAAACTGGACCTCTCATACAACCTTACCTTTTCAGAACAAGATGTGCAAACAAAACAAAACGTTACGTTTTCTGTTTTTCGTGATCAAATAGCTGAGAGAAATTCAAATATTTTTTTCAAATACAGTAAACTCTATCAGGACATTACGGTTCTGACAATGAAGATAAAATAACACAGGTATAATCAGGGAATAAAATAATATACGCAGGCTTTCATTTTTTTAAAGTAAAATCTATCTCGTCCTATTATTTATTTAACTGTACAATGCATGACCCTACAACGCATGCGCAGACACTCTTTCACACAAAGTGCCACGAGCCGGAAGAGATATAATCGGTACATATAGGTTCCATGTGAAGAACGGATTCGATGAATACGAAAGGCAAACACTGTATCCTCACTTCTAAGGTATCAACAGCCTCCGAGAACTTCACGTGTGCCTTCCAGCTATGAAGTTCTGTGGTGATCGGGATGCAGGCCTTCGCCTGGAAGCCGCCGTTCCAGTGGTTGCCGATGGTGACGTTCACCGCCGAGGCGGAGGCCGCTAGCGCCGCCAGTACCAACACAAGCATAGTGTCTGATTAAAAAAGAAAATGCTATTTAGAGTATCCTTCTATGATATCACAGTAAAAGCGACAAACCTATTTACATAATCATAATCTCTGCTGTCCTTTTGTTCCATTGAACGATTCCTACTGTGTCATAAGAGTTTAGGTGAGGTGAGGTGAAATTGGGTTTAACGTCGCGTCCAAGATTATTGCACTTATACAGCGACGTGCATGCACGTGTGTGTGTGTGGCTGCTTGTACTAGTCCGGACTGATGCCGATTTATAGTGCTAGCACACTGAGATACCATGCCGCGGTTTAACATGAATACTGACTCCGAGCCGACCAATCCTTGTTTTAGCCCCTAAATGCCGAGCGCCAGACAGGGTAACAACAAGTACCATCTTTCAGCGTCTCTTGGTATGGCGCGGCCGGGGATCGAACCCCGGACCTTCCGCTCTTCGGGCGGACGCTCTACCACTAGACCACGGAGGCGGTCTATAAGTGTTAAGGAATCACAATGACACAGTGATGATACCAGGTGTTCGCGAAACGGTAACGAATGTACAAGTCAGAGGGAATTGCATCCATATTATGTTAGTCACTGACTCTTGTCACGTTTGGAAATGCCGCACTCAGCAGTATTCAAGCAGTAAGACGACAGTCTGTAATTAAGCAAGTCTGGACGAGACTGGCATCATTGGCATCGATACACGCAGTTGGTGACCCGCCAGTTAGTCGCCTCTGAAGACCAGCACGGGTTGCTTAAGACCAGTTTTAACCCGGATGTAGTTCCTTGACTGAGGGACCATGCAAGTACCATACAGTTTGCAGAGCCGTCATTTACCAATATTAGAGCTACTCTACATTCTACGTAGTAAAACTGTTCACCTATTTTATAAATGTTAGGAAAGCACTTTTTTGCAACACCCGTTGTGGCAACATAATGCTGTCAGCTCACAGACTGTCAAAGCAATATTTTAATGCCAGCTTTCAACATGTTGGTCATATTTTACAAAATGTTTTGTATGTGACTTCAAGTGAACGTTTACACACGTTTTCATTGTCAAGGTGACCCAGATCTCAACCATAAATCTATATATAGATGACAGTGGAGTCAGAGTAACCTCGACTTTTATCGCTAACCATGTTAGAATCACATGCCTGTAAGATTATGACTGGTTGTTTTTTGATAAGGTAGAATGTTCTCGTGCTGCAAACAGACAATCACAAAAAAAACCTCCAATGCATAAATCTGGAAGTGCACTTTTATATTCTAACAATATCTTCTGGGAAACATATTGATGTCATCACAACATGACATGCTTGGAACAGAGGCATCAAACAGTGACATTGTCTACCCCTAGCTATTAAACACCCTCTATTTAGATAAATAGTGAATGAAATGAATGAAATGCCATTTTTAAAATGTCGAACTTCATTCCCATCGACCATGTGGTGTTAAAATACAAACATCAATGGCTGTAACTTTGCAAACGGTACATTAAACGAGACCGTGTGACAATTACACGAAAAGTTACGTACTAGCATAATTATATTTTCTTTCTGACACGAGCAGGTTTCGTATGTTTTACATAATTATTTACATAAGTATGTCTGAAATGAGTGGCAGCGGTGGGGTAGCCTAGTGATTAAACCGTCAGTTCGTCACCCGAAAAGGCCCGGTTCGATTCCCCACATGGGTATAATGTGTGAAGCCCGTTTCTGGTGATAATAATGGACTATTGCTAAAAGTGGTGTAAACCTATACTCACTCACTCACTCACTGTAATGAGTGCAAGCGGGTGATACTAGATATGAACAAGTCCTCGGTATGTTTAATGCCATTTCAAATACTTAACATTAATCAACAAATCAAATGAACAAAGTCTAGTTCTCATACATATGAACACAATTTGATAATAATGTTTTAACGTCGCTTAATTCTTATATCATACAGATCCAGTGACGCTATTTCGTTCTTTGAGAGAAGTCGTGTCATTCCTGCATGTTATCTGTAGAGTGGGGGTTTTGATAGGAACCATTCGTTGCTTTAATCGGAACTTCAGAGACCTATCACGCATAAGTATTGAAAACCTTCCCTTACCTCGTGACTCCTGACTCGTGGTAAGTCTACTAAAGACGCTGTAGTCGTCCCACCTCGCCTCATATAGTAACCTTTCCCCGGTCTTATCTGGAAACCTACTTTCCACACACCAATAGTAATGATACACGAAGAAACAGAAACAAAATTTTAAACAGTCTGTAAAATCAAGATTGCATAGTGGTGTCTTATGTTGCGTGGTCCTCTGCAAAGCGTACATACCCGTGAAGATTCCGGGGTAGAATAGGTCTTCAGCAACCCATGCTTGCCGTAAAAGGCGACTATGCTTGTCGTAAGAGGCGACTAACGGGATCGGGAGTCAGGCTCGCTGACATGGTTGTTGCATGTCGTCGTATCCCAATTGCGTGGATCGATGGTCATGATGTCAATCACTGGATTGTCTGGTCCAGATTTGATTATTTACAGACCGCCGTCATCTAGCTGGAATATTGCTGAGTGCGGCGTTGAACAACACACAAACAAATAAACACAATCACAGCGCACAGGTCACAAATCAAGTGAAGTAAAGCAAGGTTGGTCGCGGAGAGAAGTTGCATGGGTGGCTGTTTTCAGGAGCTTAACTCCTGAGAGTTTCCAGGGCTTCCGTCCTGCCCTCACTGAATCAATGTAGCACTTGTGGTGTCTCCTTTGGCAAGTGACTTTAGCAGTGAATGGGTACCCAGTACAATGAGATGACAATGTCACTGATCACCTTCTAGCGCCTCAAAGGCAGCTTGGGTTGTATACTCCCCAGGGAGCTGAGATGGAAAATTGAATACAAACTGATCCGTTGACGGGGTAAGTAAAAAAAGTAGCGCCATGAGTATTCACTTTGTGAATAAACTTAGGTGCATTATGATTTATTATATTATTATATTATTGGTATCTTCGTGTCCGGAAATCTACTTTAATGACTCAAATAACGAGTGCTGAATCACGGCGTGTGGGAGGAAGTCCCGCAGTGACCTCTCTAAGACGTTTACCACGTCGATTTACGATCCTGACTAAATTGTCGGGCAAAAGAAAGTATATACCTCTGTTCACATTTTTATATAAAGAACACAATAACTTACCAAGTCAACTATTAAGCCTATGTCTTTGAAAGATGGACAACAAGTTAACCCTTTTCACGGAGTCAAACGTCATTGTAAAAACTTCAAATAAAGCATACAACTTTCCTTCTTTTACTGATAAACATCTCTGTATCATAGAATGTAGGATGAAAGTATTGTCGGTGGTGAAGTATCCCTCTTTAAAGCCTACTTGTGATTCGATTATTTTATTATAAAAATCCACCCAGAAAACAAGTCTCTTAATGATAAATGGAAGTAGGTATTTACTGAATATATTGAGAGTAATATATTAAGCCTCTGTAATAATTAACATCGCTGTTTGCCCCCTGTTTATGAAGAGGAACAAGAATACCAACTTCCAACTCTCTTGAAAATATGATCTTTCTAAGACAATATTTAAAATTAGTTCCAAATATGGTATTACAATTTAGTTCGCCGTTTAAGCTCGCCGGTAGAGTCTTGATCAATCAATCCTGTAGTCTTGTCTTTATTGGGACGACCTGAGTGAGGTCGACCATTCAAACATTTGGGTTTGTTGTATCTGTTCCATACTCTGCTAACCGGGCGGTCGGGTAGCTTAGTGGTTAAAGCGTTCGCTCGTCACGCCGAAGACCCGGATTCGATTCCCGACATGGGTACAATATGTGAAGCCCATTTCTGGTGTCCCCCGCCGTGATATTGCTGGAATATTGCTAAAATCGGCGTAAAAGCATACTCACTCACTCTGCCAACCACAGACTGTGAAACAGTGAACGTATTGCCCACTGTACGCTGACTTGTGTCCGTTTCCAGCATGTCAATATCCCGTAGACGCAAATAAAGTAATGAAAGTGAATCACAATAGTATGAGCGAGTGAGTGAGTTGGGTTTAACGCCGCTTTTAACAGTACATGTATTACAGTAATATCGCGGCGTGTCAGCTTAATGTGGGAGGAAAGCCCGAAGTGATGCAGGTCTCAGTCGTTTACCACTTCGGTGAAACCCACGAGCACGGGTATGGTGCTGACAAACCTAGAAACATAATCGGGGCGAACCGGGCTTCGAACCCACAATCATAGGTTTCTGGCGTGCCCAAGGGACGCCACTCTGAACTGCGAATCGCGGCGCCTTAGACGACTGGGCCACTCGTGCATACAACAGTATGAGAAGCAGAATCAATAAGATTGACAGAAATATTAGCCTACAGAGATTATTCGACCTTTGAAAGTGTTGAAATCATGAATAACATCCTACGCACGTGTGTGACGCTAGTGCGTGAGGCACGTGCAAACTATACGATGTGTTGTAGTTTCTATATAACGTTTCTTTATATTCACAGAAAGTATTTGAGACAAGTGGAATTAATATCACGTGGATTCTTAAAAACTCAAAGGATTTTCTTGACTTTTTTACAATCTCAGAAATGAACCAAGTTCAGTTTTGTCAAAACATTTAATTTTCAACTTTGTACAGCGCTATCCGACTTGAAGAACTAAAAAACGTAATTCCTTGATCCATGTTACTAAACATGGCGACCATAGATAGTTACACATCTAACTTCAGACGTTCAGGGGAATTAGTAAAAAATGAAAGCAATGCCATCTGAAGTTTACTGAGGAATGCTGGACTTCCTCGTTTATAACATCTATGTAAAATATTGGGGAAAGACATTCGCAAGAAGTAGGCATCCCCATTGACACCAACTTCGCTCTCCTTCTTGCTGATCTGTTTCTATACACATATTAATCGGAATTTCTACTCGGAATGGCCAAGTCAAAAGAAAGTAAATTTGGCCAAGAAGTTTAACTAGCCAATTCCCATCCACCGATTTACCCACCTGACCAAGAAATAAAGGAGACCAGTGAAGCCTGATCTGTTAGTGAAACCATATTTATACCAATGCATAACCATTCGGAGTGATCAAACACTCTCCACAAGACTGTATGACAAGAGCGATGATCCCATTCTTGTTGATCTGTATCTTAACGTCCTCATCTGTTTCATATTCGGTTCTGGGGCGGTCGGGTAGGCTAGTGGTTAAAGCGATCGCTCGTCACGCCGAAGACCCAGGTTCGATTCCCGACATGGGTACAATGTGTGAAGCCCATTTCTGGTGTCCCCAGCCGTGATATTGCTGGAATATTGCTAAAAGCGGCGTAAAACCATACTCACTCACTCACTCACTCACTCACTCACTCACTCACTCATATTCGGTTCTATGCATAAGGTTTAAGAGTGACAAAATATGTCTGTACGACAGGAGTGATGACTGCACCTTTCCAATAGTCAACTTTCCCTTTATGTCGAGCAATATATACTCTTTGTCAGAGGTTATTCGAACAAGTTACAACATTCCAGTCCTCGGTTTTATTGTAAACATGTAGAGGACATTTCCAGAGGACACCTGTGACAAAATATATGTCTGATGCAATTCCCTATTTTGACTTGTTCTTGTATTTTTTTCAGGTGAACAATTGACTTACCTGTGCATGTGTTTGTGACGGGTGGTACAGATGGGACAGGATACGCTTACATTTTCGTCAACACCTGGTATCATTATACATATGGGGGGGCACGGGTGGCCCAGTCGTCTAAGGCGCCGCGATTCGCTGTGCAGAGTGGCGTCCCTTGGGCACGCAAGAAACCTATGATTGTTGGTTCGAATCCCGGTTCGCCCCGATTATGTTTCTAGGTTTGTCAGCACCATACCCGTGCTCATGGGTTTCACCGAAAATGTAAACGTCTGAGACCTGCATCACTTCGGCCTTTCTTCCAACATTAAGCTGACACGCCGCGACATAACTGTAATACTGTTAAAAGCGGCGTTAAACCCAACTCACTCACTCACTGTTATACATATGGAGAGGGTTTTGTCGCTTTTATTTACAGACATAAACGATCTTGCATAGGATCTTTGTCAATTGTTATAAACAAAATTGAATGGTCGGTCCATGATGAACTATGTTGAAGTGACCATTTTCCCACAATACCTTCAACTATTTTTATAAGACCATCTGGCCTATATTTCAGACGCTTTGAACTGATAAATTGAAAACAGACATTTTTATCAATGCCATTGACCCTACACAGTTGTTCACGGAAAAACTGAATGATATATCTGATGTAACTATCACTAAGTCCTCTGGTGACCCACTCATTCGTGAGCTATGGTTTAAAGATCTAGACGATTTAGCTTGGAAGTGTAGGAAGAAGGCAGGGAAATACTTTCGCCGTCATCCTACAGTTCATAATATAAAATAATGTAAAAATAAGTAGTGCCAAGGCTCGACGTATTTTTGAACAAATTTGCGACTGCCTGGAAGAAATTTGAATCAACGATTAATTCAGGTACATATATGATACAAAAATTTAAAGGCACAGGGACAAATTCTTAAAGATGAACATAATATATTTACTGATATAAATGACATTGCAAATAACTTTAGCTGAACGTTCTTTATCATTAAATTATAATCACCAATTTCAGAAATATTCAAATCAAGAAGAAATTAAGACAATTAATTATCATTCTGATAATGGTGAAATGATAATGAAGTATTTTCACTTCATGAGCTCAATACTGCCTTAGCCCAAGCTCAGGATACTGGAACAGGAGCTGATAATATCCACTGTCAACTCCTTTCATGTCTCTAAATTGTTTTGATGATATTTGGACAACAGGACACTTTCCGCCTTCTTGGCGCTTTTCTCATTCCGAAACCGGGCCTATATCCTTAACAGATTAGTTCGATCTAATGACTAACCATACAATGTGGTGTCCGACAAAAACAGAAGCAAAATGAACCATTTGGGTCGATTAGAATCGTTTATTTAAGAAATGTCATTGTCAATAACCAACATGCTGTATCAATCTGACCGCCTCCGTAGTCTACTGGTAGAGCGTCCCCGGAGAGCGGAAGGTCCAGGGTTCGATGCCCGGTCGCGTCATACAAAAAGACGCTTAAAGATAGTACTTCGTGTTACCCTGTCTGGCGCCCTGGTGCATGCACGTCGCTATATAAGTGCAATCATCTTGGACGCGACGTTAAACCCAATTTCACCTCACCTCACCTCACCTCACCTCACCTCACCTCACCTCACCTCACCTCACCTGTATCAACGTTTTTTTGTATTTAGAATAAGCGTAGCATACGACATGGAAGCATGGTATTTTATAAGATTTAAAAGAAAAGAAAATATTGCAGGACATACAAATCCATTAAACATCCCGAACGTGCTCTAGATTGCACTCCAATCAAAGGATGCCAAGCTCCTGGGACAAATTTGATCATTATTTAAGTTTTATGCCACGCGTTAAATATCAGAAAACTAAATGCCTGAAGGCCCTGGACTTGCTGAAAGACGTATCAAATTATAAATGGTGAGGGGATCAGACCACCTCCTTCACTTATATAGATTACCAATACGCTGTAATGTGGATTATGGCTCCTTTTTTTACGCTGGATCGTGAAAGAGTACATAAAAAATATTAGATTCAACCAGCTCCAAAGCCTAAGATTATGTCTTGGCGCCTCACTTGTTGGTAGCCTTTATGTGGTGGCTGATGAATCCTCTTCAAAACAACACCTTATTAAATTGTCTCTTCAAAACTAAGCTGCGTTGCAATCCCACCAATCCTGCTTACGACTCCGTTTTTAATCCCTTTTATGAAGAGCTGTTTCATAAGAAACCCAAGCTGGTTCCTCACTCTTGAGATTCGGAACAAATCGTATATCGTGCTGCAAATCTTGATCTTGAATACATCTCTCCAAAGCCGACTTTTGTCTACTCCTCACTGGCAATTGGTCAGACCTGATGTAGACCTTTTTCTATCAGTCTTAAACAAATAGTTTATCAACAGGAATATGTACACATGAGGGTCAAAATAAACTCACTTATCCATGATAAAAATAGAGCGACAGAAACCGTTCCATAGTCCAAAGAAATCTCTGCCAAACAGAGTCGGGCGGACGCCACTAGACCACGGAGGCGGTCTTCCATTAGGAGGACTGTTAGAGTACTTCATACAGAGTATGTACGCTGGAGAAATGTATTTTCCCACCTTCGGCAACGTCATGCTTCATATAGACAATTATGGTTTGTTTGTTTGTTGTTGTTTAACGACGCACTCAGCAATATTCCAGCGATATGACACGCAATTGGGATCAATGACATGCATCAACCAAGTCAGCGAGCCTGACCACCCTATCCCGTTAGTCGCCTCTTATGACAAGCATGGGTTGCTGAAGAACAATTCTACACCGGATCTTCACGGGTCCCAATTATGGTTTGAGAATATAAAAGCAAACATAACGCTGAATAAAATCGATCGTAATTTATCCCTGAATTCGACCATTCAACCAATTAAATGTATTACTCAACGCTTCCCTTCCTCTATTACGAAAGAGTTCACGTTATCTTCTGACTTAGCCACAGTAGAATGGAGATTCTGATTCTCAAGATAGAACTCCGATTTAAAACCTGCAATGTTTCTTTCGAAATCGAACGCTCACGCTTACAGGTATTGAGTCGTCTTTAGAATGCTCTAATTTGACAACACAGTTGGTTAACCTGCTACATAGATCATCAAGTCATCGGATACGTGTCTAATTAGATGTTCTCATTACGATCACCAAAATGCCTTCTCGGGACATGTTCTCAAGCTTTGCTTGTTTGTTGTTTAACACCGCACTCAGCAATATTCCAGCTTTATGACGGCGATCTGAAAATAATTGTGTCTGGACAAGACAATCCAGTGATTGACGTCATGAGCATCGATCCACGCAATTGGGATATGATGATATGCATCAACCAAGTCAGCGAGCCTGACCACCCGATCCCGTTAGTCGCCTTTTACAAGCATAGTCGCCTTTTACGGCAAGCATGGAATCTTCTCGGGTCTATTCACAAGCATACACAGTGCCCATGCAACAGTAATGCCATGAAAGGTCATTGCTTTTACATGAATCTGGAAGAGCCCATATTATGCACAATATAAACTGGTTCAATAAAACGGTTAAACATACAACATGTCTACTCCCCTATCAGCAGATTAGATATGAATCATACTGCGGTTCACATGAAAAAAAACCATGAAATCACGCATACAGTATTTGCCATATTTGATTATTTTGTGAAAGTTATCATATATTCTACATCATGCCATTGTCGTACACTAGTACTTACGTTACATAATGTTTATATTCGATAGAGACGGTATATGAAATGAATACAACAGTCTCTGTCATCAAATCAGTTCAAGACGTCATTCTTTTTATAGCATATGTCTTTCGTGAACAAGGAGTGTGTCAGTCTTATCAGAAGATACACCTTTAAATATATATAAATATAGCAAACATGTCTAGCATGTGATATGACCGGCAGCATTCAGAGGTACATGTATAAATATTTACTTATATTTCAGTAGATTCATACTGTTTTTAAAACATAATGCCTGTGTGTTTTTCTTTGCGAGATAGTTTCTGGGGTAACCATTCTGGTTTTTCGTGACTTTGGTGTCATTCTGGTGTTAAGCTTTATTAAAATCCGTTAAGAGAGCGATATATTGCTGGGTCAGCAAAGGTACCACCACCTCCCTGTCTCAACCATTAACCATAATCATTAATACAATCCAAGGACTTTTCAAAGTCAAAACAAGGTAATTTGACCAAGTTTAACTTATGCTTCAGGTATATCGATGATACTTATTGTAGTAGAGCTTCCTTATGACTATGGATGGTATTTTGTTGCTATTATTTACCATGAATGTTTTCACAAAAGGTCAAGGTGATTATAAGCAGGAGGCTTCTGTGGTTGACATAAACATTCCTATTTATTTATTTATTTATTTATTTATTTATTTATTTATTTATTTATTTATTTATTTATTTATTTATTTATTTATTTATTTATTTATTTATTTATTTATTTATTTATTTATTTATTTATTTATTTATTTATTTATTTATTTATTTATTTATTTATTTATTTATTTATTTATTTATTTATTTATTTATATCACGTCCCATTCAAAATTACATTTTACTCTGATGTAAAACCAGAGCCCCGGAGACAATACTGTACATGTTCAGTAAATGTTCAAGATGACATATACTCACTTTGCACTAAATCTGCAGAATTTTCATCTTTGCAGCAAAATGTTTGTCCTCGGGCTGCTGGCGACATTTGTCGCCCTTTCAGTGAGTGATCTTAACGTAAACATCGGCAACCACTGGCCCGGGGGATTCCAGGTTAAAGGCTGCATACCTATTACAGAAGAGCTTCACTCATGGAAAGTCAATGTCAAGTTTGACCAGACTGTAGAAGCCCTTGAGGTTTGTTTGATAAAGATTCCAAAACATTACAATCTTTGAAAAGGTACATGTAAACAGCGATAACATCTTTCAATTGGGTACATGGGCGTGTCTCCTTAACTGATGTTCACATCATTATCCTCTTGATTACACTACATATGTAGATTTATACAAACGAAATCAGTTTATCTAAGCCTACATACCAATAGTTAACTGTTTCTCGCACACTGAAGACGATCGGCCATTTCCGCTGGAAACAGACCTCAGAGGAGACTCGTACCCATTATGTTTAACTCGCGACCCTGACTTTCGTCACCACTCGCCCCTTTACGTTACCTACAAGAAGACTCGGGCCACTACCGATTAATGTTATGTGCGAAAATACGACAAACCAATCAGAATGCGCGTATGACTTCAAGTACTTTGGTCAAAGAATCCCCCAGGAATATTTGTTTGTATTTTACACATGTCTTGCATCTATAAATATACACAAGATACAGTTACATGTATTCTATCATACTGTATAATATTGTAGGTCCCGATGTGTGTTAAATAGCATCTAGATTATATATGATATATTGGGGAATATAGGTGAATCATTACGCAACGAGTTGACAATTCTTTTAGCTATGCCCGTTTGCGATTAGACAATGGCCACTAGAGGGGCACGAGTCGTCATTCGGCTTGGCCCGGAATAACACGAGTTGGTCGCGAATGCGACCTCACCAGCAAATGAATGTCACGTGATGTAGATAACCCATCTGGCAGTCGACAAACAAAAACAATCGGACGATTTTTAGTTCAATGGTAACCAATATCACTCTAGTGCAGGAAACCTTTGTTTGCATTCACCATGTTGGAACTATATTTCAAAAACGTTGTTGTACAAGTACCTTTTGAATACATTTAGGGATAAAAAAATTAAATTTGTAACTATGTATATATAAGACTAACGAACATTAAACACAGATGAACAGTAAATGCACAAGAAATGTGCATCTGTAGGCGTGTTTAGGCCTGTTTATTGCATGGGGACAAGTTGACCCTTATCCTACATCTAGAACTGAGTCTACTTTGTGGAAAAGGGCGAGATTGGCCTGTTACTCTTTCTCAGTTATATTTCTTTTCGAAATGTTAGATGCTGAGAATTTTGTCTTTAGTGAGAATAAAAGTATTGAGAAGTCTTTGATAGGCATTTAAAGTTGGAAGAACATGAATACATGACACTTTTTCATGGATAGCAGCTTCTTTTATTCTTTGTCACGACGTTTCAGAGCTACTTCTTGCTCCTTCATCGGGTAAAGTGTATTTAGAAGTATTGAGAGAGGAATTGGTGGTTGTTTATATTATTTTATGTGCATTGAAACTGTCACCATTGTGTCTTTGATAGTGATGGAAACGCATGAACGTGTTCAGCATATTATTAAGTGTTTGTGAACGGATATTAACTATACATCTGGTATGGAAAATGATGCGTACATAGCTTAGACAGACAGATGGTAAAGTGATGTTCCGATGTCGAAGAAACACATTTTCCGTATAGACCAGAAGACCTGCTGGGTATGTCACTCGCTAACACATGGGCGTGTTCCTATACTTCCTCTGTGTCTGTCTGTAACATATGCCGTGTATGTGAACATGTCGCACTGATTAGTTGTTGAACAATATTTGATTGCGATTCATTAACACATGTTCATAATATAGTCATCAGCGTTTCTCCAATATCAATCAGACACGTCGTGGTATAACTGAAATACATGTGTTGTTCAAAGTCGTGTTAAGTAAAAAATACACCCTTACTGAACATGGGCAAAATATACCTATCAACTGTAATACAGTAAACTTCGTTTAAAACGAACACGCTTACAACGAATTGACGGGTATAACGAACTTACTTTTTGTTCCGACTATTTGCTGTAGATTTTATGTATACAGTAAAAAAAGGTTATAACGAACACGCTTATAACGAACTGACGGATATAACGAACCTACTTTTTGGTCCCGACGACTTGCTGTTGTTATGCTGTATATGTGCTTATAACGAACTACGGTTATAACGAACTAAAATTAGTAGTCCCTTTGAGTTCGTTATAACCGTAGTTTACTGTATGTGTTTATAACGAACTACGGTTATAACGAACTAAAACTAGTGGTCCCTTTGAGTTCGTTATAACCGTAGTATACTGTACTTTACTGTCCCCAGACTGGGACAGCGGATGTCCTCAAGATGGACGGGGGAATGGAGTTTGTCCTCTCCAACAAACAGTGGAATGCCAATGAACACGTGGGCGATAAGCTCTGCTTGGACCTAGTGGCAAGAACTACTGGGGACATTCAGCCAAAGATGACGATGTCTGTAGAAGGGATGAACACCACTGGAACGATTGGAAACTCTTCAAACAACAACAACAGCAACCAGCAGCAGACAGCAACACCAGGTGTCACCGTGACCGTCCCAATATCTACGAATGTCAGTAAGTAGAATGCACAGTGTGCGTACATGCCATACCTATCAAAAAATCAAATTCAAACAAGTATGAAGTACTCATATCCTCCGCCAATATTACCAATTTCAGTCTAAGTCAAAGTTGTTGCCATGGAAACTCGAAAAAAAGTGTTTTTAAAAAATCCCCAAATATCAAAAGGCACTAGTTCACCACTTGACCTATCAATGTGGCAAGTTTAGTGAAGATATCTCTCATGGTTTTTGAGTTCTGCTCCGGAAACGAAACGTGAAGGATGGACGGACAGCAGCCCCTCATATATCCCCCTTCTACTTCGTGGCGTAGGATAATTAACTTATCAATTCAAAACGGCAAAAAAGGGAATAATGATTTTTGATAATCTGTCCGAACAGATTCCATTGGACAAAAAAAGGAAAAGGAGTTATGAAAGTTATATGATGGATCTCTGAAACTTAGTGATGACGCCAAGTGTCCGCGAAAAAGAGTGATCATGTCCTGCTCTGTTAGACTACTTGGCATACTGCCATACATAAAGCCTCCAGATAGTTCTCAGGTACGGGTATTGGTTGTTCTATGTTTCAGGTACGGGGATTGGTTGTTCTATGTTTCAGGTACGGGGATTGGTTGTTCTATGTTTAATTTCAGGCACGGGTATTGGTTCTATGTTTCAGGCACGGGTATTGTTTCTATGTTTCAGGCACGGGTATTGTTTCTATGTTTCAGACACGGGTATTAGTTTATGTTTCAGGCACGGGTATTGGTTCTGTTTCAGGCACGGGTATTGGTTCTATGTTTCAGGCACGGGTATTGGTTCTATGTTTCAGACACGGGTATTGGTCCTATGTTTCAGGCACGGGTATTGGTTCTATGTTTCAGACAAGGGTATTGGTTCTATGTTTCAGGCACGGGTATTGGTTCTATGTTTCAGGCACGGGTATTGGTTCTATGTTTCAGGCACGGGTATTGGTGGTGGGGAGGAGTTCACCACGAACAACATGCAGATCTACAACGACTGGGGCAACAGGTTTGAAGCCGAGTTCTCCTTCCCTGCTACTGAAAACATAGAAGGTTGGGAGGTGGCAATCAACTTCTCAGAGCCGGTCGATAAGCTGGACGTAAGTCGAACACCTGGTGTCATCACAATGTGGTAGTGATTCATAAACACATGCTCATGCTCATGATATAGTCGGAATCGTACTATCGACTCTCGACTCGACTCAGATTTCTGTTGGACGTGGAAAGTGTGTTGTCGCTTTATTTATCAGACATGTTCAGATTGCTGACGTTGACCATTTGTACACCACTTCAAGACTTATGTATGGAGTATCTCAGACTGAACACTGCCTTGCTGTATGTCGAGATAAGATCACTCTTACATCGTTCGCATTTCCGATACCTATTCCCCAATCAATCTAAACTGTTGTTTAAAGGAGCACTTAACGATGTTTACGTTATTAATAGACAGATTTAATCATTACGAAAATTACCAGTGTTTTACGACAATCATTATACATTCTGGATTTTAGCTTCAGTATTCTGTATTATGAAACGTTTCAAATCTACTTCTTGTGTCTCTATGAACCACCAACTAGATGCCTTAAACTGTACGAAAGGCTGCTTGTGCTTATGCCCACTATATGCAGCTGTTGGTTCTGGCAAATCCTTCAGATCAAAATGAAACGAGTCCAGTTCCATTAATATTTCCCAAATCGTATCGTAGGATTTAAATTTTGAAGTACATTTTAGATGTAGGGCAATAAAGACTCATTCTGTTCATCTGGCCGTGTCGAATTTATCGTTGCTATGTTTGTAGCTGTGGGTAGCCGATGTGTACAAAAAGTCGGCCGATGGCAAACACTGGGTCGTCATCAACAAGCAAGATAAGGTTTTCTTCACAAAGGGCGAAACTGTGAAACTCCGCTTCTTTGGCAACACTCAGGCGTCGTCAGCGCCAACCGCTGTCGCCACACTCACCAACCTCGGACACGACGACAATGGATTTCCAAATGTGAAGAACAGTAAGTTGGAGAGCTTAGGAATAAATGTATTATTTCTGGTGGCACTAACAGTAACATTCAATAACATTCGTCATCTGTTGCTGCTAAAAGATCCTATGTCGAGGATAGCTGATTGAGTCTTAATTCAGAGGACCGCCTCCGTTGTCTAGTGGTAGAGCGTCCGCCCGGAGAGGGGAAGGTCCGGGGTTCAATCCCCGGCCGCGTCATACCAAAATACGTTAAAACATGGTACTTGTTGTTACCCTGTCTGGCGCTCGGCATTAAGGGGCTAAAACAAGGATTGGTCGGCTCGGAGTCAGTATACTGTGTCTGAGTGGGGTATTTATGTTAAACTGCAGCATGGTATCTCAGTGAGCTAGCACTATAAATCGGCATCAGTCCTGACTAGTACAAGCAGCCACACACACACACACACATGCATGCACGTCGCTATATAAGTACAATAATCTTGGACGCGACGTTAAACCCCATTTCACCTCACCTCACCTTAATTCAGACTAGAGCCCTCTTCAGTCTTGTGACTCAATAAATAGTTTGCACAAATATTACAAAAGTAAATTAAAACTAGGAAATTGGTCGTGTCAGGTTGGTTATATAAGGCGACAGAACCGTTATGTGATCAAAGTATGCCTCTGTCTTCACAGCGGGAGGCACCAAATACAACTATGATGAGGTCCTATACAAATCCATCCTCTTCTACGACGCCCAGAGATCAGGCAAACTTCCGGCCGACAACCCCATCCCTTGGAGAGGGGACTCCGCCCTGGGAGACAAGGGGGATAATGGGGAGGACCTCACTGGAGGGTGGTATGACGGTGAGTACCACTGTACAAGGGGAGGGGAGACTCCGCCCTGGGGGACAAGGGAGATAATGGGGAGGATCTAACAGGAGGATGGTATGACGGTGAGTATCACTGTACAGGGGGAGGGGGGACTTCGCCCTGGGGGACAAGGGAGATAATGGGGAGGACCTTACTGGGGGGTGGTATGACGGTGAGTACCACTGTACAGGGGGAGAGGGGACTCCGCCCTGGGAGAGAAGGGAGATAATGGACAGGACCTCACTGGGGGATGGTATGACGGTACGCACAATTTCACAATTATTCGGCAAGATGATGAACCCCAACTGCTTCCACCTGTTTGTGAGGCTGTAACGTTTGTCCAACCTGGTTGGTCCGTTTAGACTGGCGTCCAATATAGGCACGCAGACCATTTCGTTCAACGTTTCACATTCATAATGAGAATAATGCATAACGGGTTGTTGAATCATAAGACCATGTTACATGATGCATCATTTAAGGAAATAAAATGAAAGTAGTTGTTACACAAGAAAATTACGACTTGACACCAGCCATTGTTTACTCCCAGATTAATTATTGTATCGTCTTATATCCCGATGGTGTATTCTATTGCGACTCCCAGACTAAATATTATATCCTGGTATATCCCGATTGTATATAATATTGCAACTCCCAGAAAAAGTATTATATCGTGGTATATCCCGACTGTGTATCATATTGCAACTCCCAGAAAAAGTATTATATCGTGGTATATCCCGACTGTGTATCATATTCCGACTCCCAGACTAAGTATTATATCGTGGTATATCCAGACTATATATCATAATGCAACTCCCAGACTAAATATTATATCCTGGTATATCCCGATTGTATATAATATTGCAACTCCCAGAAAAAGTATTATATCGTGGTATATCCCGACTGTGTATCATATTGCGACTCCCAGACTAAGTATTATATCGTGGTATATCCAGACTGTATATCATAATGCAACTCCCAGACTAAATATTATATCCTGGTATATCCCGATTGTATATAATATTGCAACTCCCAGAAAAAGTATTATATCGTGGTATATCCCGACTGTGTATTATATTGCGACTCCCAGGCTAAGTATTATATCGTGGTATATCCTGACTGTATATTATATTGTGGACTCCCAGACTAAGTATTATATCGTTGTATAATCCGACTGTATATTATATTGTGGACTCCCAGACTAAGTATTATATCGTTGTATAATCCGACTGTTTATCATATTGTAGACTCCCAGACTAAGTATTATATTCGTGGTATAATCCGACTGTATATCATATTGTGGACTCCCAGACTAAGTATTATATCGTTGTATAATCCGACTGTATATTATATTGTTGACTCCCAGACTAAGTATTATATCCTGGTATAATCCGACTGTATATTATATTGTTGAGTCCCAGACTAAGTATTTATCGTGGTATAATCCGACTGTATATTATATTGTGGACTCCCAGACTAAGTATTATATCGTTGTATAATCCGACTGTATATTATATTGTGGACTCCCAGACTAAGTATTATATCGTGGTATAATCCGACTGTTTATCATATTGTAGACTCCCAGACTAAGTATTATATTCGTGGTATAATCCGACTGTATATTATATTGTGGACCCCCAGACTAAGTATTATATTCGTGGTATAATCCGACTGTATATCACATTGCGACTCCCAGACTAAGTATTATATCGTGGTATAATCCGACTGTATAATTTTATTATATTGTGGACTCTCTGACTAAGTATTATATTCGTGGTATAATCCGACTTAGTATTATATTCGTGGTATAATCCGACTGTATATCATATTGTGGACTCCCAGACTAAATATTATATTCGTGGTATAATCCGACTGTATATCACATTGCGATTCCCAGACTAAGTATTATATCGTGGTATAATCCGACTGTATAATTTTATTATATTGTGGACTCTCTGACTTAGTATTATATTCGTGGTATAATCCGACTGTATATCATATTGTGGACTCCCAGACTAAGTATTATATTCGTGGTATAATCCGACTGTATATCACATTGCGACTCCAAGACTAAGTATTATATCGTGGTATAATCCGACTGTATATCATATTGTGGACTCTCTGACTAAGTATTATATCCTGGTATAATCCGACTTGTATCATATTGTGGACTCTCTGACTTAGTATTATATTTGTGGTATAATCCGACTGTATATCACATTGCGACTCCTAGACTAAGTATTATATCGTGGTATAATCCGACTGTATAATTTTATTATATTGTGGACTCTCTGACTAAGTATTATATCGTGGTATAATCCGACTGTATATCATATTGTGGACTCTCTGACTTAGTATTATATTCGTGGTATAATCCGACTGTATAATTTTATTATATTGTGGACTCTCTGACTAAGTATTATATTCGTGGTATAATCCGACTGTACATAATATTGTGGACTCTCTGACTAAGTATTATATTCGTGGTATAATCCGACTGTACATAATATTGTGGACTCTCTGACTAAGTATTATATTCGTGGTATAATCCGACTGTATTGTGGACTCTCTGACTAAGTATTATATCGTGGTATAATCCGACTGTATATCATATTGTGGACTCTCTGACTAAGTATTATATTCGTGGTATAATCCGACTGTATAATTTTATTATATTGTGGACTCTCTGACTAAGTATTATATTCGTGGTATAATCCGACTGTACATAATATTGTGGACTCTCTGACTAAGTATTATATTCGTGGTATAATCCGACTGTACATAATATTGTGGACTCTCTGACTAAGTATTATATTCGTGGTATAATCCGACTGTATATTATATTGTGGACTCTCTGACTAAGTATTATATCGTGGTATAATCCGACTGTATATCATATTGTGGACTCTCTGACTAAGTATTATATTCGTGGTATAATCCGACTGTATATCACATTGCGACTCCCAGACTAAGTATTATATCGTGGTATAATCCGACTGTATAATTTTATTATATTGTGGACTCTCTGACTAAGTATTATATTCGTGGTATAATCCGACTGTACATAATATTGTGGACTCTCTGACTAAGTATTATATTCGTGGAATAATCCGACTGTACATAATATTGTGGACTCTCTGACTAAGTATTATATTCGTGGTATAATCCGACTGTATATTATATTGTGGACTCTCTGACTAAGTATTATATATCGTGGTATAATCCGACTGTATATCATATTGTGGACTCTCTGACTAAGTATTATATTCGTGGTATAATCCGACTGTATATCATATCGTGGACTCTCTGACTAAGTATTATATCGTGGTATAATCCGACTGTATATTATATTTTGGACTCTCTGACTAAGTATTATATCCTGGTATAATCCTACTGTATATCATATTGTGGACTCTCTGACTAAGTATTATATTCGTGGTATAATCCGACTGTATATCATATTGTGGACTCTCTGACTAAGTATTATATCGTGGTATAATCCGACTGTATATCATATTGTGGACTCTCTGACTAAGTATTATATCGTGGTATAATCCGACTGTATATTATATTGTGGACTCTCTGACTAAGTATTATATCGTGGTATAATCCGACGGTATATCATATTGTGGACTCCCAGGCTAAGTATTGTATCGTGGTATAATCCGACTATATATTATATTGTTGACTCCCAGACTTAGTATTATATTCGTGGTACATCCGGATTGTGTCTCATATTTACGGACTTACTTTCATTCCCCCCAGCTGGTGACCACGTCAAGTTCAACTTCCCCATGTCGTGGTCCACCACCATCCTCACCTGGAGCCTGCTGCAGTGGAAGGAGGCGTACGTGGAGTCAGGACAGTACGACAACATGCTCGACTGTATCAAGTGGCCACTGGACTACCTCCTCAAGTGTCACACAGCCAAGGACGAACTCTATGTACAGGTGAGTCTCCCAGTGGCCACTCGACTTCCTCCTCAAGTGTCACACAGCCAAGGACGAACTCTATGTACAGGTAAGTCACATAGTGGCCACCCGACTACCTCCTCAAGTGTCATACTGCCAAGGACGAACACTACGGGTGAGTCTCCTGTTTTGTGTACAAATATGAAGCAATACTCTGGACTATAGAAAATGGGATGTGATGCGATTTCATTAAACAGGAATGACCTGGAGGCTAATGATGTTTGATCTGAGTAAACTGAATGAAATCATATACATATTCGTCGTTTGTTTTGCGTTTACAAGTGTCTGTTGTATATCTTAGGTTGGAAACGGAGGGGCAGACCACAGTTTCTGGGGCCGACCTGAAGACATGAAAATGGCCAGACCCGCGTATAAGATCACCCCTTCAAAACCCGGAAGTGACGTAGCTGGACAAACAGCAGCTGCCTTTGCAGCTGGGTCAATGGCATTCAAAGACAAAGGTTGGGCATAGCTACATTTATAAACTACATATGACTTCAGTCATGAGAGACTTTATGTCTATTAAGATTAAAATATTTTCTTCACTGATTGGATTTCTTGATACTACATACTTAAAGCTCTGGAACTTTGTTTTCTATATATACAGACGCTGCCTATTCCAAGACGCTGTTGGACCATGCGGTGCAGCTGTATGACTTCGCCATGGCCAACAAGGGACGATACAGCCAAAGCGTTCAAGCCGCCGCCCAGTTCTACCCGTATGTCATACATTCTACTGCCAGCTGGGTCATACTGATGTTGACAACAACTTCTAGGCTATTGATATTTTCAGTGTACTATTAAATCAGACTAAACAAATAGGTATTTGCACAGGTCCACGAACAACACAGACGAGCACGCCTGGGCCGGACTGTGGCTGTATCAGGCGACTGGGGACCCTAAATACCTGACCGAGGCCGAGAAATACCACCAGCCCGGGGAGGCTTGGGGCATGAGCTGGGACGACAACCAGGCGGCCAACAATGTACGTTAAACCATACGGGTAGTACGCGTACACTCACAGAGCATTCTTGACAGGTCCTCCTCCAAGAGTAATGGTTAACACTGCATTGTAGTTTTGTATACGTGTTTCTCGTCCGAATTTACGGTGGAGGGGTAGCATCTGGTTCGATTCCCAACTTGAGTAAAATGCATCAAGTTCTTGTGTACCCAGCCGGGATATTGCTGAGTTGTATTGTAGGCAATATCCAGTAATAGAATTATTAGACAGGGTACTATATATCATAAGCATAATTATGACACCTCTTAAATATAATAAACTTTATGATGTTTGTGAACCAAACAATGTATTTGCCTGGTAAGTCACATATTGTGAATCGTGTTAAGTATCTAATGTTACTGTGCATCCTCTATATCTTCATGCATCCTCTATATCTTCACGCATCCTCTATATCTCCATGCATCAACTATATCTTCATGCATCATCTATATCTCCATGCATCCTCTATATATCCATGCATCCTCTATATCTTCACGCATCCTCTATATCTTCATGCATCCTCTATATCTCCATGCATCCTCTATATCTCCATGCATCCTCTATATATCCATGCATCCTCTATATCTTCATGCATCCTCTATATCTCCATGCATCCTTTATATCTTCATGCATCCTCTTTATCTTCATGCATCCTCTGTATCTCAATGCATCCTCTATATCTCCATGCATCTTCTATTTATCCATGCATCCTCTATACCTTCATGCATCCTCTATATCTCCATGCATCCTTTATATCTTCATGCATCTTCTATATCTCCTTGCATTCCCTTTATCTTCATGCATCCTCTATATCTCCATGCATCCTCTATACCTTCATGCATCCTCTATATCTTCAAGCATCCTCTATATCTTCATGCATCTTCTATATCTCCTTGCATTCCCTTTATCTTCATGCATCCTCTATATCTCCATGCATCCTCTATATCTCCATGCATCCTCTATATCTTCATGCATCCCCATGCATCCTCTATATCTCCATGCATCCTCTATATCTCCATGCATCCTCTATATCTCCATGCATCCTCTATATCTTCATGCATCCTCTATAACTCCATGCATCCTCTATATCTTCATGCATCCTCTATACCTCCATGCATCCTCTATATCTCCATGCATCCTCTATATCTTCATGCATCCTCTATATCTCCATGCATCCTCTATACCTCCATGCATCCTCTATATCCCCATGCATCCTCTATATCTCCATGCATCAATTATATCTTCATGCATCATCTATATCTCCATGCATCCTCTATATATCCATGCATCCTCTATATCTTCACGCATCCTCTATATCTTCATGCATCCTCTATATCTCCATGCATCCTCTATATCTCCATGCATCCTCTATATATCCATGCATCCTCTATATCTTCATGCATCCTCTATATCTCCATGCATCCTTTATATCTTCATGCATCCTCTTTATCTTCATGCATCCTCTGTATCTCAATGCATCCCCTATATCTCCATGCATCTTCTATTTATCCATGCATCCTCTATACCTTCATGCATCCTCTATATCTCCATGCATCCTTTATATCTTCATGCATCTTCTATATCTCCTTGCATTCCCTTTATCTTCATGCATCCTCTATATCTCCATGCATCCTCTATACCTTCATGCATCCTCTATATCTTCAAGCATCCTCTATATCTTCATGCATCTTCTATATCTCCTTGCATTCCCTTTATCTTCATGCATCCTCTATATCTCCATGCATCCTCTATATCTCCATGCATCCTCTATATCTTCATGCATCCCCATGCATCCTCTATATCTCCATGCATCCTCTATATCTCCATGCATCCTCTATATCTCCATGCATCCTCTATATCTTCATGCATCCTCTATAACTCCATGCATCCTCTATATCTTCATGCATCCTCTATACCTCCATGCATCCTCTATATCTCCATGCATCCTCTATATCTTCATGCATCCTCTATATCTCCATGCATCCTCTATACCTCCATGCATCCTCTATATCCCCATGCATCCTCTATATCTCCATGCATCAACTATATCTTCATGCATCATCTATATCTCCATGCATCCACTATATATCCATGCATCCTCTATATCTTCACGCATCCTCTATATCTTCATGCATCCTCTATATCTCCATGCATCCTCTATATCTCCATGCATCCTCTATATATCCATGCATCCTCTATATCTTCATGCATCCTCTATATCTCCATGCATCCTTTATATCTTCATGCATCCTCTTTATCTTCATGCATCCTCTGTATCTCAATGCATCCTCTATATCTCCATGCATCTTCTATTTATCCATGCATCCTCTATACCTTCATGCATCCTCTATATCTCCATGCATCCTTTATATCTTCATGCATCTTCTATATCTCCTTGCATTCCCTTTATCTTCATGCATCCTCTATATCTCCATGCATCCTCTATACCTTCATGCATCCTCTATATCTTCAAGCATCCTCTATATCTTCATGCATCTTCTATATCTCCTTGCATTCCCTTTATCTTCATGCATCCTCTATATCTCCATGCATCCTCTATATCTCCATGCATCCTCTATATCTTCATGCATCCCCATGCATCCTCTATATCTCCATGCATCCTCTATATCTCCATGCATCCTCTATATCTCCATGCATCCTCTATATCTTCATGCATCCTCTATAACTCCATGCATCCTCTATATCTTCATGCATCCTCTATACCTCCATGCATCCTCTATATCTCCATGCATCCTCTATATCTCCATGCATCCTCTCTATCTCCATGCATCCTCTATACCTCCATGCATCCTCTATATCCCCATGCATCCTCTATATCTCCATGCATCCTCTATATCTCCATGCATCCTCTATATCTTCATGCATCCTCTATATCTCCATGCATCCTCTATATCTCCATGCATCCTCTATATCTCCATGCATCCTCTATATCTTCATGCATCATCTATAACTCCATGCATCCTCTATATCTCCATGCATCCTCTATATCTCCATGCATCCTCTATATCTTCATGCATCCTCTATACCTCCATGCATCCTCTATATTTCCATGCATCCTCTATATCTCCATGCATCCTCTATATCTCCATGCATCCTCTATAACTCCTTGCATCCTCTATATCTCCATGCATCCTCTATATTTCCAGGCATCCTCTATGTCTCCATGCATCCTCTATATCTCCATGCATCCTCTATACCTCCATGCATCCTCTATACCTCCATGCATCCTCTATATTTCCATGCATCCTCTATATCTTCATGCATCCTCTATATCTTCATGCATCTCTATATCTCCATGCATCCTCTATATCTCCATGCATCCTCTATATCTCCATGCATCCTCTATATCTCCATGCATCCTCTATATCTTCATGCATCCTCTATATCTCCATGCATCCTCTATATCTCCAGACATCCTCTATATCTCTAGGCATCCTCTATATCTCCATGCATCCTCTATATCTCTAGGCATCCTCTATATCTCCATGCATCCTCTATATCTCCAGACATCCTCTATATCTCTAGGCATCCTCTATATCTCCATGCATCCTCTATATCTCCAGACATCCTCTATATCTCTAGGCATCCTCTATATATCCAACGTTACACTAACCCCTGAATCTATTCCCGTGGTTCTCGCGATTTCAAATTATCCGCCCTCAATTTCCATTATCCAATTTGATTTGTTACGCTACTCAGTTTAACGGACCAATCAGAATACGAGTTACAAACATGCCTCATTATTTGGTGGGCGATATCAACAACATGGTGGCCCGTTCCATTGATTTCGAAAGTGCTTGCGAGAAATTCAACATTGAAAACTGACTAACACGCAAAAGAAAACCCTCAAAAATAGTATTAATCGAACGAATGTCTTCATGTCCATTTAATCTGGGGGTAATAACTTCTCCCTTACCTATAACTTTTTTTCTTTTCTCGACGTTTGCTTGGTCGGTAAAATGTTAATGAAAAACAAGGGTTTGTTATTTGTGATCGTGAGATCCACGGGAATAGATCTGGGGGTTAATGTAGGTTTACCGAAATGCGCGCCCTGCACATGATGATGCACAGAAGATGGTAACTACATGTATGTGTTATGGAATCAAAAGTGCCCCCTCTGCATAGAGACTTCTAACTATTAAATATTAAAATCCAAACACTTGTAACATATTCCGTATTCTTTCGTTATTTTAAACCATTTGAAAAAGGATTCATTCATGTTTTCGCAGGTCCTGTTCTACAAGCTGACCCGTAAAGACGTCTACAAGCAGGACCTGGAGGATACGTTCGAGAAATACTGGTTCCCCAACCAGGTCATCAAGTACACGCCTAAAGGACTGGCGTGGAGGCTGCAGTGGGGATCTCTCAGATATGCGTGTAGGTATAATGTGAGATATGCATGGAGGTCTAATGTGAGATATGCATGGAGGTCTAATGTGTGATATGCATGAAGGTCTAATGTGAGATATGCATGAAGGTCTAATGTGAGATATGCATGAAGGTCTAATGTGTGATATGCATGAAGGTCTAATGTGAGATATGCATGAAGGTCTAATGTTTGAGGCATTCATGTGGATCTTATGTGTGCGATTGGCATGTTGATCTGATGTCGCAGATATGATTGAAGGTCTAATGTCTCAGATGTGCATGTAGATCTAATGTCTGAGATTGAAATGTTGGTCTCGTGTCTCAGATATGCATGTAGATCTAATGTCTGAGATTGGAAGTTGGTCAAATGTCTCAGATATGCATGTAGGTCTAATGTCGGAAATATGAATGCGGGTCTAATGTCTGAAATATGCATTCGGGTCTAATGTCGCAGATATGCATGCGGGTCTAATGTCTGAGATTGTAATGATGGTCTAATGTATCAGATATTCATGAAGGTCTAATGTGAGATATGCATGAAGGTCTAATGTGAGATATGCATGAAGGTCTAATGTGAGATATGCATGAAGGTCTAATGTTTGAGGCATCCATGTGGGTCTTATGTGTGCGATTGGCATATGATCTGATGTCGCAGATATGATTGAAGGTCTAATGTCTCAGATGTGCATGTAGATCTAATGTCTGAGATTGAAATGTTGGTCTCGTGTCTCAGATATGCATGTAGATCTAATGTCTGAGATTGGAAGTTGGTCAAATGTCTCAGATATGCATGTAGGTCTAATGCCGGAAATATGAATGCGGGTCTAATGTCTGAAATATGCATGCGGGTCTAATGTCGCAGATATGCATGCGGGTCTAATGTCTGAGATTGTAATGATGGTCTAATGTATCAGATATTCATGAAGGTCTAATGTGAGATATACATGTAGGTCTAATATCTTATAATCTGATGTCGCAGATATACATGTAGGCCTAATGTCTGTAATATTAGAAACATATCCCACATGCGTAAAAGGCACCCTAATATATTTACCAACTGCAGATAGTGATGGACTTCCCATATCGGTTGATGCGGGATAGAATACACATACACGGACGATTAGTCTGAACGACAAACGATTACTCTTGGACAGGTTCGAAAAAGAGGTTCTGCTTGACAGTTCCTTTTACAAGCAAAATAACTGTTGTTTTTCAAACTTTTTATATTCATTTAATAAAACGCATGCATCACTGGACTTGCCAGTGAATGCGTACCCTGTTCACATGGTCATGACATATAAACGTGGTCTTACATATGTCGTATGCATGTGACCCCCTAATACAACTGATAACAGTCATTCTTAACATAAGACCAGTGAAGATACGGGGTAGAATAGGTCTTCAGCAAACCATGCTTGTCGTAAAAGGCGACTAACGGGATCGGGTGGTCAGGCCCGCTGACTTGGTTGATGCATGTCGTCGTATCCCAATTGCGTAGATCGATGCTCATGATGACAGTCACTGGATTGTCTGGTCCAGACTCGATTATTTACAGACCGCCTGTTACATAGCTGGAATATTGCTGAGTGCGGCGTTGAACAACAAACAAACAAACAAACATGTCCATCTCGCCGGTTCGGGTCTGAGGAGTGGAGTGAGTATGGTTTTACGCCGCTTTTAGCAATATTCCAGCAATATTACGGCGGGGGACACCAGAAATGGGCTTCACACATTGTACCCATGTCGGGAATCGTACCCGGGTCTTCGGCGTGACGAGCGAACGCTTTAACCGCTAGGCCACCCGACCGCCCCTCGTGTCTGTGTATATTACCTGGAACGTATGTGTGTTTTATCAGTTCCGGTCGCCCTTTGGCTCTACATTGAACTAAACACTGATCATGGTGTCCTCGGAGCCGATACCTAATTTAAATAACAAGCCGTAAGGGTAGAACTCCACTTTAAACAGTTGTTCCATGCATATATGATAGGGACTACTTTCAGCAAACATGGCGTTCGCTGCCCTGATGGCTGCTGAGGCGGGGGTAAACCCGGACAAGTACCGGGAGTGGGCCATGAGTCAGATTCACTACGCTCTGGGAGACAATGGATTCAGCTACCTCATTGGGTTCGGCAAGGACTACCCACACAGTCCCCATCACAGATCCAGGTGGGCAGAGACAGTATTCTGAACACACATTTCATATAACGTACTGATCCACTTTCCCATATTAGTGACCTCCTTGTAGTCTACTGGTAGAGCGTCCGCCCGGAGAGCGGAAGGTCCGGGGTTGGATCCCCGGACCCGTCATACCAAAATACGTTAAAAGATGGTGCTTGTTGCTTCCCTGTCTGGGTGCATATACTATTATAAGTGCCATAATATTGAACGCGACGTTAAACCCCATTTCACCTCACCTCACCTCACTTCACTTCACCCATATTAGTATACGTGATATGTATAATCCTAAATTCATAAAAAAAATTAAAAAACCATTACACTGAATAAAAAGGAATAACAAAGGTCGTACTTAATGTTCCCAATATACTGTGTTACCCCCACGTGTACAAAAAACATGCACGACATCTGGACGGATTGTGGCCGTTGGAACACGCCGCCAACTCTCCCCCAACACTGAGTTGGGTCTTCAAAGCCGATGTCCAGCACAAAGATATTGGCGTGGCCTTAAACATTACACACGTGTTCAGTGGGGGACACGTATGAAGATATGCGTGTGGCCACGGTATAGGTGCAACAGATTCCTCATGGGCGTCCATTGTCATTATGGCGACAAAGTTGTGTCCGATACTATCAGCTTGAGGATCAATTCAAGTCGTCAGATATCGTTGTCATGTTACCGACACTGACAATCAGATATGTCCTCCTAACAAAGGGCATCCCGTCCCACCCCTCCCATCAGACAGGTCACTACGAATCTTGTTCCATGGTGCGCAACACGGGATTCAACATAAACAGCAAGGTGCACGGCTCCATTCGTCACCACTCGCCCCTTTCCGTATACGTAACCTGCAAGAAGACTCGTCCCCCTATCGATGGATGTTATGTGCGAAAATACGACAAACCAATCAGAATGCGCGTATGATTTCAAGTTCTTCGTCAAAGAATCCCTCAGAAATAATTTTTGATTTTACATATGTCTTGCATCTAAAAATATACCCAAGACACAGATACATTAGTTCAATCATACTGTATAATTCCGCATGTCCCGGTGTGTTTTAAATTGCATCTGAAATATATATAATATATGGGGAAATATATGTGAACCATTACGCAACGAGTTGACAATTGTTTAAGGTATGCCCGTTTGCGCTAAGACGGAACCCGGTCACAAAAATGGCCACGAGATGGGCACGAGTCGCTATTCGGCTTGTCCCGGAATAACACGAGTTGGTCACGAATGGCACGGCTCGTGTCTTGTCTGTCTCACAGTCCCTGGATCATACTATTTTCCTTCCGCCCAGCCCTTACTGTAATGCTGTAGACCTAAATGAAGCAAGTCTAGATTTTCCACAGGTTGAATCTCCCATCTCATGGGCTCCTTTTTAATTCAAATGGAGTTGTGTGTTACCATGGAAATTATATATTTTCAGAGACTAAGCCTCAGTCTAAGCTCGTGTCGTTAAATTAAAACTTTAATGGCAGTTTAATGACACTTCAATTTCAGTCAGGCTGCATGATTTCCATTTAGGACAATAAGATGGACAGGCGAGTTTCCTTGACAGTACATACCGTATTCGACGTAATAAGCGCCCACGGCGATATTTGCTAATATATTGGCTATTGAACAATCCCAACTGGCACCCCTTCCGATTGATCAATGTGCACAAGACTTATTTTTTCGCGTATAATACGCACTCGTGTGTTATATGCACCCTTAATTATGGGCAATTAAATTCTGGAAAAAATATATCTGTCGTACATAAACATTTCAGGCCGTCAGCATAATTAAACCACGATATTTATCTTTCAACTCTTTTTTTTTTTACCAAAATAACATTCTAATAAGAGCCCCCTTTTTCTAATTTTGAGAGCGCCCTGGGCGCTTATTACGTCGAATACGGTTACTCTTGTCTGGGGCATGTCTTTCTGGGTCGTCCTCGTCCCCGCCTTATTGTCACGTGACCAGTTAGGGGCACGTGAAAACCACATTGGTATGATCATAACTCGTCTTACAACATATACTACTTCTTTCATATTACTATAGTTAATTTGTCTTGTGTGTACATGACAGGCTTCTCCACTCCAGTATAACTACATCTGATATCTACCCTACTGTATAAATATTGCCTCCTACCTGTATACTGTAAAACGTGAAATTAACGCGAGCGTGAATAAAATGCGAAAAATGCGAGTGGTCTTTGCTCGCATTATTAAACATCGCATTTATATCAACAATAAGACATTTTGGTTAGCAGAAATACCAACTTAGACATACGCTGAAAACAAACAACTATGTATTCCAGATCACTGTTTATTGAGCATCACTTGTAACAAGTATATAAACAATGTCATTCAAACACTAATAACATCCTGTGAATTGTCTCTGCTGGGGTCAAGACAAGCGTTCTACTCACTCATGTCATCACTGATCACACCTGCAAGTCCAGACAGACGCCACCCAACACGGTGTCTTTGCTCTTTGCGACTGCTTCAAGTATCAAGTATATACTTGTCAACCATACCCTGTTTTTCACCTACACCGAAACGTCGCTCTTAATTGTAATAAAGAAGTTGTTCATCCATAAATTCTTATCCTTACTTATAGTAATATAAAATAATGGGGTGTTCTTTAACTTCTTTTGAGTAGTATGCATTCATATTCACTAGGTGGGGTATCCTAAGGGTTAAAGTGTTCACTCGTCACGCCGAAGACCCGATTTCGATTCCCCACATGGGTACAATGTGTGAAGCCCATTTCTGGTTAACCCCGAATTGATATTGCTGGAATATTGCTAAAAGCAGCGTAAAACAATAATCACTCATATTCACTATTGATTTAGGCTTTATTTCCGTCATTCTCTGTTTCACAAATATTTCAAGTTGCGACTCTTTCGATGATAGGGAACTACACACGATGCACACAAATAAACAGGGTAGGTATTGTGTTCCCCTAGATACTGGTTCGTTATAAGGGTAACGCTTTTCAGGGCATTATCATTTGCAGAAGTCTTAGGTCTTCCATTAACTGCCCGACGAAGGGGGGCAGTTGAAAAGACCGAGGGCTTCTGTAAATTATAATGCCCTGAAAAAGAGCGTTACCGTTATTATAGCTAAAATGGATGGAATTTGTTATCAAATAAAAAGAAACAACAACATCGGTTTTGAAACATTTACTGCAAGCAACACGAATGTCACTGAACACATTTTACAAATGTGGAAACGTCATAGAACAAACCAGATGACGTCACTATAATACATGACGTCATTTTCTCTACCCTATGACGTCACCTAACAACGGGCTTGATAATGGCCCGTCGTCAAGCAATATGAGGGCATTATCAAATTACAGTGGCCCGCTCATTTCTGATAACGTGCGGGCGGTTTAATGATAATTCTATCCATTTTAGCTATTAATGTTCATTATCCCCATTTAGATAACACGTTCCACCTTCAGCTCGTGTCCCTGGGAACCAGCTCCTTGTGGACCTCAGGTCATGTCCAGCCACGTCGCTAACGTCCACACCCTGTACGGAGCCCTGGTAGGAGGGCCCGATGACAGTGACGGCTACAAGGACGACCGCTCCAACTACGTCAACAACGAAGTAGCTTGTGACTACAACGCCGGCTTCCAGGGAGCTGTTGCAGGTGAGTGTTCTTCCAGAAGCAAAAAATGTCATGATATGTTCTTATGTTGTAATGAATGATCTTGAGTAGGATTTTGTTGGATTTTATGCCTGCTTACAAACAGACAAAATTTAATCTTAATTAGAATCGAAATCAAGTATTTTACCTTCACCAAACCAATTTTCTGGTTTTGGAATGTTGATCTTATTGGTACGGAAGTCTGGAACGAAACCACTGTGTACAACAGTGTTGATAGCTATCTCAGAGTTATCCCCTATGAGGGGCGGTGGAGTAGCCTAGTGGTTAAAGCGTTCGCTCGTCACCCCGAAGACCCGGGTTCGATTCCCTACCTGGGTACAATGTATGAAGCCCATTTCTGGTTTCCCCCGCCGTGATATTGGTTGAACATTGCTAAAAGTGGCGTAAATCCATGCTCACTCACTATCACGTATGATCGGACTATGAGCCAAAAAATTGAAAAACGTGGTAACAAAATGTAAAAAAAGTATTTGGTATTTTTCCTTGCAGGTCTGAGGTCTTTGGTCACAAGGAAGGTTCACCCAGAACAGTTGGCTAAACCTTAAGTTGAATATTGGTAATAAAGTTAAATCAATACATGCATCGGTTGTTTTATCCTTTTCGTATCGGTAAGCATTAAAGTGAATCAATAAGTGGTTCATTTGGTTCATGCGGTTCATGCGGTTCATTATCAAGCATAGAACTGACGGTACTTCAACGGTAAGCCACCTCGGCGCATTGAAAATTATATATTCAACTATCATTATAAAATTATTCATTTTTCCGGGTTCAAATGATAAAAAGATTTCAATGTACAACTTGGTATATTCATTGAAAAGAGACGAATTTACAAAATGTTATATAATGATCACGAGAGAGAGAGAGGGAGAGAGAGAGAGAGAGAGAGAGAGAGACAAAGAGAGAGAGAGAGATTATTATACGAGCATATGTTATTATACTAATTTTAAGAAACGAGTGTCAGATTTTCTGTATCTCCAGAACGAGGCTAATACATGTATTCTTACACGAGTTTCGTAAAATCAGTATTACGCATGCGAATGTAATATTTTCTGTATTACTTATCATTTCTTATTCCTTTTGAGCTCCCCTTTAGAAAATGCACTGTTCACGATTACCGTCTTAAGCCCCGTTTACACGACCACGTTTACTTATATAAGTAAATATACTTACATAAGTATATATACTCACATAAGTAAAAGTGGTCGTGTAAACGCATTTGTTTACGTAAGCAAATATACTCCAGGAGTAAATATGCTTATGTGAGTAACATTTGGCCGTATAAACAGGGCTTTAGACAACCAAAAGTCGATCAAAATGTGACGTCAACAATTTTCAATTATAAGCTGTTTGAAAATAAGCCCTTTAGCAACTTGTGGCGAACTAATTACTGTTATATCCTATTCCTATAGAATATTTAAAATCACAAAACACAAAAGCGTGTGACCTTTGTATTATATATTGCCTTTCATACATTCCATCACAGAAACAAGTATTCTCGTTACTAGCAACCGACACCTAAACATTGTTTTATTGGAACTTTGGCATTGATATAGTACGTCACAAGCTTGGTGAATACTCAGTCGGACAGTTACAACAGTCGTATAGTTCAAACCGAAACCGTTTTCAGACAGGGACGTATCTACCATACAGGCAAAACGACACACAGTGTGTTCAGACAGGGACGTATCTACCATACAGGCAAAACGACACACAGTGTGTTCAGACAGGGACGTATCTACCATACAGGCAAAACGACACACAGTGTGTTCAGACAGGGATGTATCTACCATACAGGCAAAACGACACACAGTGTGTTCAGACAGGGGCGTATCTACCATACAGGCAAAACGACACACAGTGTGTTCAGACAGGGACGTATCTACCATACAGGCAAAACGACACACAGTGTGTTCAGACAGGGACGTATCTACCATACAGGCAAAACGACACACAGTGTGTTCAGACAGGGACGTATCTACCATACAGGCAAAACGACACACAGTGTGTTCAGACAGGGATGTATCTACCATACAGGCAAAACGACACACAGTGTGTTCAGACAGGGACGTATCTACCATACAGGCAAAACGACACACAGTGTGTTCAGACAGGGACGTATCTACCATACAGGCAAAACGACACACAGTGTGTTCAGACAGGGACGTATCTACCATACAGGCAAAACGACACACAGTGTGCTCAGACAGGGACGTATCTACCATACAGGCAAAACGACACACAGTGTGTTCAGACAGGGATGTATCTACCATACAGGCAAAACGACACACAGTGTGTTCAGACAGGGACGTATGAACCATACAGGCAAAACGACACACAGTGTGTTCAGACAGGGACGTATCTACCATAGAGGCAAAACGACACACAGTGTGTTCAGACAGGGACGTATCTACCATACAGGCAAAACGACCCACAGTGTGTTCAGACAGGGGCGTATCTACCATACAGGCAAAACGACACACAGTGTGTTCAGACAGGGACGTATCTACCATACAGGCAAAACGACACACAGTGTGTTCAGACAGGGACGTATCTACCATACAGGCAAAACGACACACAGTGTGTTCAGACAGGGGCGTATCTACCATACAGGCAAAACGACACACAGTGTGTTCAGACAGGGACGTATCTACCATAGAGGCAAAACGACACACAGTGTGTTCAGACAGGGACGTATCTACCATACAGGCAAAACGACACACAGTGTGTTCAGACAGGGACGTATCTACCATAGAGGCAAAACGACACACAGTGTGTTCAGACAGGGGCGTATCTACCATACAGGCAAAACGACACACAGTGTGTTCAGACAGGGACGTATCTACCATACAGGCAAAACGACACACAGTGTGTTCAGACAGGGGCGTATCTACCATACAGGCAAAACGACACACAGTGTGTTCAGACAGGGACGTATCTACCATACAGGCAAAACGACACACAGTGTGTTCAGACAGGGGCGTATCTACCATACAGGCAAAACGACACACAGTGTGTTCAGACAGGGTCGTATCTACCATACAGGCAAAACGACACACAGTGTGTTCAGACAGGGGCGTATCTACCATACAGGCAAAACGACACACAGTGTGTTCAGACAGGGACGTATCTACCATACAGGCAAAACGACACACAGTGTGTTCAGACAGGGATGTATCTACCATACAGGCAAAACGACACACTGTGTGTTCAGACAGGGACGTATCTACCATAAAGGCAAAACGACACACAGTGTGTTCAGACAGGGACGTATCTACCATACAGGCAAAACGACACACAGTGTGTTCAGACAGGGATGTATCTACCATACAGGCAAAACGACACACAGTGTGTTCAGACAGGGACGTATCAACCATAGAGGCAAAACGACACACAGTGTGTTCAGACAGGGACGTATCTACCATACAGGCAAAACGACACACAGTGTGTTCAGACAGGGACGTATCTACCATACAGGCAAAACGACACACAGTGTGTTCAGACAGGGACGTATCTACCATACAGGCAAAACGACACACAGTGTGTTCAGACAGGGATGTATCTACCATACAGGCAAAACGACACACAGTGTGTTCAGACAGGGACGTATCTACCATAGAGGCAAAACGACACACAGTGTGTTCAGACAGGGATGTATCTACCATACAGGCAAAACGACACACAGTGTGTTCAGACAGGGACGTATCTACCATACAGGCAAAACGACACACAGTGTGTTCAGACAGGGACGTATCTACCATACAGGCAAAACGACACACAGTGTGTTCAGACAGGGAGGTATCTACCATACAGGCAAAACGACACACAGTGTGTTCAGACAGGGACGTATCAACCATACAGGCAAAACGACACACAGTGTGTTCAGACAGGGACGTATCTACCATACAGGCAAAACGACACACAGTGTGTTCAGACAGGGACGTATCTACCATAGAGGCAAAACGACACACAGTGTGTTCAGACAGGGACGTATCTACCATACAGGCAAAACGACACACAGTGTGTTCAGACAGGGACGTATCTACCATACAGGCAAAACGACACACAGTGTGTTCAGACAGGGACGTATCTACCATACAGGCAAAACGACACACAGTGTGTTCAGACAGGGGCGTATCTACCATACAGGCAAAACGACACACAGTTTGTTCAGACAGGGACGTATCTACCATACAGGCAAAACGACACACAGTGTGTTCAGACAGGGACGTATCTACCATACAGGCAAAACGACACACAGTGTGTTCAGACAGGGACGTATCTACCATACTGGCAAAACGACACACAGTGTGTTCAGACAGGGACGTATCTACCATACAGGCAAAACGACACACAGTGTGTTCAGACAGGGACGTATCTACCATACAGGCAAAACGACACACAGTGTGTTCAGACAGGGACGTATCTACCATACAGGCAAAACGACACACAGTGTGTTCAGACAGGGACGCATCTACCATACAGGCAAAACGACACACAGTGTATTCAGACAGGGACCTATCTACCATACAGGCAAAACGACACACAGTGTGTTCAGACAGAACGTATCTACCATACAGGCAAAACGACACACAGTGTGTTCAGACAGGGACGTATCTACCATACAGGCAAAACGACACACAGTGTGTTCAGACAGGGACGTATCTACCATACAGCCAAAACGACACACAGTGTGTTCAGACAGGGATGTATCTACCATACAGGCAAAACGACACACAGTGTGTTCAGACAGTGACGTATCTACCATACAGGCAAAACGACACACAGTGTGTTCAGACAGGGGCGTATCTACCATACAGGCAAAACGACACACAGTGTGTTCAGACAGGGACGTATCTACCATACAGGCAAAACGACACACAGTGTGTTCAGACAGGGATGTATCTACCATACAGGCAAAACGACACACTGTGTGTTCAGACAGGGACGTATCTACCATAAAGGCAAAACGACACACAGTGTGTTCAGACAGGGATGTATCTACCATACAGGCAAAACGACACACAGTGTGTTCAGACAGGGATGTATCTACCATACAGGCAAAACGACACACAGTGTGTTCAGACAGGGACGTATCTACCATACAGGCAAAACGACACACAGTGTGTTCAGACAGGGATGTATCTACCATACAGCCAAAACGACACACAGTGTGTTCAGACAGGGATGTATCTACCATACAGGCAAAACGACACACAGTGTGTTCAGACAGTGACGTATCTACCATACAGGCAAAACGACAAACAGTGTGTTCAGACAGGGACGTATCTACCATACAGGCAAAACGACACACAGTGTGTTCAGACAGGGACGTATCTACCATACAGGCAAAACGACACACAGTGTGTTCAGACAGGGTCGTATCTACCATACAGGCAAAACGACACACAGTGTGTTCAGACAGGGACGTATCTACCATACAGGCAAAACGACACACAGTGTGTTCAGACAGGGATGTATCTACCATACAGGCAAAACGACACACAGTGTGTTCAGACAGGGACGTATCTACCATACAGGCAAAACGACACACAGTGTGTTCAGACAGGGACGTATCTACCATA